CTAACCCTAACCCTAACCCTAACCCTAACCCTAACCCTAACCCTAACCCTAACCACAGCTACTATTCTCTATATCTAGTATCTAGTAACATTCTAGATAGCGGTAGTAAACTCTTAACGCTATAAACCTTTCCGACGTTCTTATCTTATCTTTCTTTCCGAGTTTTAGCGTAATATTTTATCTTATATCTACTTAAGAAAAATTTTTTAATAGATTTTTATTCTTTTTAGTATTTAGATTCTTAGAGTTAGAGGCCCGTTATTATACTATACTATAAAATCTTAATAAATTTTCGTAATTTTTAAATTAAAATTTAGCGCTTTTTTAGCTCTATAACTCTTATATAAAATATAAATTAATATCTCTTTTCGTTACTACGTAATCGCGTTATAAAGTAAAATATATCTTAAATTTTCTACGCTTTTTATTAAATATCTCGGCCGCACGTTAATAGATCGCTACGATTTTTAGATAAAAATGTAGCACTTTACAAGCTCTATAGCTTTTATTTATAGTATTTACTTAAATCGCTACTATCTCTATTACTATTTTAAATTTCTTCCTACCCACGCCGCCAATACTGCAGCAACACCCGCAAGCTTAAACGCATATGCAGCTGGATCATCTCTTCCAGCTGCTTCCACGACCTTGTAGAGAGCACTACATGTTAATGCCGCACAGATTTGGGGAATGGAGATGGCCATGTTATGCACCGCCATGATGGTAGCCGTGTGTAGGTCCGCATACTCGTCTCCATCTTCCTCGCCGCCACGATTCTCCTCGTCGCTGGAACGCCGCATTCCTCCATCATCACTGCCAACACTACCCTGCAGCTCCTTTGCGCCCTTAGAAGGGCTGCTAGAGATCAAGTGCCGTTGCTGCTGTCGCTCCTGCTGAACTGCAGCATCGGCCTGCAGCCCCACAATCTCGGCACCGATCAGTGTGTACGGCGCCCACGAGGCGACGCCCCAGCTGAGGCCCAGCGCGGCGACGATGACGGTGGCCGCAGGCGCTGTGTGCACGAAGGTGGTCAGAAACATGAGTGTGGCAAAAAGGCAGTGAGCGATCAGCCACGCGCGTCCAACGGATAAGCGTCGAAGACTACTTGACGTGGCAGCCTTTCCGCCGCCACTTCTGGGCAGGGAGGAGGAAGATTGTGATGCAATGAAGGGGATTGTAAGTGCCGAGGCGAGGGTCACACAGGCGAAGCAAAAGGAGGCGCGTATGCCGGCTCTTTTGCCCATCACGACAAGGCGCGGATCTGCGCTGCCGAAGATTTCTGGGTCGAGGTGGATGTGCTGGTCGATAACGACTGGTTGTGGCGGTTGTGAGCGCTTATACAAGGGTAGCACTTCGCTCTCACAGGGCGATGTGAAGAGTGACAGAGTTCGACGATGTTCAGGATGATAGGAAGGAAAAGGGCTGTAATTCAGGGCATGGCAGATAAAAGGACAAGTACTTACAAATCTCATAGACGTATGTGGTCAAATAATAAAGTACGGCAAACCAGCCCAGCCACGCACAGAACTGAACCTTGCAGACTTGGCGCGTTACAGGCGGCAAGCAGCAGAAACGACTCCTCGCACCAGCCAATAGCCTAGCTACCGTCCCCTGTTGCCGTCTCTCTGCCATGGGCTCGCCGCATTGGTGGCCGCTGGCTGGGCTGTCAGCAATCAAGAGAAATGCTGGGAGAACCGTGGCCGCCAGCGTGAGTACGGCCAACACACACAAAGCCTTGAATTCGCCATCTCCTAGCAGTGGTGCCCATGTCGAGATATCAGAAACGGCTGAGCCTGCTATGAGTACTGCACCCAGGCCGTTAAATCGCGCGCCCCACGCCGCTGCCTCGCTCTGCTGCTGCGGCGGACAACTATCGACGGTAAGCGCACGTACCCCGCTCTGCAGTGGTTGCACCGCAACGTTCAGGGCGCATGCCCAGAAAGCCACAAGTAGCTTTGTCAGCATGCTCGACTGGGGTGAGCCTGATGCGTAGGCATGGTGTTTCAGTGGTTGGAGTCCGGAAAGCCAGTTGGAAACGTCCTCAGCGCAGGCTAGGCCAAGTAGAGACAGGCAGACGAAAGTGGCGCCGCCAGCGATATACGGCTTCCGGCGACCCCAAGGATGCTGTGTGCGGTCTGAGATGGCCGCGAAGACTGGCTGCACCAAGGCGCCGCTCAGAGGACCTGACAGCCAAACGAGAGCGGTGAGAGATGTTGGCATTCCGAGCCCCGCCATATATGGCTGTGCAGCAGCTTGCAGGTTAGAGACGTGGTCTGAAGAATTGCTAGTTCTTTACTTACCGTGCCATATGACATGACGACTAGCCAAAGCATTTGAATACTGGAACGGAGTTAGCAATCCTTTAATACAATATAAAAGCAGCTTGGAAAACTTACCCAAGATTTGGAAGCGCCATGACCAATACCCTCCACCATCGCACAGACGTGTACGAAGAACTGCCATAGTTGTGCGAGCCATCTGATTGATTGCATGCATCAAGCACCTTGTTCTCTGGTATCACTGGCATTGCTGTTGACCGACGAGGAATACTGCCCATCATTTTTCGCGAATCTTCCTCTCTCTCATATAGGAGATACTACGCTTTACCAAGCCTCCCTTCGTGATGCAGAGGCACCTCAGCTTTTGAATGTCTCATTTCATGAGTTGAAGAGAACAATTCGTCCGTGAAAACCCCACTTTCGGTGCAAGATCGGAGACCGACGTGGTGTTGTTCTATTAACGGAGCTCCGAAAACGCGGCCAACTTTCGGCGCTTCACCCCCGCCAGCCGACATCTGAACCTCCGGGGCTGCATGCGCCGTCTGGCTCTCGGGACGGAACTGACCAAATTGACGAGGAAACCGATGAGTGGAAAGCGCCATGTCTATCGCAATTTGCATTCGTTTTAAGCAGATGGTATATATCTGTGTAGAGACGTAGCTTCAGCTTCTCCTCCACCAGCACATCGAGCAATATTCCCTTTGCAACCAAAGCCGTATACACAACGCGCCGTAACAACCTGCAACAATGAAGTTTTCCTCCCTCGTCACCGTTGCCGTCATGGCCACTGCGGCTGCCGCCTTCCCGCTGGGTCCAGGTGGGTTTTTCAGTTGCCTACTTGATTTGTCTACGATCAAATCTCTGTTTCGAAGGCACGAGCATGGGCTAATAAAACGACATCGGATTGCAGCTCAGCATGATATTGACAACTTGAACGGGATTGAGGGCCTCATGAAGCGCGAGGCTGATCCCCAGAAGGTCAAGGTCGACAAGCGTGAGGCAGACCCTCAGAAAGTCAAAGTTGACAAGCGTGACCCGGAGCCCCAGAAAGTCAAGGTGGACAGGCGTGGCCCGGAGCCCCAGAAGGTCAAAGTTGACAGGCGGGAACCTGAGCCTCAGAAAGTCAAGGTCGACAGGCGGGAACCTGAGCCTCAGAAAGTCAAGGTCGACAAGCGCGAGGCTGAACCTCAGAAGGTTAAGGTCGACAGGCGCGATCCGGAGCCACAGAAGGTCAAGGTCGACTGAACAAGCTCTATGGGGTCCCGTCTTATCATGCTGTAACTACAGTCAAGTGAACAGTTGCAGTGATGAAGTTTAGTGCATGTGGGATCATATGGGATCAGACACAACATGTACGTAACGAGTCCTATAGTTTCGGTCGCTTGATAGCTATGCGAGGTTTATGACTGTGCTTCTATTCGAACGGTTGAAATGAAGATTGCTTTATCATTCGACTTTGACGAGCATTCCTCTGTGCATGTGTTCAGGCTAACGGTTTGCCGATGACTTGTTTATTTGCTTACTTTGCTCCTTGATTACCAACACGGCGTGGCTGTTTTGTATGAGAAAGAATGTAAAAAGGATACACGGAATGGTATTTGAGATCAGCCCCACGAGTTGTAATAGACATGATATTTATACTATGCAAATACCTGAAAACCGATACCTGCGCAATACTGCTCCCGCCTTCGCGACAGGTCCGAGCTTATAGATCAACATGCCGGGTATGAGATCTCGACCCTTGTAACGATGGTATCCATGGGCACCGTCGTGTTGGCAAGAGTGTCAGAGCAATGCTCGGTGTGGTGGTAAGACGTCAAGGAGCTTTCCATCTTCCAGCCGCGTTCGACGGCACGGTGCATCATCTTCCAGCCGTAGATACAGTGATAGATGTGAAAGCGACGGTCTGTCCACATGAGCTCTGTGGTGGTGCTGATGGCCTCCAGCGATGGAATCTGCTCGCGCGACTCGGGTGGCGCCTCAGGCAGTGTCGAGTTGGACAGATAGAATTTCCACGGCCATTCCTCCATGAACCGTGCCGTTAGTTCGCTGTCGTAGCAGTCCAGCGGCAGCCAGGACACGGTCATCAGGTCGAAGACACACCCGGCCGCTTTGGCTTCGGCGGGCGAGCTGCCGCACGGTTGGGCCGTGCCAGCCTTGTAGCTGGCAAGACCTTGCACCAGCTTGGAGCTCCCGGATCCGACAGGGCAGAAGGCTTCCAATGACGACCTTGCGAGAAGTCGTGGGAGGATAGTGATGAGGATGATGCACAGAGCAAGAAGGAAAAGAAATGTGGCTGCAAGCGAAAGCAAAATAAGTGTAATGACCGTGACGATTTTGCTTGTCCGTGAAGCACGAGCTGCAGAGTGCTGGTCGCTTGTTATTGCCTCGTCGGGCGAGGCCAGGAGGGAATACTTGGGTAGGGAGGAAAACGGATACATGGCCTGGGACTTGATGAACTGGGGTTCTCGGAGGACTGGACGCGGTTTCTGGTTGATCTGAAGCGAAAAGTGGTGAAAGAGATTGGCCAAGGAACAACATCATCAGTTATCCAGTCCATCACGGCAATCGATTGGAATTTCATGTGATTATGCTGCCTCGATAGTCTGACACCGCTAACATGAACGGGAAAATAGGTCTACACGGCTCCGAACTTTCCCATGTCCGGGCCCGAGTGGCGCAGTTCAGACGCAAATCCCGGAGCTCAAATTTCACGGAGTCTAGCCTTACTCATAGCACGTATCAGGTTAATCAGTGGTTCTCCACGTCACCTGACCTTCCGATAGAGTTCTAGTACAGCCAGAACTCGACCTTGTAGTGATTGCTGAAAATACAATCAAGCGCCGAGCGCCCAGACAATCAGAACGAGGACAGCATGGGTTCCGGGCTGCAGCAAAGGTAGCCAATAATATCCAAGATTGCCACGGACGTACGGAAGAAGATATACTGCCGGCCACCATCTTGTGTTTGCGGCGAACCGGGCAACTACTGATCAGGATTCTCAGACAACATATCAACAAAGTTGATGCGGGGAATTCGTGGCGATCATGCAGGCCAACCTGTCTCTGCACGTCGCTTATCCTTTGGTGACACTTTCCCTCTACAGAGCATGCAAATTATAAAAATTTTAGCCAGAGCAGCCGAAGACCGAAGTGCGAAATGCGAAATGCGAGGTCCGAGGTCACCCGCCACTCCTTCCAACAACACATACATTCCAATCACTTCTGATATGCAAAGACTGAAAGCTTACTACGCAGTGATCGTCGTTTTATGCCTCCACACTGTCTGAGAAGCCCACTACTGACAGTCACAGCCCTTGGAAAATCGCCCTTTGTTCCGCCCAGTCAACGAGTGCATCGAAGTCCCGGCATTGATGCATCACTCCCCATCCGCTAGACCCGCGTGGTTGCAATGTGACGCCGTCATCTTGAAGAAATGGCTCAAGTGTGGGGTCAGCAAAACATACGAGCGCCTGGCGAATGAAGTCAAAGCAATGGGTGATGTGAGGACCTAGTGCCTTTTTTGTCGATGGGTGGCCCGGCACGCCTGACGGGTTGTTGAGCACAGATGGACCTCGCTCGAGAACTGCAAACCAAGCGCTGCGGATCGTCCGTCTGGCGTGATTTCCGTCAGCAACATGGTGACATGGAGCTGCGCCTCTCCTTTCGGCAGCAAGACTCACAGACAGTGCAGCTGGTGGAAAGCAGAGATGGCATAGGCGCTAAAGTTCCCGTATTCTGGCGCGAGAGATGAAGGAGGATAGCCCTCGCTGGCTGGGTCTTCAATGCCGACATAGCCTGCCAAGGTCAGCAGTGACAGTAACGCGGGAAATCGGGGAAAGCAAAGTAGCCCTTCCATTTCCACTCCGCTTTGCTGGTTTTTGGCGGGGATCCAACTCATGTGAATGCATCGCGTCCCACGCCGCGTCGCTCACGTCTGTGCGCTGTCCCATGATTGGATCGAAGTCTCGATTTGGCATCCATCGTCGGAACACTGCTGCCCCATCCTGCCCGTTTCTTGCCAGTGCCGTTTGAGACGATGAAGTCATCCAGCCTGCAATGAAGAAAGCAAACAGCGTTGCAAACCAAACGACAGCGTGTAGCAGGTGCAGTGGCCAGATTCTGTCGTTGACTTTCTGTGCTGCCTTCCTCTCTCGCTTTTTTCTCTTGCTCTCGGTTGAGCTTCTGGGCATACCCACCGGTTCTGGTAGTGACAGGGATGAATTATCATCGTTGTATAAAAATGGCACGTCTTCTTGTAGCTCCATTAGGGTTGGACAAGACATTTGTAACAAACAAACATCTGTTCTAAGAAAAAAAGAGAATAGCAAAAGCGGATGCCAGCATTCTCGTAGCAATGTACCGAGAAGCCCCTGTCATTAGTTTTAGTACCTGTCATCCTTTTTAGAATAATGACCGAAGTTGGCGCCTTACGGAGCCGCCGGAGAAATGAATGTATAACTCCGAACTCAAACGCATTTCCCGGAGCTGGAAGACTTGGCAGATATTGAAAGTAGGAGAAGACTGGGGTAAATTTGCACGTAAAATGACGTCAGAATACTACGGTACTGCTCGGATGCGATTTTGGTAATTGACGTGGTAGTCTATTTTGATGGATATAGTTATGGTCTCGTCGCCCAACGGACATTAGAAACGGCGGTCTGTTAAGCTACTTCTAGAGCGGCAGTCTAGTATAAAATAGGCTGCTGAGATAAGCCTTAGTGGAAGTAAGCATTTGTAGCCACGCGGCTGTTTCTGGGAATCTTTAACTTTGTAGCCGGGCGCATCGCCGCCCTATCATGTTCGCATCAAATACGAGGTTGTATCAAATCTCGTATTTGGTGCAAACGCTAACCCGGTCTGCACAGCATGGCTGCAGCCCAACGGCTGAAGGGACAACTCCTGCCGTCGGGCACACTCAGAAGTCATCGAGAATTCATGACTTGTAGATGAAACACGAGTTGTTGATTCGTATGCCAGACACCGCATCAGCTATAAGATACTGTAATAAGAGCAGAATGTATTATATTTAGCGCCGACCTGACGTAAGTCGTTGATTTTAAGGTATTTTTCAGTGATATACTACTGGCTGGACCGGGTCAGAAAACCTGTTTTTAGCCCTTGTTGCAGTAAAGCACGCTAATAAGAGCCACCCTCCGCCTACAGTACACGTGGTAGCGCGATTGCGACACCTCACGTTGCTCACCGTATGGCCATGGTGACGGCGATCGTCATGCTCAGCATATTGCGCAGCTGCGCGGTGAGTCAGTATGCCTCGTACTTGGTGGTAGATAGACGTCTACGTTGGACTGAAAATAGTAGGCGTAAACTTTATAAGCCTCGTGCTGACTGCCCTGCAGAACGGACGAGGTCTGCAAAAGCAACGAGAGTGAGCGAGGAAAACGTAAGAGGGAATCCCTTCCAACTCCCTGTCGTGTGCTCCATCACGTCCAATGCAGTCATCAATCGATTCGGGGAAGGGCAACTCAAAAGCATGCGACCAATGCTACCGGTGCAAGGTCAAGTGCACGATGGAACAGTCGGGCTGCGCCCGTTGTCGGATGACCAAGAGCGTATGCACCTACAGCCTTGGCAAGTGGATGGGCCGGCCCAAAAAATCCAGGACACGCCGACCATCATCGGCCTGGATGAGAAGAGAGCCGTCAGATGGTATGGAGAACAGGAAGCTGCACCAGAGAGCCAGAAGCATCTCATCTGTGGAGTATGTTGACAACGACGACTGCGACGACGATGATGGCAACGAAGGACGTTCTGCGTCTGGTATGCATGGCTCGCCTTGTCACCTTGCTCACCTACTGACTCGGCATCTGCAGAGAAACAGCACCGCCGCCCTGCAACCCCAACCAATTCGCCCGACCTTTGGGACATGTTTTCGCCCTCGACGCTGGGATTAAATCCTGCACATTGCCTCGTACCGCTGCAAATGAATGACTTGGCAGAGTGGCCCGCTGGAAGTGGTGGATGTACCTCCCCCACACATGAGATCCTCTTGGTGAATAATATCCCGGCGCCAGATGGAGGGGGAATCGTCACTGGGGCCACAGGTGTTAAAGACGTACGTTCGACTGCAAATTCTTCAACGAGACCGGATCAGGCGAAGGACCTCGGAACTTTTGGACCGCTACTCGTAAGTTGAAGTAGCCCTTTGAAGCCTTTTCAGCCGAGAAGCTGACGCTGACCGGGAAAAGTCAAGCTGTGAAGGGAATACGGACGACCCTGCTGCAAGAGCGACTTCAACACCTCAGATGTGTCAATGCAGTCGAGCATGTCAACCGACGCCAGCTGAGGCCGTAATCAACTCGTAAGTTAATTTTCAGCTAACATTTAATCTCAACCAGTAGCTGACAAGTTCAAATATACTGCAGGCTGAAGTATGGAGCCCAAGACATTCATTGTTGGCGCCAGGACAAGCCCCCATGCAGCTGCTCCCAGGCCGCTTTGAGCTCTCTAGATCGGCTTTCCGCTGTACGAGAGGACATGCGATATATTCCGTGTCTTGAGGCCGTTCAGCACGCGTTTAGAACGGCCGAGGAGATGGCTTTGTGCGCCACCTGCGCGCAGGCCTTGGTGGTGACCAAGTGCTGCCTGCTTCTCAGCAGCGCATATGAGTTGCTGAACGAAGTCGTCTCCACAAACCTCATCGGGATACCTTCGCCTTCAAGTCAAACCACCAGCTCCCCCCGAGACCAAGTGCAAGAGGGGTTGTCGAGGATGAAACGGCGCGCTGCCATGCTTCTTGCAGGACTGGGGACTCTGCAGGATCTCGATACCGCCCCCGGACCACTTCTTGCAGCGGTGCAGGCGGAGTTCCTGACAGCACTGGCAAGGTCTTGGAGCACGCTTGGGGGCCAGGGATAGATACGAGATCACGATTTACTCCGTATCCGCTTGCGTTCAGTTTTTAGTTACGAATAATGGATCACTTTACATAGCTCAGATAGATGTACATACAAATAATGCAAGAACCCAGATGGATCTGATGTTCGGAGATTCTTTCTGGCTACTTATTGTGCTTATTTCTGTTCCTATCCTTCTACACGGAATGATTTCACTACAGAAAGTAATGGATCACACCATTGCCTTGGGTTGTCGGACGAGAATTGTTGTTCTATACGGCGTGGACCAGCCATATTGCGGACGCTCCTGTTCTACCACTTCCACAATGCAAAACCCGTGATCTTCGTACAGCTTTACACCCGGCGTTTTGGCAACAACCAACACCTTCAAACGCTTCTCATCCGCGTAAGCAAGACCGCTCCGCAGAAGCATGCTTCCTACGCCGCATCGCTGGTGGTCAGGATGCGTGGCCAAGTAATCGAGCGCTTATTGCAGTAACCATCAGCAATCTGCTGCCTAGGCAAAGGGGTGGAAGCTTACTGAGAAATTCGGCATCCCCGCGCCGCACACGCTCTTCAGCCACTTCGATGGCAATGCTCAGCTCGCCTACCATGGCCTCGTTGAGGTGGCGGATCTTGCCGCCGTCGTGGGTGACGCTGTCGAACAACTGCTCAAACTGTCGTCGCGTCGAGTCGTCGACTGCCGGCACCGCGGCATCGGCCCAGCGCTCTTCGTCAGCTGCTCCTTCCGGCAGGATCCAACGAGCATATCCCACCGCCTTGCCGGTAGCCATGTCCACTGCCTTCTGGTGCCGCTTGATGCCGAGGTCGCCGATCAGATTTCGCGGAAGCCGTCGTTCACAATCGTAGATGATTTCATCTAGAGTAATGTTTTTCCAGAGCGAAGCCCAATGTGGATCTTGGTAGAAGGCGCGTACCATGGTCCCAGCAAGATCCGCCGCATCTTGGACGGGTGAAACTGGCCGAATGGCATATTCCTGAGCACCTTGCTGGCGAGTTGACGGGCTGATCATGGCGTCGCATTGATTGTCGTAGTCGCCTCTCAAGTTCGCATTTTTCTGTGGAAGCTCGTCCGAGGAGCAGGCTCGGTGCCGGTGGTGCGCTCCGAAAGTCAGTCAGTGCCAGAATTCTTCGGCTCCGAACATTCTTGCGCCGCCTCCGGGAAATGCTGCAATAATCGGCCGGACACTACAGGAACCTGGCATTTGCATCTTTTCTATTTGAAGCTTTCTGCATCTTACTTGAAATATAATAATTACGTCAATTACACATCAAACAATAGTCATCTATAATATTTCCCACACTAGTAAAGAAGATGGCGACGTGTGAGTTCCACAATCCGTGAGCATTTCTGCGGCTGTGCTGACTAATTCCGTCTTCCCAGGGGCGGGTGCATCGACCGACGTGGCCTACCAAGACCTACCTGTTAGTCCCGGCGATGGAGAAGAGCACCAACCATTCATCACGGGCGAGAAGCTCGACTGGAACAGTAACCGCAACTCCACGCGTTCCAAGCTATGCTCGGCCCTCATCATAGTATCTATCGTTGTGACGCTCGGCGCGCTCTCGTCGGTGCTCGTTATCGCGCAGCGGCGACAGGCAGGCTCGCTCGTGCCCATCTGGCCCACGTACCAGGGCGGGTCGCGCGTGGTCGAGCACTGCGGCAACTCGCCCGAGGAGGCGCAGGCGCTGGGCTGCGTGTGGGACTTGATGAGCTTTGGGTGGATCCACCCGCGGTGCTACAACCCGGACGAGTCGCGGCAGTGGATGGAGAAGCATGGGCCCTGGAAGTGGTACTACGATCTCAACGCCACCCAGCAGATTCCCGATGACGCCCTCACCAGCACCCCCCGTGTCTACACCGAGCAGGGCTACCACGTCGTGCACTGTCTGTACATCTTCAAGCTGCTCCACCTCGCCGGAATGTCCCGCCATCTGGTCACCGACGAAGCCATCCCTCTCGCACACACACAGCACTGTGTCGACATGATCTCAGCCCCCAAGTACTCGGATTTCAAGCACATCAATACCAGGGTAGACATGCTATTCGCTCGATGCGTTACGTTGGATTGAACGGCGGCTAAGACATGTCATCTCTTGTTGCCATTGGTAGTCATAGAAGAGGGGTAGTGGAGGCTGTGGCAGTGGTGAAAGCTGGGGGAGCTGCGGAAAGTGGAGCCATGGGAAGAATAGCGCGTAGAAGTGACAGCATGAACGGATCAAGCGGGGCTACGTCGGAGAGGCGGACTTCCTAAACCAGCATCTCCGCCTCTGACATGTCACTAGCTATGAGGCAACATTGCGTACTCACATGCAGTAATGATTGATTTAAGAGCCCGCAACTTCTGGATTGTGCAAGCAAAAGCCGGGTGGGCAACTGAATTTCAACGAGAAATTACTACGAGAACAAGCCAAGATGATTCTGCAATGTAAGTGACTTGTTTGATTCCCAGAGTAGGCAGGCACTCTGACATGGCTTCAGTTGTTGCGGCCGTCGTCGCATACCTCATATTCCTCCACCCATTTGTCAGCTACTTTGTTGACAGGAAGAACCTCCGGCAATTCCCCTCGCCATCATTCGCGGGGGTTTCTTCACTTTGGCGAATCTCACACAACCTGCATCTCAGCCACTACCAGGCCATTGATAGAGCGCACAGAGACCTGGGAACGCATGTACGCATCGCACCAAATCACATCTCAATCTCGGATCCTGCTGCTATGCAGCAAATTTACGGCCATGGCGCGAATTTCCTCAAGGATGGCTGGTACGACGGAGGTGCTGGCGAATTCAGGAACATCTCTGACGCCAGGGACAAGGCTCAACACCAGGAGAGGCGCAAGATGCTAGCCCATGTCTTTGCGCAGAAGACAATCGTGCAGCTGGAGCCCATTGTTGGCGAGACAGTAGCAACGCTCGCGAAGCAGGTCGACATGCACGCCGTAGAAGGGCGGGACATCAACATCCGGCGCTACCTCAACTACTTTACCATCGACTTCTTCTCCAGGCTCGTGTGGGGATGGACTCAGGGTTGTCTTGAGCGCGGCAATGATGTCGTGTGTGCAGAGACGACAGATGGGAAATTGTACACGGTCGATTTCATCAAGGCCCTGCACGATGCAACCATCATCAACACCCTCCTGAGCTTCGAGGCTCCGCTGCTCAAGATTACGAAAAAGTTGGCTGCCTACCACCCGTACACGAAATCGGGCGACGACTGGGGCAACATGATCTACCACAACACGAAGAAGCGATTGCAAGAAGGTGACGCAGGTGACGATATTTTCTCGAAGCTCCTTACGAACAGCAAAGGCGAATCGAACAACCTTCCGCTGGGAGCCATCCTGTCCGAGTGCGCCGTCATGATGAACGGTGGCACTGATACGACAACGGCAGCAATGACCAACACCATTTACCTACTCTACAAGCATCCCGATGTGTTGGCCAAGCTGCGCGAAGAGCTTGACCCGGCTTTTGGCCCGGAAGAACTTCCTCGCTACGAAGCAGTGTCGCGGCTTCCATTCCTGCGGGCATGCATTGAGGAATCACTGCGCCTCCGACCCGCAAGTACCTTTGGTCTGCCTCGTCTGGTACCAAGCGGTGGGCGTGATATTGCAGGACGCTTCATCGCCGAAGGAGTCACTGTTTCTGTTCCAACGTACACGCTGCTGCACAACGAAGACATTTTCGAGCACCCATACAAATTCTGGCCGCAGCGGTGGATTGATGGAGACCAGGAACGAATGAGCAAGGGGCACTTTCCTTTCAGCACCGGCCCACGGGCTTGCATCGGGCGAAACATTGCCTACTTTGAGCAGACACTGGTCATTTCAACCTTGGTTCGGCGTTTTGATTTTGAGTTTCTTGCCCCAGACTTCGAGCTGCGGACGCTGGAGCGCTTCAACTCAAATCCCGACGAACTTGTCATGAGATGCAAGAAGCGGATCGGAGCTTGAGGGAGAAAAGATGAATTGCGTGGTATCATTTAGTCAGCTGTCTAAGCAATGAAGAAGCCATTCCAATAGGCAAAAGGTGCATAGCAAGTGACAGGAACGGTAAGAATGGATGTCCAAGCGGCGAGAGCGGGCCGCTTTCCCGATATGGAAACTCCGCCTCCACTCCGCAGTGCCTCCATCCATCTCCGCAAGCTGCCGACAAACTCCGTCTCCGCGTCTCATTCCCACCTTGTGCCAACTCCGGCTCTTATCTCTTCCTCCCGCAATGATCCACTTTGTCGAGAGCACACCTGGCGGATTGCCTCAAAAGCGCAAACAGTGTGCGCGTGCCTGTGACGCTTGTCGCAAACGCAAGGCTCGTCGCCCCCTGCTTGGCGCCGGCATCCATCGCTGATTGAATCTTAGAAGCGATGTGACCATCAGACACCTGGCAACGACACAGTGTCATCGCCTACGGCTTTGTCCCCAGCGCTACGCCCAGCTGCGGAGGAGCCCAGTGCGTCGACCGTCAATTCTGTCAGTCAACAAAGTAGTTCGCCACCAACTATGACAGAAACGCCCAGGCCCGCCGAAGGGACTGAAGCCCGCATGGACCAATACCATGTGGGTGAGATGAACCCCGAGTCGACCTTTCTGGCCGGTGCAGCCCCATCGAGAAACGATGGCGTCATCGACCCAGATAAATTCGGCATCTGGCTATCTCACAGGCCCAGCTCCTGTCCGACACAACAATCTCAGTCAACCTACATATACAGCCCGGATTCATTGATATCGAAGTTGTTTCTTCCATATCTCGAGCAGCAATGCCTCTCTCTACTCCCGAGTCCCGTAGACTTTAATGTTTTGCGGGCAATCTATTTAAGAGACATCCATCCGGTCTTTCCCGTACTAGATTTGGATGTATTTAATAAGCTTCCCGAAGACTCTCCCATCAGATTGGTCATGGCCCAAGCCATTTGCCTTGCCGCCAGTGCCACTTTACAGCAGAACAATTCCCTTCGACTCTCGTCCGATCCTTCCTCACCGTTGCAGCCCAATCAGTTTGCTCAGCAGTTGTCGCTGGCCATATTGACCACAATCAATCTCGGAGCTGTCAATGACAAGTCAGTAATTATTCAAGTCTTGACCCTACTCTCTCTTTTCAACCAGCTCTCCTACGACCGCCACTTCTCTGCCGAACTTACAGCAAGAGTTGTCAGTTACGCTCAGACACTGGGCCTGCACCTTTACCAAGGATCGGGCAGAAAGTCTACTGCCAACGCGACTAGACTGTTTTGTTGCGTCTGGGCATTGGACCGGCTCAACTCTGCAATTCGTGGGCGACCCACGCTCATCCATGAAAGAGATCTTCGCCAGGAGCTGGATCTGTGCATCAGTCAGCAGGAGCCTTGCTTCAGGGTCTTTTTAAGAACCGTGAAGCTCCTGGATCAAACCATTGATCTCTATCGCCCAGGGATGGTCGAGAGGAGCTCCGATGACTTCATCAATGCCGATTTTCCAGACTTCGAGGAGATTGTGTACTTGTCCGATGCGAGTTCCGTCAGCTCTCGCTTAATGGGTATCTCTGCGCTGCTAATCTTTCAATGTGCCAAAGCTGACTTTCTCAGCAACAATCGAAATCTTGTATCATGCCGTTGGCATCCTGGCATGTAGAACAAGATCGTCGGCATCACATGTCCGACAAAGCCTCTCCGCTGGTCGCATTTCTGCCATTGTGCGCGAAGAATTAAGCGAGGATATAGCGCTGCTTCCGACGATTCCATATGCCGTGTCATTGTCGTTAAGAGTTTTTTACCGAGACTTCCGATCCAGCAAGGCAACTATCTTTCGGACGAGAGCTACAAGGGAGATTCGTTTCAGCTGCAGCGTCCTCCGGAGACTGGGGACAACGTTTGCTTCAGCCGTGAACATGGCAAATTTGGCGGAGGAGACCGTGCGAGAGGTCGACAAAATACCAGCAACAGAGTCTCTATGGCCGGACCAGCAGACCGTAGACGCTGCCTCCACTTCCAACAGCATCAACTCATCACTACAGAGTCAAAGCTCTGTAGACGTTATAGGAGATGCAGGGAACGAGTCTGGATTGATTTATGGGCAGGGGAACCCGGGAAATCCACGAGGGATTGGCGTTGCTGACAACTTTGACCAAATAATCTTTGAGACCATGCCGGACCTCGATATCTTTGCGCATTTTGATAGAGACTTCGAACTGATCATTTAATTTTTTGTTGGAACAGCCCTGCCCGTAGGGAATTATTGTCGTGAACACGCTTGACTCACAGATGCTGCCAAGGCTAGTGTCATTTGCGGTGAATTGCAAGAGATATCGCCAGTGAAATCCAGGTCAGCAGCCGGCTGCGCGGAGTTTCCCCATGTGGAAGTCGGTCCGTCCCAAGAACACGCCATATGGAAAAAGTCGGACAAGGGGTATAAAAAGACGTGAGCAATATACACGCATGGTTAAGAAGTCCTGCTCCGAGCATTTCTCATCTCACTTCATATTTTCGCAGTGCAACATGTTAAGCTTCAGACCCTCGATTTCAGCTGAGATTTTCTCGCGCCATAAACCAACAATTAAATTGAAGTATGTCCCAGCATTCCCCATTTGTTAATTTTGCTAACGCAGGCTTTAATTATCAGCGTTGAAAATCCAAACGTCGTTTTTCGATTGAGCCACCGCTATGAAGAGCCATTCAACCTCACGGGATGGGTAGAACTTGAAACACACACGCCTTTGCTGGTAAAAGATGTTAAAATTATCCAGAAAGGATTTCGAAAAGTAGTGTAAGTCGTCCGGCAATTTACTGATCCTTTCAACGATGGAGGGGCAACACCCTAACAACTGAGGCAGGTTGAATGCAAACAATCCTCACGAGCAGTGGATACAGCAGGAAGATTGCATACTGTCCACGGAAATTCAGCTCCATTCTTCCAGCCCCACTACGGACTCTGACCGGGAAAATGTATACGGAATTCGCACCTGGCCGTTCAGCATCGCTCTCAGTTCACATATCCCTGAAACTGTGGACGGTCTTCAATCCTCATACATACAATACTCTCTCACGGCAGAAATTTCTACTGGTGGATGGAAAAAGATATACCGATCCGCTCAAAACATTCATGTTACCAAGTCCCCGGGGTTCTGGGCTGATGACGTGAATTTTCTCGAGCAGGTGAGTACCTTCATCCCCAACTCATCAGCGTTTCAACTCACAAGGCAATGCACCAGACGACAGACATTTGGCCGAACAAGTTGAGCTATCAGGTCTCCTCACAGAAAATGTATCAAACCCACGAGAAGTATATGGTTATCAACTTCTCGTTGACCCCGTTGAAGCGTGATATGCGGATTGGCAAGATTCACGTTGAGCTCATTCAAACACGTGTTCTTATTGCAACTAAGGACGGACGGTCATGGCTTGAAGACAAATCTTCTACAACCATTGCATCAACTGTGTCATCAGCTCATTCACATGACAAGGAATCTCATGCATCAGGGCACTCAGATCCGATTGGCGAGTTGGAGATGCGGGATGAGGCGCTAAGCTTTCCTATCATACTACATGTTGATCCAGTTAGGCATAGACTTATGCAAACTGTGGAAGATGAGAAGATCAAGATTCGTCACGCACTGAAGGTCTGCGTAGATCTGCTAAACCCAGAAGGCCACATCAGCAAAGTTAGTCCTTTTCTTCACGACAACCCATCCCTGTCATTGCTGCATGCAAGCAATTCTCTGTTAACTGAGTGATAGCTGATAGTGGAGTTTCATCCGAGACTCTGCGTCGCCATGAATCACGTGGAAGCGGCTGGGCAACAGTCTGAAAGTCCAGATGGAGCCATCACACCACCTCCTTATGGGGATCATGTCTTCGACGAGATATTTGACGCCGAGGAAGATGGGGAGCTTGAATTGCCAGTGTATCAAACTTGAGGAGCCTGAGGTCTTTAACAGACCGCTTCGCATGTACGTCGCCATAATAGAAGGGAAATCAAAGAACGGGTAACGCTTTTCAAATCACGTTGCGGCGTATTCTCCGCTTACGCTAATAACGTATACTCTCTCCTTCTCCCCTCAACTACGATCTCGTATTTAATTCTACACAGACTCGGGTGGACCGCCCACTTAACCGACCACGGAACCTTTTCTATTCCTCATATTTTAGTATATACGTAGTTCATCAGTTCAAGCTGTTATGGCTTCATCGCGCTTCGGTAAAGAGCAATGTGGGGTGCTTAATTTTGGAGTGATATGAGAGGTTTCTGTTTTAGAGAATGAAAACGAGTTTGCTTTAATTCTTAATTTATAGGACAAGGACGTGTACTTTGATGCGGCTCGTCCAGACCTGCGTAGTATATGCAAATCGTTGTACGCGCGTGAGAGGGGGCCGTAGGAAGTTCGGTTAATTGAATCTGTTGGTAGGAATTTAATATGAACTTATTGAACGAGTGATCGGTCTCTGGTCGGATGTTAGTTTCCCAGCGAAGCTATTAAAGTTTACGATGCGTAATACTGCTATTAATTTAAATAAGCGCTATAAAGTGTTACCCGTTGCGAGAAGTAATTAGGCTGCGCGCTGGCTTGAGAATTGTGAATATTACGCTTACCCTTAGCTTCAGCTTTGGGAACCTATTGCAGTCGACAAGTATATCGTAGTGACGAATAGCAGTAAGAAATAGTAGAGATCCGATATATTCATCTAATTAGCGCATTTGTTCAAAGGAAATATTGACACCTGCGTCTGAAGAAATGCTTCCACTTTTCTGTCCTTTCGTTGTCTCCGTACAGACGTTCGTCTGAAAGTCTCTTCCGCCCCGGCGTGGAATTTGGCAGCGATCGGCGAACGGGAATTTTAGTATGAATCCTCCGTATACGCGTATCTGCACGTAAGAACTAGAAGGCTTGGCGACAGCGCGCCGAGCCGAATATGTTCCTTAGCGCTGACAGAAGCCAACACGCGTATTTTACACACGGCTGCGCCGTGGCCCGTGAGTCTTGCGGTGGCGGTGTTTCCCCACGGGAAACGCGACAGCTGAAGCCTCCTTCGCAATGGCTTTGCCGTCGATAGGTATTGTGACGTCATCTTCGAGCCTAACACATTGGGGTCCGCTCATTTTATTCTATCTTTCTGCTTGGCATTTCCTTTTTTGTATACGCGTGTCTGTAAATCGCCTTGCTTGATGATCCTCTAAGCCTCCTTCGATCCTGCTAAGAATAACAGCTGCCAGTTTCCGTTGCGCATCGAAGACAATAACACCAAAGTATATAATGGACCGTACTGGCATCAAAGAGCCTCCCGCTTTCATTTCCAACCCCGATATACCCTTCCACTTTCAACATGTTGTCCAAACCTCATTTCCTTCATACATTCTTGCTCCAAGCCAGCGCTGTTTGCGCTATTGTTCAATCAAGCCACCCTATTCACACCCGAGACCAGGGGATCCAATGGGGTCCTTGCACTTTGAATAGTACCTTGCCGATTGAGTGTGCGAATTTCACTGTGCCGCTGGATTATTCGTCTCCAAACTCAACTGAAACGCTCACCCTTGAGCTGCTCAAGGTTCCGGCCGCAAAGACGCCCTCAAAAGGTAGCGTGCTGCTGAACTTTGGCGGTCCCGGATTCACTGGCCAAGACACCCTGGCAAGCGGTGCAGAGAAGCTCCAAGCTATCACTGGAGGATACCACGATCTCATTACATTCGATCCAAGGTAACGAGATGTCCTTTCTGTCAGACATTGATGGGATGCACTAACACGACATGTCAATGCAGAGGGACTGGCAATGCATTGCCGTATTCGTGCTACAAGAACGATGCCGAGAGGATAGCAGCCGGCGTTACGACCCAGATGCTGTCTGGGAATGCCTCTGACGTCATGCCTGGAAGACTCTGGGGCCTCGCGGACCTATTGGTGGAGAGTTGCGAGGCCAATAACAAGGATACGGGGAGTCTCATTGGAACAGCATTCGTGGCAAGAGACATGATGCGGATCGTCGACGCACTTCGCGAGGACGGGCTGCTCAGATATTGGGGTAAGGACAAACGGGTCACTATAGCGGAGAGCGAAACTAAATGCGAGCTCCAGGGCTCTCGTACGGTACCACGCTCGGTGCAACGGTTGCCGCGATGTTCCCAGACAGGATGGACCGGGTAATTCTGGACGGTGTCCAAAATCCGCACGAGTACTACCACGGCCAGTAGGTTTTCCGTCTTTACAAACTATTTTGAGCATGTACTAATATCACCCTTTCAAGTGACATCGAGATGTTCACCGACACCGACAAAACCTTCGCCGGCGTCCTGTCCGCTTGCGTGGAGGCAGGTCCCGAGCGCTGCGCTCTCGCTGGCTCGAACAGAACCGCTGCATCCCTGGAAAAGGACGTCTACTCACTCATTGAGGAACTCAAGCAACGCCCCATCCCCTTGAGTGGCATCCTCATCGACTACCACCTGGTCCGCGGCTACATTCTCCTTGGCCTGTACAACCCAGTCAACTACCCATCAATCATGGCTCTACTGGATGGTCTTTTGAGCAAAAATCTTACCGTGATCACAGAAGCGATGGCAGGTTCAGCATCTGTCACAGCGTCTGCGGGCAACGATGCGCAGAAAGGCATCCAGTGTGGCGACAAAGGTGCCGATGTGTCTGCGTGGGCAGACCCGGCGAGGAACGGCTTCGACAAGACGATTCTGCCGGCAATGGAAGCGCTCAACGAGAGGAGTCGTTTGGCAGGTGATACTTCGGCGGGCCTCTCTGCTACTTGCGGCCGATGGCGGACGCAGGCTAAGGAGCGATATACGGGTGATTTCAACGTAAAAACGAAGCATCCTATCATGCTCATCGGGAGTATGTTTGATCCCGTCACACCGCTTGTTTCGGCAAAGAATGTCAGTGAGGGATTCGAAGGGAGTGTGGTGTTGCAGCATAACGGGTTCGGGGTAAGTGCTGCATCCTCTAATGTTTAGTCGTTCAATGCTGACTTCAATTGTCTCTCCACAGCATACCTCTCCGGCGCAGATTTCTCTATGCACCACCAAGGCTGTTCAGGCGTACTTGTTGAATGGCACGCTGCCAGAGCCGGGAGCCGTTTGTGAGGTGGATGTCCCCCTGTTCTCAAACATTACTTGGCAAGATGTCCTGCTTTGAGGATTTCATTGATGAATGCATCTTTTGTCTTTGAAGAGTAATATCCACCAGACGTGGCTGTAAATTCTCGGGTCTCAATTTTCAATGGTGCATCAGTTCCGATGTAATTACTACACGCATATAAATATGTCAATATTTACGTCCATGAATTCCGAAATCTTCATCCCAATCAAAAATAGATGGAGGTGTCCAGAAAACTGTAGAGTACCCATCGTTGCTTGCTCAATAATAGGTGCTCCGGAGGAAAAAAGGAACTCTATGGAATCAAATGTACGGCATACTTGAACAACATTCAAGGAACCTCGAATTCGATCTCGATTGCCGTCGCTCTCACAAAATTGATAGAGCCTTGTTGCTACGAAACAGTCAGAGGCACTTTCATTAAATAGACAAAAATAATCGCAAGTTGCTTACCTCGGCCCTTGCCCAGAGTACAACGATGGATCCCGGCTTCAACTTTTCTAAAAATTCCTCACCTTCTCCTTTCTTTACCCCTCTTCTCTTCTCTGCTTCTGTATAACCTCCGCTGCGCCATTCAACTTTGTAGTCACGGATTTTTTTCCTCTCCGTGATATTGTTGCATACCCTCCAAGAGACCTCCCCGTCATCGGTCTCCACGAATTCCCAGCCTCTCTCTTTCAGATCCTCAGCTGCGACGCTGACAGAGTTGAAATGTTCTTGAAACCCATCTTCGCCATCTTGGCTTTCCTTAAGGGCTTCGTTCAAGTCATCGCCTTTGAGATTTCCAGGCAAAGGTCGTAGAATGCTGGCTTCAAACCACGAGTCGATATCTGCAGTGGCTTCATTCGGACCCAGACCCACTCCCCGATCCGCTGCCCTGGTTTGGAAGATAATCCGTTTGGGGACAACTCGATGAATTCCAGTCGATGGATCCGGGTAGGGGATTGGCTCCGTGGCCATGTAAAGTCCAGCCATGCTTCCATTGACCGCGTCATCGGCATAATAATCGACATTCTCCACTTTGCGTTTCACCACCCACGGGCTGTAGCCAAGAGACACGATTGGATTCACCAGTTCAGATGGAAGAGCGCATTCGAGACACTGACGTACGAGCAAGGCGCCGGCGAGCGAAGGTTGGAAAGTGGTGACAAATGGGAGAATATCACCCGTTTCGGGATATCCAGAAGAGCCGAGACCATTATGCCGCGGAATCTGATAATCTCTGATATTGAACATGGTTTTGATTCCTGCAAGGGATTTTGCTGGTATTCTGCTGGCCGCTGTCTTGCAACTGAGGTCAAGAAGAGCGCTGATGTCCAAGTAGTTCGAGGCCTGTGAATTTCAATACCTTGATCAGCGATCTCACTGAGGAAGAGCGCAACGATTTCTCAGAATGGGGCGGGCTACCCGGATGATCTCAATGAGCATGAAGCCGTCGACCTGAATGAATTCCTCGTTCCAGGTGCTGCAATCATTGTTGCCGGTCGCACCATCATTGCTGTAGCGCTTACACCAATCAAGCACCTTGTGCATTACCCGCTCGTTGACCTTTTCCTCCATGTTAGTAGTCATCATGCAGGATGTGAACTGCGAACGTGCATTGGGTATTGGAATAGCTGGTATCAAGTCATCAGACTGGAATCCAAAGTCCGAGAGGAGATTTTTGATGAGGATGGAGACTTCGGCAACCTGTCGCTCTGATTTACTGTCAGCCGATGACGCTGTGGAACAATACGGCGCACGTGAGCATCTACACACCAATTGTGATGTCGACACCATCAGAAGTGGTGACGGTAACCTGCTGTCTCGACATTTTTGGGGTGCACCATGGGAATGCGAAGTTGATCAATTTTGATGTTTCAGAAAAGCGGTCAAGCGACTCAGTGAGGCTTTCCTAAGTATTACCCGGAGATCTACATTCTCCGTCTCCGCCCTTGTGTAACAATGTCAGCGGCATGATTTATGGTAGCCACGACTGGTAGAGCGGAAACTCAAGATGAATTCTCATAACATAACTCAGATAGTACAACAGCTTCTACTTAGCAAAGTGCGCTGTAAAGACCATAGCGTCTTGTTTTGTCTTGTTTCACCTTGTTTTGTTCTGTTTTGTCTTGAGTTGTTTTTGCAGGTAGGAAGTCCTGGACAGTATTGGGAAAGTCGGCCGGATTACAATTCAAAAGTAAATTAGACTTCTGATCGGAGTCAGCATCTGCGCTAATGTTGCATTGGCAAACGTCGCATACTCGAAGTGGATTGAAATAGCCAACCGTGGATTAATCAACCTGATGAGTTCAACGCCCTGTTTTGCATCCATCGTCACCATCGATAGAGCATCTCCGGCTTGGAAATCGTGGTGCCGCTGAGATGGATTATCATTAAGTCTATGCTATGATCTTTGCATTTCTCTAGGATTTCGTAAGCTCGTCATCCGTGAGAGCGTCGCCTAATGTGTAGATTCTATGCTCGAGTTAATAGAGTGTACCACCGTAGCTGTTCTCAACTCATTAGTAGCCGTAGTTGAATGATGCGTCTTCTTCAGCCATGTCCCTGTATCCGAGCTCAATCACCCAGCCATTCGTCGGTGGCACCGCCTGAAACAGTTCGTTGGCTGCCTTCAATGCTCCTGCCGTACCAGGTGGTGCATGTTTCCCAGGTATGCCGGTGACTTTGATAGCAGACATGCGGCCATCCTCTGCAGGGTGCACAATATCAAGAAACAGAGTGATCCAAATCAAGCACTTGACTGAAAGCTTTCGTTGATACCTCTGGTGGTCGGCTGACTTTTTGCATGCGGCGTGGTGATGATGGGCAGCCATCTTCGCTGAGACGCTTCCACTTCATGGTCAAGGTGGCCGGCAAGGTAGTGTGAAAGTAGAATCACATCGATTTACAGTAGCTGGACTGGGTCAATTGCAGAGTTCATTTGCCACGTTGCCCGAGTACCTGGACTGAGACGGACATATTCTCTGGCGTGTAGTGCTGTCATTATTCGAGAACCTCCCCCTTTTAAGATAGTCACAGCGGTTTTGATGATGGACATACTGGCATTCTCATCTCCGGCACCAATAGAGGCTATTTTTACTTCTTCGGGGAGGGAAGAGACTCTGTTACGGAACCAGCTACAGCATTCCGAAGGGCTAAGTTAGAGACTGGAGTACGTCATCTTGATATCAATAGAACGTTAGCAGGCGAAGCTGTCAACATTAATCGTAGTTCGAATGGGTCCGTAAATATTAAAAGCATGATGTTGCAGAGATCAAATGTCCATTACGATCACATCATGAAATGCACGACTGTCTCGAGCACAGAATCATTAGAGAAATCAATAAAAATTAGAAAGTGATATATTTCAACGAGAGGCAGATGCGAACTGCGAACATGTCCATGCCTTCCACAGCTACAAACATAACGCTGAGCGGAAACCTCAATGAATGCAGCAAGTGTAGCCTAAGCATCACTTTCTGAGTAAGATAAATGAGAAATGTTCAGCCATGTCTACTTTTTCTTCCTTGCATTCCTCTCACAGCCAACCATTTAACACACACCAGCCTTTTTCACGCCGAGCCTCTTCGACAGTGTCACCCACGCACCAACGTACGCCAGGGTACGGAACGCCAGTGGGTCAGCCTCATCGCCGAAAGCACGGCCCAGCGCATCCTCAACAACGGAATACTCGAAGAAGCCCAGCTGCTCGACGGCATCGCGGGACAGCAGGTTCTCGAACATGCGGTGCAGCGGGCCACCCTGGGGCCACTTGCTTGGGGCTAGGAAGGGAACCTTCTTGCGGCGGTATAGCTCGTCAGTGATGTAGGGGCGGACGGCCTCGCGCAGGACCCACTTGGCTGAGAGAGACTGGAGAGCCTTGCCGGACGCCTTCCAAACAGGGCCATGGCTCTCGATGTCGGCGTGGTCTCCCTCGGCAGGCGGGTTGTAGGCAATCTTGACGCTGGGCGGGAGGGCGTTGACGTATTCAGCCAGATGGTGGTCGAGGAAGGGAGTGCGGGACTCGATGCTGTGCGCCATGTCGGTGCGGTCGCCCAGGCATGCCAGCAGGACGTTGGGAAAGGTGCTCTTGGTCCACATGTACAGCGCCGAGTGCAGCGGATGCCAGCGGTTCTGCATTTTGTCGAGGACCTCGGGGGAATGCGAATTCATGATCACCGAGTGGCGGTCCATATTGGCGTGTTGCTCGCGTACCCACGGGCTGAAGGACTCGAGGGGTGGGTGGCCGACCAGGAGGGTGCCAGCAAAGCTGCTGCCCTCGGTTTTGGCTCCAAGCATGCGCATGATGGCCTGCAGCTCAGCTTCAGCCTTGCGCTGCATTCCCCCGCGCAGCTCGTGGTCAGTGGCGAGAACCGAGTCCGGCAGGGCCAAGTCAGGCTCACGCAGGAACTCTGCGGGGAAAAAGGGATATCCGGCAAAATGCTCATCGGCACCTTCTCCCGTGAGGACAACCTTAAATCCTCGTTCTCGAGTGAGGGAAGACAGGGCGAACTTGGCGACGCTGTTCATGTCGAAGTGGTGGTGCTCGCTGTGATAGGCAGTGTCGGCAAAGTCCCGCGCCAGCGTCGCCTCGTCGACGTCCTTCTTGATTACCTCGACTCCCAGCCACTCAGCAGTACGCTCCGCGATGCTTGACTCATCGTATCCCGATGCCTTTGGGAATTGGACACTGAAGCATGCCACTCTCGTTGCTTCCTGGCTTCCGAGCTTGACGTGCTCCTCGCGAGCCAGCTGCGTCACGATGCCTGCCACTGCCGACGAGTCAATGCCACCGGAGAGGTAAACGCCCACCGGCACGTCGGCTCTGAGTCTTAGCCGAATGGCTTCGACAAGCCGCTCACGCACTCCAAGTATCATCTCCTCAACGCTGCGAGTCTCGACTTTGGTCTGTTCGCCGTCAGCGTATTAGTTCCTTACGGATGGAGGAAGGATGGCTCACCTTATCACCATACTCAGCGTCCCAGTATCTATGCATCTCCATGCCGCGTTCCTCAGTCACCTCCATCCAATGGCCCGGCAGCAGCTTCCGCACGTCCTTGAACAGCGTCCTGTCATCCAGCGCCCACCCACATTCCACGATGCTGGCGACATCCCACTCGGGCTGCCATCCCATGGGCAAGAAGGCCTTCGCCTCGGCCGCCAGGAGCAGGCGGCCCGCGACGACTGTCCACATCAGGGGCTTGATGCCGAAGCGGTCGCGGCCAACAATGACGCGGCGGCTGCCCTCGCGAGTATCGACCAGCACGAAGGCGAATTCGCCACGCAGGTGTTCGAACATGCCGGGGGCACCGTGGATCTTGTACAGGGCGAGCACGAGCTCGCTGTCGCTCTCGCCGGTGAATGTGTAGCCGTGCTGGGTGGCGCACTCGGCTCGGAGGCGGTCGTGGTCGTAGATCTCGCCGTTGACGACGGCGTGCAGCTCGCCGCAGTCGCTGTGCAGCGGCTGGTGACCCGAGGGCGTGATGTCGTTGATCGAAAGCCGGCAGTGTCCGAGTCCAATGCGGCCGTCCGGGCTCAGCCACAAGCCCGAGTCGTCTGGTCCACGGTGACTGATCACGTCGAGGGACTTTTGCAGTTGCTCTGTGAGCACTCTGGTTGCTGTGCCATCATCGTCATGACCATTGGAACAGCCACTGGATAGGGCGACAGACGCTGTGATACCGCACATCTTGATGATAAAGAATTCGACAGTGGTAGAGAGGAAAGAATAGTGGGATGGCTTTGAACAACATCATGAGATTCTAGGCAGCCGTTTTATAGTACCCTGGTAGCATCGGCTTTGTAAAGTTAGCCGAGAAGGCATCTTCCGCTTTGTGGGGGCAGGGTGTCCATCCATGCAGGCACGGCAAATCTTTGCCCGATTTGGAGATTCCATGAATCCTTCGAGACCTAAGCGCTTATATTTATTCTTAGCTTGTTTACTGCTTCGACCCTAAACTATGTTACTCTTCCCTATTTCGTCCCTGCTTCTACCCTTCAGCATGCTTACTGTTTCTCATTCCGCTCCTACTTCTACCCTAATGCACATTTACTTTTTCCTATTCCGTCACCCAACAATATCGTCTACGAGTGCTGCCTGCAAGTCGTGTTTAGTGACGTAAGTGACCCATGACAGCTTTACAACGAACATTTCATTCACGCATGTGTTACAGGGTATGGCTTCAACGCTACAGAAGACCAATATATAAATTCATCGATAGTCAGTGACAATTCATCAACAGCTCCAACCACGCTTGCTCTTGGCTGGGCTCCTCTCGATATCAGAGGCGGGAGTGGATCTAAACAAAAAATTTAATTTAAAGGGCTTACGCCGTAATTTTAATAACACATAGAACTAGAGCTCTAATCGAGCAGTTTCATTGAATACAAAAACAGGACCGTGCTTTGTAAAGGCTGTGGCATAATCGTCGGGTGTGAACTGGTCCAGAAAAGTAATACACCCCCTTCATTTTTTTTTTTTAACCTGCGGACGCACCCCTTCATTCGTGGCGATCTGCTTCAAGTTGTTCCAGCAAGACCTTTTGGACAATTATGTAGAGCTGCCAATCTCCTCCGGGTGTGGAGAATCCAATACGACAGTGAAGTGCTGTTTTTGTAAATTCCTGCTTTTCAAGAATTTCCGCGGCGGATATCTCTTAAATCTCAAATTGGCGGATGAAAATATCAGCATTTGGCATATCCTTGAGAAACGACCTGAAAGTTACAAGTACCAGTGTTTGAAAGTCTGAACACGGAGAGGAAAACGGGAATGACCATGAGGCGAGAGGCAACGATGTGGCCTCAGTTGTAATCGGCCAGACCAACAAGTGAACACCAAAAGCCGTTAGGCAAGTCTTCCGCATGGTCTTCCATGAGCTGCGGGGACTATCCGGAATAGCGCGGTCGGGCAAAGGAAAGACCATTTGGAGGGATATATATAATAGTCGACATTCCTAAAATTCCTCATGTGGTTGCTATAGGATTCCTTCGTCAAAAACTCTAATAGAATTTCATAAAACCTCTAATGGAATTCCATTCTGTTCCGGTTCGAGTTCGAGCTGTGTTCTCACGCCTATGATTGTGTCTCAAATATTTATTTGGGAACCTCTACTTGGCTTGATACATTGTGTCAGTGAAGGAAGGTAATTTGGAGAGGCTATAACAAGGTTCGTCCCCGCACGACTTTCGGAATATGCGCGATCATGGGGATTTTCGCCGTGCTTGTTGGCTAAATATACCCGTGGTCGATGAAATACATAACTCTCTTTGACTGTTCTGCCGGCAGATGGAAATGCGCGATTTTTCGGCTGCCCGGATCTGATTAGGGGTACCCTGGTCGATGCGGATAGACAAGCACGTCCCGCATTGTGGAGGAGCTATTTAAGGTTCCGCGCCTCACCCCGCATTGCAACTTACACCTCAACCGCATTTCCAAGTCCCAATTTCGACCTCTACCAGATACCGATAGACATGACGTCTTCACACTCGAGGATTAGGCAGGATATGCTTTCTGCAACCGACATCGCGAAGTTCCGGGTGTGCGACAACTGTAGGATGTGAGTTTGTCGAGATTTCCTTTTGTCGGACTCATGAGGTTAACATCGCGCGAAAAGCAAGAAGACAAGATGTAAGTATGGCTGGCGTTCATAAAGTTACTCACTCACACTTATTTAATCTGAAAGGCGACATGAAGCGTCCAAGCTGCGACAGCTGCCGTATGCGTGGCCTGGGCTGTACATATAGCCAACGGAGACGAAAGCCGGGTAGGGTCGATTCTACTCTGCCCAGACAATCATTAACATCGAATGCAAATAGGGCCTCCCAAAAGGCGTTCACCTCTGAGGCCTACTTTCGACCAAACCGAGGCACACTCTCCAGCTTGGGGACATGCCGACACGTCAGGCTTCCCCGCAGGTGCCCCACTTGACAGTCCGTGCGCGTCCGATTGTATGCCAGGGCTCAGCCAGGAGATTGAAGACTACTTGTACAGCAAACATGCAATCCCATCTGAAAGAAATACGCCTAAACATGCTGCAGACTGGACCTTTATTTCGATCACGTGCAACCGATCTACCCTCTGTTCCGCAAACCACGATGCGCCGCCTCTACCCTCCTGCCACGGCTTAAGATGGCCGTCTTCGCCGTTTCATCACGTTTCGCAGTCGTCCCGCCCCCCTTCACGCCCGCGGACTTTGCCCAGCGCGCCGAGACCTTTGGCAAAAGCACGAAGCTGAGTATCGATGAGATCAAGGCTTCTTTCTTACTGTGTGTGCACGCCATGTCCAACCCCCTTGACTGGAATGCCATTGCCGAGGTGGGCCGGGTCATGCGGATGGCGGACCTCTACGACACGCTGCGCCCTAGGGAATTCGAATTTGACGGCACCGGGGGAGATGGGCAGGATGGCGATGCGTCTGACTGCGATGCAGAGGAGTGGAAGAGCGTCTGGTGGTCGATTTACTCATTGGATACATGCTGCACTACTCTGGCGTACGTTTGGCTCCACCTCCCCAAAGAATTGCTTATGAAATGTTTTGTAGAGTCACTTCACCCGCAAGCGCAGCTCAGTCGCCACCAGGCAGAATCGAGCTGCCCTCCCTCTCCGTCTCCGACTTCACAGAATCGCTTCGAGCCAGCACCGAGGCCATTACGGGCGGGCTCCATCCCCTTCCCTCCACATCGTGCATCAAAAATTGGGAAATTATGAGTGACACCTTCACGCGGTACTCCTGCTGCAACCGAAACTTCTACTTTGGTGCATGCCACGTGATGCGAGCAGCTACCGAGTTGCGCTCGCGCATCCGGCTCGAACGCAATGAGCGTGTCCTGCAGAATCTGCTACAGGACTTCGAGAGCGAGTGTGCAGCTGCTGTGCTTGCGCTGCCATCGTGGGTGTCCAATCCTGTGCGCAACTTTGCTGCTGGCGAAGCGGAGAAGGAGCATCGAAGTCGGCTAGACACGCTGCTTTTGTTTCGTTGGTGAGCATGTCCACTATTTCCGCACCGGAAGTATGCTTACACATAACCGCAGCGCTTCCATGCTGGTGACTGTTGTTAATGCGCAGGTGAGCGTACGCGCCTCGTCACTGCCGGATAGCACCGGTGTGGCTCAAACGCATTGGCAGCGCGTCATGTCCAAGGCAGGCGAAGTGGTTCAGGTGGTGCAGAACTGGAGGCCGGAATACTTCGACTGCGTCGACCCCATGTGCTCGTATATCGTATACCTCACTGCCGGTACTCTCGTCATAGATTGTCGAATACAGCGCTCGGGCGGGGTGGAGTCCGTCCAGTCACACTCCTCGGGGCACTTGGATCTTTTGACATTGTTCCTGGATCGGGTTGGACGATACTGGGAGGTAGGACGCTTTCTCGGGGGTACGTTGCATTGTTAATAAGCCAGCCATCTCCTTTTCATTGTTTCTGACTTGAAGCAGATTCTCTCCGTGACCTAAAGAAGAGTAGCTTAATTCCGACGACGTATGAGGCAGCTATCGAGCTCATGTCACAATTTCTACACCCGATGGGTACTCAAGCTCTGAGCGGTAGTAGAAGGGCAGACCATAATACTCATCAGTCGTTCGTTGATAATATCACCCTAGATAATTTCGAACTCGAGGCACTGGTGGGGAATACGGAGCTTGACAGCGATTTCCTCGGAGCTCTGGCTCCCGATGGCGATTTTGTGTCCGAGTGGCGGGAAGATATCATGCTTTAAATGATGATATGGTTGCTACATTCCTGTAAGCTAAGAGATGTTACAATGCTGAGAAACCCCACAGAATCCGTCCATTGCGCCATCCATTATGCTCTTTTGACCAAGTCTCACTGCGCCGTCAAAAGCTCCCTCGACTTATTCAATTGCTCACGAAGTTGGTCCAACGATTGTGCCTCCGAGAATACAATCAAGTCCGAGCGTACCAATGCGTATTTTGTTTCATGCTGGAATCGCCGACGAAAAGAGGCCACGTCGTAACCTGGGAGGGAAGGAAGTCCAGCTTTCGCTACATCCTCAAGGGTAGCGGGCGCAAACCTTGCGGCTGATAGGGATGATGGAGCAGAAAAAAGCGCTATGTCGTCACAGAGCTCCACCGGTTCGCTAGCCAACAAGTACGAAGGTAGATTCACAGACATAAGAGTCTCGTTGATGACCACCGCTTCCTGCTTAGAGGGGCTGTAGAGAACCAATAAAGTAAGGACGGCTTGAGATCTCCAGAAGAGGTAGTCTGAAAGCTGTATCGCGCAGTCCGATGATTTGACATAGATCTGAGCAACCTTCAGACCGCCACAATAGTTAGGCATGAAGTAGCCATGATCGACATCCTTGATGCCAACTGCATCTGTCAAGATCCTTCGAAAGAAGGCATCTCGTAGGAAAGGCACGTATTCCAGGATTCCGCTGACCAGGTTCGCTACTGTGGCGACAAGGGGTGATTTATTCAGCAAAAAGCGCCCCATCCGCATGGTCTCCGTGATCGCTTGATCAACCCCTTCACGCCGTTCTCGTGACCAGGTGCTCAGTAAATCGTGGGCTTGTGGAGACAGTTCAGCGCGGACTGTGCGATTGCACAGTAGTGCAAGGCGCCAGGACAACGAGAAAGCGTCCCGGATACCGCTGGCCATTCCCTGGGCGCCAAAGGGAGGGAAGACGTGGGCTGCGTCGCCTATCAGGATGATGCGATTGTGAAACCACTGATTGACTACTTTGTGGACGAAGCTATCCCTGGTCAGCCCGAGCGTGTTTGGAGTTGGGCGCAGGATGAGAATACTTACTGCGCGGGAGCACACCGGATGACATTGACACAATCCCATGGAAACTTTACCGGACCGGGGGGAGTCTTGCCGTTTCGTCTTGGACGATCCTCAGAAAAATGAGTCCGGATGTGGCCTGGGGTACACTCACCTGAGGCGCTCCCTCTGAAGAGTCAAATGTGGACGCATCTGCTCTTCCAGATGCTGTTCGAAATCATCAGGTTTGAAACCTGCAGGTAGCTCATACTCGAATCTTAAGTCAATTATTAGCTACCATTCTTCCAATCACTTCCGGGAAATATCATTTACCTCCAGTACTTGTCATTGGCAGGGCCGAATCTGCCGGTCGCAACAGGCATTGTCGGGTGGTTGCAGAAACTGTTGGCCGATCAGCTGCAATTCGAGAACCAAAGAACAGCGAAGACTCGTCATGCGTACTGGAAACCTTCCGGCCAAAACAAGTCCCACAACTCTTCAGGCTTGTATCCAAGACTCCATAACGGGAAGTCCGGATGGGATGTCGGAGTCGGTAGCATAATGTGCAGGTTCGCCGCTATCCACTCCGCATCATAGTGCATCCTACCCTTTCGTGAGCCAGCCAAAACATAAATGCCAGATATAGGGTTTCGTACAATCCTGGTATCTGCTCTATACCCTTGGCCTCGAGGTATTCTTTACGCACAAAGCCACGCTTGCCATCAGCGCCCACCAAGTAAGCGCCTTTCAACTTGGCCTCGGTCCCATCGCCCCGAGTGTACGATACAACAACGCCATCCGCAACCTCAAGAATTGATGTCAATGTGCATTGAAGCCGCAACTCGGCGTACGCAGACGACAGGACCTGTTCACGTAATGCTTGCTCTGCAGACATTCAGCTTACAGACAGTTTCCAGATCTGGACTTGGAACTTACCCAGACCCGGCTGTAGGATAACACCTGCTGGCTGATGCACCTGCTCAAGCCAGTCGTGATGTTGATTCAAGGTGAAGAACGGTTTGGTCGTCCAAAGACCGGGGTGGTAATTCACCGAGAACAATCCTGGGCGCGGTTGTTAGTCGTCACTGTGATGAGGAGGAAAAAAGGAAAAACTTGCCCTGCGCAAATTCATGCAGCTTGCTGTGGTTGATTCCGAGAAATTCGAGCACTCGAGAGACGTCGCCGGCAAAAGCAATAGCGCGCGGGTCTTCGCATACCTCCAGGTTCTTCTCAAGGATTATCGACTGCGTTGTAGTAGATTTGTGCAGTTAGTTATAACAGCCGCCGCAAGAGGTTGGATTGTACTGACTTTGATCTTCCAATTCGAGAGCGCGGTGGCGAGAGCAAGACCAGCCGGGCCAGCTCCAACGATGACGACTGTAGTTTCCTCCATTGGTCGATTATCACAACAAGACAGGCATTTCGTTCCTCTTAGTGCTTCAAGCCTTAATTTTAATAGGTGCAGAGATTCGACTCCGCTCGGATCCGACTGCGTAGGAGAAACACTATGCTGGAACGGTGTTCTGAATTTGGCCGTGTCCTGTGTTGCTCCGACACAAGTGCGGGGGCCCGGAGGAACATCCATGCACACGATTTCCGAGCAACAAGGTCAACCAATTAACGTTCTTCGCAAATAATTGTTCTGCCTCTTCCGCCTGTTTCCGGCGCCGGCCGGTCCTGTCAAAGAAGAACGAAATCCAGTGCCTCGGCAGCAGTTCCTCCACGGATCCTCCGCGGATCCTCCGCGGATCGGAAGAGTCAGTCATGTTATTCCACCAGAGGATTACCTAGCAGCGGAGCGAATGCATATCGCCACTTTGAGCAAGTGCAGCATGGCTGAGAACGTGTGAACTTCAATAAATAGGTCCGAGTCCACCGGTGGGGTCATTTCAAATCCAGAAACATCACCATTCGAACTTTCTATTGTCCAGACCAACATCCTTACTATGGCGGCTACGCGTCTCCCTGAGATCCACAACGAACCCTCGAAGATCCAGCTCGAGCGTCCATCGCATGTCGACTTTGCTCATGCAGACCTGGCAAAATTCCAGACGTTTGCCAAACATTTCGGCCTGATCGAAGCCTGGCGCGGTGAGGACATAGTCGTGTACCGTGGCTATGGCAAAGACCCGTATTGCTACGTGGCTCGCCAGTCTACCACAGGTACCTCGACATTCGGCGGCGGTTCCTGGCTTGCTCAGACGCAGGCTGATTTCGACAAGGCCGCCGCCCTGGATGGAGCGGTAGTAACGGATCTATCCCCGTTCCCTGGTGGAGGGCGGAAAGTCACTTTGAAGACGCCGTCCGGCTTCCTGATGCATGTGGTGTACGGTCAGGAGGAGAGACCGGAGGCGGCTTCCGTGCCATCTGCGCAAGTCGATGAGTTTGGTCCGCTTAATGGAAGCTTCAACAAACAGAGACTGGGTGAGTTTGTGGGACCGCCGTGATTGGCAGGGAATGGCTTCTAATTAGATGCTCAGGCAAATTTCAGCGTTTCCATGAGGGACCCGCAATGGTCCACAAGCTCGGCCACTACGGATTCCACGTTTCGAAATGGGAAGCCGAGGTACGGTGGTACACGGACAATTTCAACTTCGTCCCTTCAAACGTGGAATACCACCCCGAGAATGAAGACCTTGATGTCATTACATTCATGCATCTTGACCTGGGGGAGCGCTTCTCGGACCATCACTCATTTTTCCTAGCTCGTGCTACGCCTGAAAAGGCGGATGCTCTGCACCACATATCTTTTGAGGTAGAGGACTTCGACACGCAGCTTCTTGGTCATTATTGGTTGGCAAATCATGGCTACCAATCTGTTTGGGGTGTTGGCAGACATATTCTCGGCTCGCAGATTTTTGACTATTGGCGGGACACGAGTGGATTCTTGGTCGAGCATTACGCTGATGGGGATCTGGTCAACGTGCATACGGGCACTAAAAGGTCTAAAGCAGGCCCGCTGGCCATTTGGGGCCCAGACATGCCGAAGGACTTGTAAGCATATGACAGGTAGCTCTCTAGGCATGCTTTGTTCATTGCTTGTTCAATTGCCTTCGTTTGATTTCTTTGTTTACCCCACGGCTTTATTTTCTATTAGCTCGGTTGGCAGTGGTGTATTACCACCGCTTGCCACATTAAATAATAGATATTCATTCGCATTATCAAAGCGCTTTCTCTAGGACTTCATAGAGTAAATCCTTTCTAACACGGCACAACCGCCTAATCCAACGGTAAAGATGGTAGTTAATATCAAAAATACATAGTTTGTTGGTCGACAAGCCTCATATAGTTCAAGATACTATTTGCGTCATTCTCTAGTAGTCAAAGCAATATGTAGCACGATTTCCACAGAGAATTAGGTAAATAGCCTCCCAGCTCTCTTTATAGTCGGCGGCCTCCGGCACATCCTCCTACGCCCTCTTTAGGCTTGGCTGTTGCGTTAAGTTGCAGAGTTAAGCTTTGCAGCCAATAGATAAGCTAGGATAAGAAGCTCAAGGTGCCGGCAGATTGCTCCGGCGAAAGAGAGCTAAAAGCACGGCCCTCGGAGGATCTTAGAAAGATGCTCCGCGGATCCGGAGCAACCCCCCATCTCCTCAGAAACGAGTCTTTCCCTCCGGCACCGGCCTCACTTTGCTAACCCGGAGCAAATATCACGCCGACTCGGACAGATTGATAACTACCGGACATTTGACGATACACATGGATCTCTGTTTCTGCTTCAAGTATATAGGTCTTGCGGACATATAGCCAATTTTGCCCATAGCACCTGAAAAACTATTTTTTGTTTAAAAAAAAAGAGCTACCGACATTCATCACAATGACTTCTTGGAAGCATCTGATACGCTTCGAGGCGACTAATGGGACGATTTATTTCGCTTCGATTGATGCGCCAAAAAAGACCTCCGAGTTAGTGGACCTTTCCATGACTGGGTTCTCCTCCCTCGACGATCTTCAAAATCAAACGAAGGGGCAACCAGTCACTGTAAAAGAGGTAAGCATTGACACGTCGCCTCGGGTTCCCATGTTGTCATATTGACCAAGTTCGTGTCGAATTATACAGGTGCTGGCGCCAGTGCCATACAATGACATGGAAATCATCTGCATCGGAGTGAATTACCGCGAACATGCAGAGGAGGCAAACGTAAGGTACCCCTTCAAATTCTCTGATGCTCCCACAGCGCCGTCCTTTGAAAGTCATTTTACTGATGCATTTCTACGTGCTCAAATTTACAGCTTACGGTCCCGCTTGATCCTGTGATGTGGTACAAGCCCAAGAGAGCGCTTGCCGGACCTGGGAGTATCCCTATCCCGAAGTGTGCTGCAGAGGGCTTCCTCGACTTTGAGGTATGGCTTCCTCTTCTCAATGTTGCCTGTGTTGAGCTTTTCAGGACACATTCTTCGGCCCGAAGCACACTCAGGCCTGACTAACGAACCTCGCAGGGAGAGCTGACAATCGTTACATCCAAAGATGCTCGCGACGTGAGCGTCGAGGATGCCCCAAACTACATTCTGGGGTATACGGTCGGCAACGACTTGACTGCGCGAATGTACCAGGACCCAAAGCGCGCGGGGGGACAGTTCACCCGGTGCAAGGCTTTCGACAGGTTTGCCCCAATCGGCCCAGTTCTCACCAGTCCAGCCGTCGTTGGCAGCGTAGATGAACAAAGAATTACGACCAAGGTCAACGGAAAGGTTTTCCAGAACAGCACATGCAATCTGATTCATGGACCGGCTGCCTTGATCAGCTTTCTCTCTCGCGGTAAGACTGTCCATGATAGATAAACTTAGCATCTTTGGTTCGTTCAACTAATACGTCGGGAACGGCAGGAACAACACTGCCGGCAGGATCTGTGATCTTAACTGGCTCTCCCCCTGGCATTGGGTACTTCCAGGACCCGAAGTACAGCCTCAAGAACGGAGATGTCGTGGAGATTGAAATATCCTCAATTGGTGCCCTGGAGAATACTGTAGCGTTCGAGTAGCCGTCTGTTGGCCACTAGGGATTTGGGATGAAAGGCACCAACTACAAGAAACATCGTTGGTATCATGGATTTATTAAATCCAGGTGAGATAAGACCGGGCCTCATCGGGCAGAGAGTTGGATAGAGGCGTAGGCAAACGTCCCTGGTGAACGAATCAAAATGCTCTCGCGCTTGTTAGCACTAGCAGCCTTCGTGGGTCAACGAAATAAATTTATCGATATTTATCTATGGTGTTCGGAAGCGAATCAACAGAAGAGACATTCTTTCCTTCATACTAGCAGTGAGGTCCTAGCGGTTCCAGGATGTGTGCATGTATGTTCATGCAGTCGTGGTCTTTCGGGTCGAGAAGAACATGCAAATGATCAACGAGAATCTTTACCTCCGGCCAGCTTAATTGAAGCCACATCCAAAGTCGAAGCTCGTCGATGGATTCTGAGCACGGCTGTTAATGTAGATCAAGGAAAGTGATGGCTTCGCGTACCTGTCAGTTTAGATGCTATTGGCCACCACGTGGAAAACCGGCAAAGAGACGTGTAGATGATGTCGACGGCAGTCTCCAACCGGCGTGTTATAGGCTCGGAAGTGGAGAGCTCCGAAGGGATCGACATAGCGTGAATCAATAGTACCGTGCCGGCATACCAGATTAAATAGCTGGTGATCGGATTGACAACTTCGTAGTACGACTCATCCCAGTGCTCGAAGATGGAACTGATATCCTCGGCATATCTCACACAGTTCTGCCATCTTTGAATGTTGAGCTCCTCGGGGTCGTCGTCATTGATTTGAAATATGGGGAGTTCGCTTTGAAGGCGAAGGCTGTCGCAAAATGATATTGTCAACCAAAGGTCATGAATCAAACCAGACGCAGGGCCTTACACGTTGAATTGTAATAGCATCTCCAGTCGCCTCCGGTGCTGGTGCGGTGCTTCCTGCTGCTCAACTCTGCGAGCCGGGCCGTGAAACCACCCCGGCAATGAGCTCTGTATTAAATGGCAGGCGGAGACAATATTACTGAGTTGGTCGCGATGATCAGCCCTGGAATTGAGCCCCAATAGGCAGCGGAGAACATGTGATTCTCGCAATAGAGCGGTGATGCGAATGTAAATCCTTTCGCAATCAACATTTTGATCCGGCCCGTCGCGCCTCAAGACCTGCTCGAACCCCCGAGGACCAGTCTGTAAACCCTCTTTGGACGAGGGGCGTAACAAGTCTGCAGTGAAATCCTCGATGGAGGTAGATGGGAGGAATGTGCAGATAAGGTTGTCGTTGATCCCCAGCTGAGTGAGCGCAATTCCGTTGAAGCAAGTGTCGAGTTTGTAGATTGTCCACCAAGCAAAGCGACACTCTTCCCGCTCTTCTTCTGTCATGTTACATTTCATCTTCGGGCTGTCTATCTGGTGTATTCCGCTGCCGATGGCCGTCCGAGTCATGCGTCCTGCCTGGGACCAAGCTTCGTCGCCCGGAAACTGTATGTATTCGTAGACGGCAAGAAGGCACTCCTTCTTTGCGGCATTCAGGTCAATCGTATTAGATTTTGTTGAAGCCTCTGTCTCACAGCGGGGGTCTGACTGGGACAAAATGGCTTGCCAATGGCGGTAGTCCCTGTGCTGAGCCAGCCTTGTGTTCGGAGAGAATCTGGCCGCGAGGGCTAGCATAATGGCTAGAAGCTCTCTTGGAATTCTACCGGAGATGATATCTTGATAGAACACCGGCTCGCGGAAAAGTGGAAACATTGGTTGGATATGGGAGAAGTACAAGGCAAAGCTTGAGAGGATTAGCAGTGCAGGAACCGAAGGGGGAGTACTTACAGTTGGTCCAAGTCTGCTTGGTCGATAGTGCTTTTTTCTGTTGGTATTGCCAAGTTGCAAGCACTGGAGTCCGGGAACAGCGGGCTTGTTCTGTTCATATACGGCATTTCTGGACTGGAAAAAAGGCCTGATGGTCCATGAGTGCCTTCCGTAGCACTTGAACTGTCCGAAGCAACCACATCTGATGTGATGGTCTCCGCACCAAATTTCCTTCCATTCGGACGGACTTGAGGTCGTGTGAGAAGAGCGTTATTCGAATAAATCATTGACTCCAAAGTGGCTGCGAAAGCATCAGCATACTCGCAACCAGCCCTGCCTTAGCTTCCCAGTCGAGAACCAGACATACCGATCCGGGAAAGCAGTGCACATCTCCGACGGCCTTTCGTTCCCTTCTGTGGGCCAGGCTTTCGACGCTTACCGCTATAAACGCATTCGAATTCGCGGTTGCGGCAGTGAGAGCATGAGGGTTTCTCCAAAGTACCTTTCGAATGGAATGAGCATGTAACGCTTGAGGAAATTCAGGGACGTACATTTTCTCTTCACCCTTTGGATAGAGAACATTGACGTATCAATAAATGACAGTCTACGAATGGGGCTTAGGGCAAAACGTACCTTCTGCAGTTCTCACAAGCCCGGTCCGGCTTGGCACTTCCGGTGGCTTCCGTCTGCATCGGCAGGGTCCTTCGAGTGGTGCAGATACTGGATACGTCTGATGGACTTTTGGCTGGGGTTGATGCCATTAATGCCTCCAAATGAGCGTCCGCGCCAGTTTTGAAAGTGTTGGTGCTGTGTCCGTTGCCTACGATGATTGTGTCAAGAGAGTGGTAGTCGCTGCAGGACACCTTAAATATGAAATGAAGAAGAGTTTATCGGGCCGGGCACCGTTGCTCCGTGCTCTCTAGCCCCGCGCGCCTTTCCCGCGTAACGACAGGGATTTCCCAGTCAACAGCACTTAGCCACACCGGTCGTACAACATGAAGCAGACAGCGCTGTAATTCACGTCGCTGTAGTCCTCCGATAAGGGCTCTTCCTAGCCAAAGAGTGATGCGAGACAATTAAGGGGGCGCACGAAAGCTACCTTACATCGTTTAGACGCCAGATGTTAACGCCAACCCGCTAATTAGAGCCTGTGGCGAACCCACAAAGACAGAGAGAACAGCATCCTATTGGAGGACTACAAACTTCTGAATGACGTGGAATAGCTCAAAGTCCCTTGGCCATGCCCCTGGTTTCCATTACGAGTAGCGCATGATCTGCATTTGACTGGAATACGTGTACTTTTCAGCCTCCAATAGGATATTTTGCTTACGAGCCGCGAAAAACCGGTGGTATCCGGATCCGCCTCACTTTTTTCATCTGTGCGGAGTATTCAGTTCTGCAAGTCATGTTGAAATATAGAAGGTGCACAGCGGTCTGAAAAGAGACGTCTAGTTCCTTCTCCCTATAGCCATACGCACAAATGATATAGGTGCGTGTGTATATCACGTGCCAACTAAGCTGAGTGGTCAACCTGTGAACCCGATCCTAACGGTACCTGGAAACATCTTGTGTCCAGATCCGCTTTTAGACCTTCCTCTCCGTAACTCTGACCATGAAGTTCTTTTGCTTTACAAACCAAGCGTTGTGCAATTGCAGCTCCGCATAGGGATCATCAAGGTGAAAATCGAATTTTCGAACCAGCTGTGGAATCAACTTTGACATCTCCATCAAGCTAATGTTTTTGCCTATGCATGTCCTGGACCCGTGGCCGAACTGGATTTTCTTTTGCATTAACATGATAACCCACCGCAAGATGAGTAGAAGAGGGGTTTTCTTTCTTTTCGGGTTACTCACGGGAAGAAAGTATGTCCCCATCTTGTGTACTGTCTCCTTATCAGCGAGCCAGCGTTCCGGCCTGAACAGATCGGCATCGTCTCCAAAGACGTCTTTGTTGTAATGAGCCACCCAAGAATTAATTCCCAAAACAGTCTATTTCGTTGCGTGATTAGCTTCCCCGATGCCATAGAATCGAAGGTTACCCAGACAATGACACTCACCCCTCCAGGGAAGAATCGTTCAGCTATCCTGACGCCTCCTTCTGGCACGACTCTTCCCAAAGGAAGGCCGGTTGCAGGATGAGTTCTGAGGCCTTCCTGAATTACTGCTTGAAGGTAAGGCAACTTCTGGGCTTCGGCAAACGTGACGGGCTCTGAAATCTCGCCCTTTGCAAGTTTCTCATCGACCTCAGAGCGTAGCTTTGGGAAGAGAAATATCAGCCATCGTTGACTTTGCTTAAGCTGGATACGCCGTACCTTTGTCATGGCCTCAGGGTTCTTAATCAAGCCCCACATAATCGCACTAAGGCTGATGCTTGTCGTATCACTGCCCGCTACGACGTTGGCACTACATGTTATTAGAACATCTTCCATTCCGAAGCTGTGCGGCTGCTCCTCGTGCAGGCGCAGAACCTTCGTTAGGAAGTCGTCACTTTCTGGCCTCTTCCCTTTTTTATTGCTTTCCACCCGCTCTTGAATATTTTTGCTGGCAAAGGCAAAGGCATGCGCAAGTCCACCATTTGCGGATGAGCGAGTTAGTTTGCAAAGGATGGGGTGGATCTCCGAATAGATTCCAACATTAGCCATGTATTTCAAGAAGCCGTCCAGACCGCGAATAAGGCCAAAGGGGTCTTCTCCCTTGTCAAGGAAACCAAATCGTTTTGCGACCTGCACAGTGACATGTTCAGACCAAAATCAAGTAATCAACCCTTTCAGTTAAGAGACGTACCGTAATTGCGCCAATCACATCAAAGGCGTAGCACTGCAGCCACCACTGCAGGTCGATTGCTCTTCCGGATCTGAAACAAAGTCAGCGAAGCAAATGGTGAAAGATGTTCAGCTTACCGCGCAATCTCGCGGAATTTCTCTTCCACCAATCCAACACAGTCGTTCACTGCCTCTTCCATCCTCAGCAACGACGACATCGAATACAAGGACGCTACTTTGCGTCTATTCGCAGCGTGTCTCTTTGGGTCTCTATCCGTAAACAAGTCCCTCGCAACGGCATCGAGATTTCGACTGGCATCGTACCACGGGCCCTTCGTGAAGGCGGTGCCGTGGCCGTAGATAGGCTTGACAGCGGACGGATCGTCGATGGAGTAGTCGTAAGGAGTGATGCGGACAACAGGCCCTGTGACGTGTGAGTACAGCCAGACGGAAATTTTCAAAGTTACTCTTCAGCTTTATTTCTTACCGTACTTGCGATGCAATTCGATGTTTGTTTTCTGGAAGTCCCCACGCCAAACTTTCCAGAGGTACCAGAGCCTAGTGAAGCGAGCAAGGAAAGGACCGGGCACAGAGCGGAGAGGAGAGAATAGTGCGCGGATGAATGAGCGAACACAAAGAACCACTGCAACGCAAGCAATTACAACAAGTGCAAGGTGGTGGGTGGTGATGTCCGATAGCTCATTGATGGATATCATGATGAAGATTCAATAGTGCTGAGACCAATGGTGTTTGAAGCTCGGGCAGGGAATTCAGATGTATGTACGTGTCTTGAAGCAAACCTTAGCAAATTTCTTGCGGTAGCACTGCAGACCTTTAGTTCGGCAGTTTTCAGTGCAAGAAGCCAATATCTGGCCCTGAATTTATAATGTGAAACATTAATGCCTGGTGAGGCTATGCGTCGGGTGCGGCGAATCTTGAGGACGCAGCGCGGCGGGGTTAAGTGGGTCTAGCTTAACAATTCTAAGACTGCGGAACAACTAAGATATCCCGCCACCGAGAAAAGGGGCCCAAGCTGGAGCACTTTCCTCAGCGTGGTCGGAGATGCAACGCTCAACTGGGTCGAAATATAAATGTGTATACTTTCCTTGACGCAGCTGCTTATCTTCAGTTCTCAAACACAATCACACAGCACCATCAAAGCACTACTCTCATCGCCATGGAAACATCTCCGTCCTCGGGTATCTCTATCCTCATCTCTGGAGGCGGACTTGCCGGACTTGCTTGCGCAATTGAAAGCCACCGCAAGGGACACAAGGTGCGCGTTCTTGAGAGGCGACCCGACTTCAATGAACATGGTATGTGGAGCTTTTAAAGGTTGAAAAGTCATTGATTGCTAATATGCGTTAGGAGGGATGATCAACATGGGATCGAGCGCGTTGCACACGCCTGAAAAATGGCCTGGCTTCATTGAACAAGTAAGAAAGCATTGCTATAAACCCACGTGCCAGTTCTACAGGTACAATGGTGACTTTATGGGCGAATTCACTACTGGTGAGCCCGGATATCCATCTCTACCAACTACTCGTGGGGTGCTCCAACGTGACCTCTACGCGTATGCAATGGAATTAGGTATTCCAGTCGAATTTGGCGTCCGCGTGGTGCAGTACCGCGAGACGCACGACAAAGGGAGTGTGGTCACTTCTGGTGGGCGCGAGATTGAGGCCGATCTTGTCATCGCTGCAGACGGCGTAGGATCGAAATCCTGGAGTCTTGTGACCGGCCGGAATGATCCTCCAGCTAGCAGTGGCTACGCCATCTATCGAGCCACCATACCCCTTGCGGCTGCTCTAGAGAATCCGATTATCGCGAAGGAATTGGAGGGATCCAAGACCAGAATCTCCCTTCACTTGGGCCCTGATGTTCACGTCGTGATCGGGAAGACCGAGACTGACGTCAGTTGGTACATAACCTTCAAGGTATCTTCAAGAGATTTCTCATCATTGGAAAGCACACCACTAACCTAGGCTAGACTGATCCGTCGAAAGACCAGGGTGCCACTGTACCGGTGGACGAGGCTGTAAAGCACATACAGGGCTGGGCACCCTTCCTTACCGAGCTTGTCAACTTCACTCCGGACAAGGTTGCTCTTATTTGGAGGATTCTGTGGCGCAACCCGCAATCCCAGTGGTACTCCCCTAACTGCCGGGTTCTCCAAATCGGAGATGCGGCTCACGCATTCCTCCCAACGTCCAATAGCGGCGCAACCATGGCCTGGGAAGATGCCTTTTCCATCGCCGCGTGCCTTGATATCAGCGGGAAGAGCAACATTCCACAGGCTGTCAAAGTGCACACTCTTCTCAGGTTTGTTTATCCCTTATTTCACTGCGATGAGCAGCAGCGTTGGCTAATAAAGAGACTACCCAGATTCGAGCGCACAGCTTGTGCCCAAAAGACGGGTTTCAAAAACCGGGAGCGCTGGCATAAAAAGGAATGGGACATGGCTGAAGACCAGTCAGACATTGACCGGATCGTAGGAAAGTGGATTTTCAAACACGATGCGGAGCAGTATGTTTACGAGAACTACGAAAAGGCGGTAGAGAGCCTGGCGAACGGAACGCCGTTCAAGAACACAAACTCGGTTCCCGGTTACACCTATGAGCCTTGGGACATCATCCAGCTCACTGAAGCCTCTCAGCGAGGTGAGACTATCCAAGATGAGGGTGACTGGTCCTAGGTAACGGATAGAGATTCTCGAATAGAGGTTGATTTTCCTTACTGTACATGCCTTTCCTTTTTATCTACTCTTCGATGTCGATAGAGAGACCTGAATAGAAAACCGTTGAATGGTGCGAGAAACGAGGACGATCGCTGTGCAGTATCTGCAACCCAGAAAAGACCGCTACTGAAGGTCACCATCTCGTTAGGCGCTACCTGGCTTGATAGTTGTTGTCTACAATGATCTCAGCTGCATTGGGGCCGACTATAGGCCGACAGTATCCGCAATGTTCGAGCGAGTTGGGCCAGCTGTCGAGAACCACGACTGGGAGATGGATGGAGAACTTTTCTGTGTGGGGGCTGCATCGAGTGTTCAGGTACACCACCAAAGGCCGCGAAGTTCATCTTTTTCTATCTTGGAGGGTGACCTCCTGGGTCGATAAATGAGCACTGCTTGTCTTCCATGCCATGGGTTTAGCGTAATTACGAGACCGGATCCAGCATGCCGCGCTACCGGAGTTTGAGGTTCTGAGGCAAGTTGCGAGAGCAGCTAGCTTTGGCGCGGGACCGGGAGGGCCGGCCGGAGCGGAGGAACTGATCTGGAGGATCTTCGCGGAGGATCCTCGTCAGACGTCATACCCGAACCCGGTTATCGACGGAAAGGCAACCCCTCGTCTCGTTGAGAGTACCCGTAAATACATATATGCCGAGTGCTGTAAAGCATACTTGGCCAAGCGTTAACTTTTTCCCATCCGACAACAGCCATGTCTCCTTCTTCTGTCTTGGGCGATCCATCATCCTTTGTGTTGTGTCTAGTTGTAGGCCTATTGTTCTCCTTCTTCCATGCCGCCTTCTATTCCAGACTGCGCAAAATCAAGGGTCCACGCCTAGCAGCCGTCACAAATTTGTGGAGGCTAGCCAAACTTTCCCAGGGCGATGCGCCGACACTTTTCCGGCAACTCCACAATAAATACGGCAAAATCGTTCGGATAGGGCCAAACCACGTCTCCATCGCAGACCCTGAGGCAATCAAAAAAGTTTACGGCATCGGAAGTAGCTACCTCAAGGTAGGCAACCGTACTACGCTAATGATTATGAGCTAATGGCCCATCTCAGTCGGACTTCTATGACTCCTTCGACACTCCATACGACGGGAAAGCTATGGCCAGCATGTTCTCAACACGGTCGCCAGCGGAACACAAGCACCTAAAGACGGCTGTCGCCTCCAAGTTCTCTTTGACGTCACTGCGGGATATGGAACCTTTCGTTGACGAGTGCTCGGACATCTTCCTGGACGCCATGCGAGACCTGGCCGGCACACCCGTCGACCTCGGAGAGTGGCTGCAATGGTATGCATTCGACGTCATCGGGGCCATCACATTCCGACAGCGCTTCGGTTTCATGGAGAAGCGCCAGGACGTGGAGAACATGATCTCCGGTATAGAGACGGGCCTGTGGTACGGAGCCCTCGTTGGCCAGGTCCCGGGACTTCATGCGTTGCTGCTTGGCCAGCAGTGGGTGATGAACTTGCTGGACCGAGTCCCTGCTCTTCAAGCAGTTCATCCTATTCCAAAGATAACCAGAGTAAGTGAATCTGACTTCAGTGTCTCGTACTATCGTTGATACCCTGCCTCAGGTTCTTAAGGACGCCATCGAGAAATATGATGGAACCCGCGATGAAGGCGGCGCACAAGATTTTCTAGCCCAGTTTCGAAGCGAGCAGGTCAAGAACGAATCCCGAATGAGTCAAAGAGACCTAATTAACCACCTGATGAACAATTTGCAAGTTCCCTTGCTTGGCGAATTCTTGCATTTGATCTCTGACTGGCATACAGGCTCGCCGGAAGCGATACCACGGCTATCTCTTTAAGAGCTATATTATACTACATCATCAAGACACCAAAGACTCATCAGAAGCTACTCGCAGAACTTGCAGAAGCTGAACAAGAGGGGAGACTTTCGGAGAATGTTACTCTGGAGGAGAGCCTGAAGCTTCCCTATTTGTGGGTCCTACGTCTACGCGTATTCTTGAGCGTCTACTTACTCTCTCAACTAGGCAAGCTGTGATGAAAGAGGCCATGCGAATGCACCCTGGCGTTGGGTTTCCCTTAGAGCGAGTCGTACCGGCGCAGGGCGACACGCTCTGCGGCATTGACATTCCAGGAGGTACGGTTGTCGGAATCAACGCATGGGTTATCCACCACGACCGTACCGTCTTCGGGGACGATGCCGACGTCTTCCGCCCTGAACGGTGGCTTGAGGCACCGCCTGAGCAGTTGAGATTCATGGAGCGTTGTTTCCTTTCCGTGAGTAGGAACATTACCAACTCATCTACGAGCAAGTGAGCTAATCACGCTGTATCGCAAGTTTGGTGCCGGATCACGGACTTGCATAGGCAAGAATATCTCCATTATGGAAATGGGAAAACTCGTCCCGCGGATCTTACGGGCCTTTGATATTGAATGGGCTTCCACGGCGGACGACTGGACCGTCAAAACGTTCTGGTTTAGCAAGCAAACGAATTTCATTGCGTGCTTTAAGTATCGATGAATTTGGTGAGTGGAGCGACAGTTGAGGTGACTGGGACCTGGAGAATACGACTGGGAATTCGGTGCTGAGGAACCCAGCTGAGAGCTGTTCGCAGTCCGTCTTCTTTCACTGCTCGTATGTTATAAGCACCAACCAAAATATTTGAAAGTGTACATTACTTCTAGAATAGTTTTATTCTATGCACTACATTTGCTTTCTTTCCTTCTCGTTTATGTACTGCTGAATCGTTCTTCGAATACCCTCGTGAAGCCCCAGAAGGGCAGGCGCTCGATATTCGTGGTTTTGATAGCCTCGCCCTCGACACGGCGGTCGGACGGGAAGTTAGGCGCGTCGGCGGCCCGCAGCAGGGCTGAGGCAGCCGGGAAGAAACCGTGCACGAAGTTGTCGATGTAGCAGAAGTCCCACAGGTTGGTGCCCTGGCCCAGCTGGAAGCGGAAGGAAATGGGAAAGAAGCTGTCCCCTCGGTCTCGCATCGGTCTGCTGTGATCGCGCTTCTATTTTAACGTCCTTCGTGTATCTATCTCTTCGTATGCTGGCTGCGCTGAAATGATGGAGCATGTATTATTAGGTTAGGCAGCCAAACGGTTCGCGCAGATGGCATGACTCTGACTAATCTCACTCAGCCCTGTGCGTCATCCGTAGTACGACTAGGCAGCTACCCCGCTCCTTTCGCGTATATATCGAGGGGACCGCTTTCACCTAGCGTATGTTGACAACTTTATGCACATGAAATAATGTCCCTATTTTCGGACTTCAAAACATATCTTATTCAAACATTTGCTAGTTCCGAAGTCACCGATCCCCCTGTTAACACTTCAGCTGCTCATACAGCTGAGCCAACCAAGCCCCGTTTCCGCACAGACAACGACAGTTCGGCCAAGCTTACCCTCCCAGATGGACGAAAGCTCGGTTATGCACAGTACGGATTACTGACGGGAAAACCCGTCTTTTACCTTCATGGCTTTCCGGGCTCTCGCCTAGAGGCTGCCGGCTTTGACGATCTGTGCCTGGAAGTCGGCATCCGACTCATCGCTGTCGACAGACCTGGAATGGGCTGGAGCTCACCGCATCCCGGACGAACACTCCTGGATCACCCAAAGGACATCGAAGACCTCGCAAGGCACCTTGAACTGGATCATTATAGTGTTCTGGTACAGGAAACTCGTTGGCCCATTGATCTTGAGGGATTTTTGTTAACAATGCCACTGTGCAAAGGGAATATCAGGAGGCGGACCATATGCACTTGCCTGTGCAGCGGCGTTGCCTCGCGAAAAGCTCAAATGCGTTTCAATCATCTGCGGCCTGGGGCCGCCTGACATCGGCATGAGCGGGGCCGGGTGGGTGCACAGGCTCGGGTTCCCCATGGGACTTCGCTATGCGCCCTTCAGCTTGGTCCGGTGGTTCTGGCAACAAGACCCGTCAGCACGCTTGGACCTGACCGACGAGCAGCGGCTGGAGCTTCTGCTTCAAAGGCCGGTCGCGCACGAGAAGGATTTGGTGTTCGTAAAGTCTGACTGGCCTCGACTTTCTCTGCGATCTGGGCGGGAATGTTTTGGGCAGGGGTTTGAGGGGGTGTGGCAGGATGGAAAAGTGATATGCACCGACTTTGGGTTTCGAATCGAGGAAATCCGGCCCGATCTACCGGTGCAGCTGTGGTATGGGAAGCTCGATACTTTCGTTCCACCCAATCATGGTGTACAGATAGCGGCACGGCTGGGTACGCGAGCATGTCTCAGGATGGAGGATGAAACACACGCAAGCATTGTGGTGAACTGCGCAAAGGAAGCACTGGACACTTTGTCAAGGAGTACATAAGATATGCGTTGATTCTCCTCTCAATCAATTCTCATCTCAATCAAACTTAAAATTCCTACTATTCTATGTTTTTCAAATGTACATTAAAAATACGGTGTAGTAGCGCATGCCGACCGGCATTGAATAGTAGCTGTAGGCCAGGGGCAACGTGGTGACCAGCAGTAAGCCAAATGATTCGCATTGTTCAGTTGCCGTTGCGTGGTTGACAAGCTTGTTAAGGGAGTGAGGAGCAACTTATCTTTGGCTATTGCCTAGAGATCCCTCCCTGCTGCGCCGCCTGAAACTGCAGATCACTGATTAAATGCGGCATAGGCTTGCTGTGTCACTTCCAGCGACAGGGGTGTATTCCTCTTTTATTTGACCCTGGCTCGATCTACAGGCACCGAAATTCCGCATATGCCGCTGCACTCTCTGGATAGCTTGTGGGAAAACTTGCTGGCCATCATAGGACGTTTACTGTAGTTCTCCCAAAGTTTTATCTTCCCCCTCGTAGCCGTGGACCACAGGTAATAATACGTCTGATGCTAGTAGATGATGCATGTGAAAACTCGGGATGCGAAAGGCTGAATATGGAAAAATGTAATTTTACACCAACGGCTGTTGGCTCCAACCCCTGTAAAACTTGCGCGATATCTCAGCCACGGCCCCCCGTTGTGAGGGATTCCACTCTAGACCATCTCTTTACTCTCCAGGTGTAACACGACCACGCCACTCTTTGCATCGCTCTTGGCCAGCGATTGTCGTTGAGCTGAACCAAGATCTCCATTCGCACGCAAAGCGACCATGAGCTGTATCCCCGAAATGCCAGACGCCGCTTGTGATCGACCAGGGCTGGAAAATTGAATAAGTAGCCAAGATGATTACAGCATTGATTTCCACAATGCTGCACTCCAGTCGGCCTGGTTATCTGCATCCACCCTTCTGCTCGCAATCGAGTCTAGTACAAAGTGCAGTAGTGACAGTGCACACCATGAACATGGCACTGAAAAACCCATTTCCGGTGCGTCGTGGAAGCACGCGATAGTCCGTTAAGCATTCCGGAAAATGGCACCTTCTTTTGCAGCTAGTGAGATTTGCAAGAGAAGGTGCCATTTTCCGGACTTTTCAAACCAGATCAGGCCACACGTGCCGTGTCGGTATGTTGGCATTTATGAGCTCTTTCAGAATTAATGCAACATCTAAAGAGTCTTGCAGGGTAGCAGTTACGAGACCAGGAAAACGACATGATTCTCACATTTAAGCCAAAAAGGCATGAACCACTGATAGAATCACAGCTTTCGTTGGCAATATTCAATACAGCCATTCTAGTAGTGATTTTGCACGTTATTCCGTGGGCTTATCGCTACAGCGCCACCGTGGCGGGAGTGGCAATGAGACGATGACGCCAACTTCAGAAACGTAGACTAAGCCACCGCCGCGAAGGCTCCAGCTTTTAACGTAGGGGTTGTCCTTGACGAAACTGACCATACGTCCGAGTCGTACAATACCAGCCCGGCTTTTGATCATTCGGAGCTTTGAAGCCAGTAGGTTGAACCATATATGCTGTTGGTGATTACGCGGAATCTCGTACAAATCGTTCTAACCAATCGCCGGTATATCACCGTAAACGGCCCGATGAAGTGAAACCACCCCGTATGTCGCTAAGTCCTTGCTAAACGGGAACCTCGCGACTCCCACATGCCTAGCTGCTATAGAGACATCAATTCTACATCCACCTCCAACCTCCCTCCTCCCCGGAATCTCTCTTAGATCATGTATACGAGAATCTAGAGCTACCATAGAATATACCAGGGCGCCGAAAAGGGAATAGCTCCATGTCTTCAAGTTATCGCTTAGTATATAAAGGCCGATGCATGTCTTCCTTCTTCTGTTTTATTTTTACATTCATAACCCATCCTGTCAATATTCCACTCTGATTTTTGTTGGCTACTAACCTCTGCCTTTCCCCGAAACTACAAAATGGCCTCCATTCCCAAGATTGCCATCATTGGCGCCGGTCCCGCAGGACTTGCCCTCGCTCGAATCCTATCCCAACATGCCATACCAAGCGTCATCTTCGAGAGCGACCCTTCACCAGACCATCGCACACAAGGTGGCAGCTTGGACCTGCACCCCGAAACCGGCCAGGTAGCCCTCCGCACCGCCGGCTTATACGAGCAATTCGCGAAGTATGCACGTGGAGTGGGCTCAGGCGAGGACCTCATGACGAGCGACAAGGACTGCTCGCTCAAGATGGACTACCGCGGAGTCGACACCGGCCGGCCTGAGATCGACCGCACGAGGCTGAAGAAAATCCTGCTGGACAGCGTTCCCCACGGCACCATCCGATGGGGATGGAAGCTACGAGCGGCGACGAGGGACTCTCTGACGGGGGAGATCGTCCTGGACTTTGGGTCGGTCCAGGAGAGCGGGTTCAACCTCGTGGTGGGCGCGGATGGAGCATGGTCGAAGATCCGGCACCTGCTCACTCCCGTCCGTCCTTTCTATTCGGGCGTCGGCGGGCTGGAGTTCACTCTGACAGACCCAGACGCGAAGCACCCGGAGATTGCGAAATGGGTCGGTAACGGCAGTCACGGGGCTTTCAACAACGAGGACGGCGGACAGGTTCTCCTTTGCCAGCGTCAGGAGAACGGCGATATTCGCGTCTATACCTGGGGTGTTCGACTCGAGAGCTGGATCGAAGACAACGACATCAACTTGGAAAAAGCACCTCAAAAGGCGAAAGAAGTCGTCCTGAAGGACTACCAGGACTGGGCACCTCAGTTGAGAAAGGTCATCGAAAGCTGTAGTGTGGAGACCATGGCGGCGCGAAACTTGTACATGCTCCCTGTCGGGTTGCGATGGGCAGCTCGGAAAGACGTTACACTAGTTGGGGATGCGGCGCACCTGATGACCCCATTTGCTGGCGAAGGCGTTAATGCAGCTCTGACGGATGCTATGGATTTTGCATTGGCTATCGTGGAGAATCGCGATGATATCGGAAAGGCTATACAGGAGTACGAGTCGAAGATGTTTCCGAGGGCAAGGACGATTATGCAGCAGACTTGGGACCTCAAACAGACATGGTTTGAACCAGGCTGCGTCGATGGATTAGTGCAGGCATTGTCTTCTGAGTTGATGAAAAACAAGGTGTCTGACACAACGTAGAGGCATAGTTAGAATTGGAGTCTTCAGGTTCAGTTGATACTTTGCTAGCCAATCCTGTTGCATGGTTGTTCTTAGAGAAATAGAAAATCTCCACGTACTTGTAGTGGATCCCGCGAGTCCTTGGATGAGGCGAACACGCTGCTGTGCGAATTTGTTTCCCAGTTGCAGCCTAGTCTTTATAAAAGTTAAATTGTGTTGAATTCACGGCGCTGGATGATGGGCGATGGGTGGTTGTGCTAGAGCCTGATTCTTGACTCACGTGAGGGTGGGAGGAGTAAGTAATTTCGAACAATATAGGTGGGAATCTCGAGATACTCGTTCAGCTGGAGCCATACGATCAGCGGTTGCAAGGAATCAGTTAGTTGCAGATCAGGCCACCAGGAGACCGCTAAGAGTCGTCAGCTACAGACCGCCATTGGCTCCTGTAACCCGGCAAGGTTTAGTAACAAGTCTCGGCAAGTGGTCTAGGCTTCATCACTGCCCCTCCCGAATTGCGACTTCAGCCTGTAATTTATAAACATAGCAGATAAGTAGTCGTATTATACAGGCTCGTCTAATTCTGCTCATTGGCAAGTATACAGGTAGATCATTGGCATGGTAGTAAAGGGGGTGCGCGAAGCGCCCTCCGCCACAACGAGCCAAGAAAGCTGAACCCATTGCCCCGTGCTTTCATCTTGGAAGCCCACAAACACAACTCCGCCTTCTATGCCAACTCTTATACCATGCTTGGCACGAAAGAGTATCGAGTCTATTCTAAGAAAATGCTATGCATCGCCACATTTGACACGTATATTTTATCCCACCGAGATGCGTACTTCCTTGATGATTTCAATTGACATACATAATTTTCAATGCCGTCCGACCTCAAACGTAACAAGACTACCGGTCCTGCAGTAAGTAACTTGGGTCTTACCTCAATAAATTCCTGCTAACGAGTTTCGGACATCACAGTGCGATAGCTGCCATTCGCGCAAGGTAATCGCACCCAAACTGCAATTGGCAGATTATTCAGTCATTGATGGTTGCCGTTCGCTAGATCAAATGCGATCGTAGAAGTCCTTGTGGCAACTGCCGAGATTCGAATGTCTCGTGCCAAAGTGGACAGTCGAAATTCCCACGCAACAAGCCCCCAAAGCGGCCGATGTGAGTTCTATGGATACCTTACACGAATAGCAGTATATATTAAAATTACGCTTCTTGATAGGCAAGATGACATTACGAGCCTGGAAGCTAGAGTCGGCCTTGTTGAGGACACAATCCGACTTGAACCCGGGCAACGCACGACGCTACCAGGAAACGACGCCGACTACCTGGGCGGACCTTTGACTCATCTCAGCACAACAGAACTGGACTTTTCGCCAAAGCCCCCAGCAATGGGCAATGGGATGTGCATTCATGCGGGAGCACCGCGCATTCCGGACGATAAGCAATTTTCTCCTCCGAAGGAGTTGGGAATTAACTCCAAGTCAGTCGTTGTCGGCAACAATCAGTTAGCTGACGCTCAACGCTATTTGAGACAAGAGCTCAAGTCCTCGGAAGCCATGCCTAGCACTAGGAGACCAGTCCTCCAGTCAGCTCTGGAATTGATTACACAGCTCTCACAGGATGCAAAGCCCATTGATAGCGCACCACTTTGCCTTGGTGGAAGGACTGCATCAATGCAAGGTAGTCATTATCCCTCGATCGGGCTGCTCTACTGGATGCTGCGGGGTACGTTGCTTTTTTTCTCTTTCTCTATCTTTCTCCTTCTCTTCTCTTGCCCCTTCTTCCACCCCTTCCTTTCTTTTTCGTTTAAGAAGATATAACGCGGGAGATTAACGAATGCTAGACTTTCGTTCTGCTAAAATCGGGTTTCACGCCTCATACCTCTTCAAGTACATTTCAGAACAGACGTTGAAGAGAATGGGACTTGCATTGATCAATCAGAATGGCGACAAAGACACTCTTATCCTCTATTCCATATGTGTGAACTTGAGGGCTGCTCAGTTTCTTAACATGACTTTGCTGGAAGAGGCAGATGTCGATATCTCCCAGAGGCTCCGCGTAGCCGCAGAAAAGTACCGCTGCAACGCCGAGGCTGCCTTGAGCCGCATCCGTCTGAACACTCCTTCATCAATGGCTTTGCTCCAAGCACAGCTCTGTGGTGTACGTACTATCAGTCGCAACGAAACAAGGGTATGACCTTGTCGTATCTAATTTTCTACAGGCATTCATAAGCAGAGCTACTGGGAACTCAGCTGCCTGCTGGACATTCACCTACGCAGCTTGCAAGACATACGTGGATCTCGAGCTCAACGCGTCCTCGCAGAAAGATGATGAAGAGCTTTATTACTGCTTTTCATGCTGCTACATTCTCGACAAGGCATTCTCCATGAGTCTCAACCGTCGGTCGTGCTTCAGGGGGACGGAGCCCACCAAAAGTCAAGATCCAGTCCTGATGTCCCCGGGTCACACTTCCGACTTGATGACTATATACCTAGAGCTCGCTCGGATCCAAGGTGTCATAGCAGCGGAATTGCATTGTGAAGCCTTCGCAGTAAATGGCCTCGGGCAACACCACAAAATCACGCTCGTTGTCGGCCTCTTGACACAGATGGATGGATTACGTGAGAAGGTGGACGCTGTGAGTCAGCCGTACCAATTGCATGACCTTGTATCCTCTCAGTTCTAATTCAAAAAAATAGCTCGACAGTAGACCAGCCGACTTTCGTGGACTATACATGGACAGAGAATTACACGCTATCGATTTTGCGTTTTACTCCGTCTTGACTGCGATTAGGCGATACGAGAGCTTAAGTCTCAAAAAGACCTCAATCGGCAAGGAATGTGTGGGAGCTGCTCGGAAAGCTATATTGGCGTTACGGCACCTGCAAGGATCTCGGTCGGATGTAACGAATGGGGCACGCCTCAGTTTCACCAATTGGTAAGGAAATGTAACCTCCTGGAGCCACGGCCGTGTTGGAGACTAATGACTACCTGATTTTCAAGGACACTGCTGTTCTACCCACTTACGCCTTTCTTGGTCCTTTTTCAGAACGTCATCGCAACGGCAAATCGGGATGACTTCAATTTGATCAAAGTCATGACGGAAGATCTTTCTTCCTTCATGGTATTCAGCCCTTCGATCTTACACTTGAAACGTTTACTTTCTGTGTTCATCAAACTCTCGGAAAAATTACTCGACGAAAAAGAACTCAACCAATTGAACCCCGGGGCCAATGGACGGCCACAGAAAAAGATGCGGACCTCAACTGCTGCAAGTCGAGCTGTTGATCGAAGTATCCTTGATCACAGGGACACTGGGAACAGTACTCGCGAGACAGTGTGCACAAACGACCACACACAACCTGGCTTGGAACCGCAGCAGGATTTACCACCATGGATGAGTGCCGCCTTCGTCAGTACCTTTAGATTGCAGGGGCAATCCCAGAGCAGTAACATTGTTGGAGGACCCTCCGCTATTCCCACCATATCGTCCCCAAGCATTGGACAAACAGTTCCTGCATTGCAAACCCCAGAACCAATAGCGGATGCAATTCAAACCACTGAAGCGGAGCTCACGGAAATGGTAAGTCAATCTACGTCTATTATGGAGCTGTTTGCCTGAGCTGATTCAACCTTTATAGCAACAATGTCCAACGACAACAAATTACGCATTGAATTTCTCGTTGCCACCGGAGGCATCCAGTTCTAACGTCTCGTTCTGGGATCTTTGGGGCATGGAACCGTCACTAGAGTGGCTTGACGTTGATTTAGAGTCTATCTGGCATGGAGAAATGTCCATGTGACGGGCATATTTGCGGTGATGAGCCACTTCTAAGCTGTGTTCGTTACGTTTGTCTCTAGGGATCAGTTTGTTCAACTATCCGTCCCTTATGCCGCACTTGCCAATATGTAGACATCTCAACATCGAAGTGCAAAAGTGATGGAACATAAGCCCGTTGGCTGGATGATCGATGCTCTAGTGGAAACGGAACAGCGTCAGAATTGGAATGACAATCATCCACGTAATCGCGGTGCTGCATTACCCTACGAGTGACGATCGTATTCAATTTACTTGCATTCTGTGAGGCGCAGCAGCTTTCTAACCCTCTTAATGATAGCATACGTAATCGAACAGCCTTGAAAGTCTAGTCGGTAAAAAATTGCAATTCTTTTAAAAGATATGCCTAAGGTTACTGCCAAGCATATATCTAGTAAATTCAATGATTGAACACTGTCGTAACTTAAAATAAAATGACATGCAAGCCGTAAAAATTGCCACAGGGCTTTGCATTCTCTCACAAGTACTCAGCTGCCAGGCTCAATCAGGAGGCCCCTCTATGAAGAACGCTCCTTTGTGTTCTCCTGAGGAGTCCCCTGTCGTGAATCCCTAACCAAAATCTCCGTTCCAAAGTCCGATTGCTGGAGGAGCGAGACATTCCCATTGAAACTGTCGGGCATCGAGCTTTTCGACTCCACTGCAACCACACTCACGACTCGAGTTTACTTCTGCACAGGGCTACTCCTATCCTTCGCCTCGTCCAACACCTCTTCAAATGACGTCGGCGGGGCTTTTAGCCTTAGGTGTCTTCGGTCGCTTAGATCCAGAACTCCCAGCCTCTGCCGACTCTTGGTAACAGGCACGTCTTTATCGCACTGGTGCCAGGTGCCAAGTCCAAGCTCCTCATGAGCTAGACGCTGTAGTTGAAGAGTCTCGTTCATCACCCACTCCAGCCGGGAATAGACATCGAGGTTACGGCGGCGTTGAATCCACGTAACCAACGGCTCCAGTGTGTACGAGGTAGCAATAATCAATCCTCCGACAGTGCGAATGATCGCGAGTCCAAAGACGGAGAAATTGGTATAGGCTGTGCTGAGGATTTTCTATTTCAAATCAGTTTATTATCTTTCAGGGGATCGAGCAGGTATTCAGCAAACCTGGTTCTTGCAAAACTGCTTCTCCGCTCTGGTAGAGGCCCTAGCCAACCAGCGGTCCGAGATTTTTGAGTCCGAAGGGCCGGTTGCCACCATGACGAAATTCTGTTGTATGAGCGCCAGACTCATATTGTTCTATTTCTCAATATCAAGCTGCCACTGGTTGCTAGGGAGCTGTCCTATCTCTCCTTTGATTTTCCGAGAGAAGGAATCCAAGCCTGACGAGCCCAGCATTGCAAGCTGAAGTGAGAGGTTATTGAAAACACTATGGATAGTCATTACAATCCAATTAAACGTTTCAAATTCTCCATATCCTTGCCATAGACCCACGGCAGCATTGAACGCCTCGGGATGTCCCGAGAGAGGAGTGCATCGAATGTTTTTCTGCAAGTTGGGGTTGCAGTATTGCTCCTGAGAGGTGCATGCCAGAGTAGATGATGCCTCATCGCTCCAGTATACATTAGTCAGACTGTCGGTCTCTGCAAGAACACAGGCGTGCCATCAGTATCCTTCACTCTCTCGGTCCACACTTGTTGTGGCGGCCGAAAGCAAGCCGGTACTTGCTGGAATGTCAAAGTAGCCACTTTCCTCTTAACATCAAATGGGTCTGTGGTGAGAGAATAACTCGTGAGATGAACATCATGGTCGAGGTTCCAGGCTTGTCTGAGCAGCCTGGGAACTTGTTGTTCAGGGGCTGGCTGCTCAGATACGAATGTGGGTATTCCTTGCAAGCGAAATGTTGTAGCTGGCTGGCAGCAGTTTTGAGCGATTTCCGCAGCCTTCGGATTTTGCGTGACGAAAATTCTCCAGCTTTCAAAACCAAATAGCACAAACTGGGCACCGACAACGGCTGCAACAAGGGTAATGAAGAAAGAATTCCCGTGTTTCATTGAACCGACGTGGCTCATGAAATTGGACCAGGGTTCTCGTCAAACAAAAAGTCGGTCGAACGCCATGGAAGCAACCTCTTTGAAATTTTCGGTCGGGTGATGCGGTTATTTAAGTATAATGTAGCCCCACATGGCCCATTGTCAACTTTGCTGAGCATACAAGCTCAGCCTCCGTAGGATGAGCGGCCGTCGCTAACGGAGTATGATAGGTCAGGGTTCTAGTTGCATGCATTTTTAATCATGAATATCTCAGCCTTATTAGTGGCATCTTACAATTGTTCGGAGCAACCAGGCGGGTGCAGCCTTATCATCTCAGCTTACTTAGGAAGGCTAACGCATGTCCATTCGAGCATCTTCCGTTGGTGCAATTCTTTAACGCGCATGAAAACTGTAGAAAACAGTAGAAAGTCGCGTAGTAACTGTATTATTGCTATCTACCGGTCTTTTATAAACCTATCATTTTTCCGGTACCTTCTAAGCCTTTACACTGTCGTATTACACGGTCGCATATAGCTACCAAGCTCAAGAAATAAACACTATTACCTAGGAAAACTGTAGTACATATAGCTTATTCCTCTATTCTCGATTCGAAAAGCTAGTAGATCGTCTATACTTTAACTACATTGCCGTATTTCTTAACCGATATGGGGAAAATATAACGACCAGTTTGGAACGATAAAAACAGTATATGGAACGTACGTTAGGCTTACAAAGCATTCGACAATCAGAAAAACGCGGGCTAGAATGTAGAGACAAAGTGCTAAAATGCCCAAAATATAAAACAGTATCATCGTCGTCCATTCAAATCCTTTCGAGTCAAGTAATCTTTCCCAATACTTAGAAAGCCATCTGGCAGGTGAGTTTAGTATCGGATCAATTGAAAAAATTTGAGAATGAATCGAAAGTGAAATCCGCTTAACGATATAGTGTAAACACTGGAGAGCAATTATTACAAAAGGTATAAAGAGCGTCACTCCGGAGAGTCGCCACATTATGGACTCGGCCATGCTTGAGAATGGTGCATTCCAAGCGATAATATGAGTAACGCCGCATAGGCAGGTCGGTCCGGTGGCTACAATGACCAAGCTGATAAGATGATTGGATTCGGATTGAATAACGGTTCCATCGGATGCCAGGAAGTCCCCGATCCGGTCCGTAACGAAGTTAGTACCTGCAGGGAGCTGAGGTGTTGTATCGTGGCGGTAAGCGCTCGCAAGCTCAAAGCGGGCTATATCTGCTGATGTCAAAAGCATCCACGGCTTGAACTGACCGAGAATCCCAAATCTTTCGATAAGATACCCGGACCTAGACATCTGCGGTTGTCTTTGCTGGTCCGACAATGAATTGAAGATACGCCTATAACTGAGTCTAGGCTTTATGATATAATCGGCGCAGGAATAGACTATCTCATGTGTGTACGGTCCAGCAATGGCAGCTTCTTTGAAGTGGTCGTTCTTAAACTGGTCTCGAGCGATGGCATTCATTTTCAAACACACACTGGGGTTCCTTTAGTACGATATGCTAATTGTTTGAAGGTTACACAAAACATACCACACGTTCCTTGCCATCCCGGATGATTGGGTCGTAACCAGCGTCTGGAGGACTTGAATAAAGTTCTGGACTGTCTCTCTGAATCGGGACGTTGAACCTAGAATCGGTTCGATCATGAAAATGAAGCATGTATGATCTTCCTTTCGGAGTGAAGTGGAGTTCTCGATCGATGATTTTGCTTTGATTTCACTTATGTCGTCGAACCTCTTTCCTACAGAGCTTCCCAGAATCATCGCACAGAAGAGGCCTTCATGCCCCGTGATCGAGATGATTGATGGTAGGCCAATATCAAGGGGTTTATTCCACCATGATAAGTAGATAATTAGCGCACAGATTGAATGTCCAAACGTATTCAGCTCGAGGAGACTGATGGAGAGTCCTTCTGCAAGCCTCAAGATACATTGAATGCAAAACCACGACGCCTGGATGCATACAATTGCCTTGGCGAGGCTGTTGGCTTTGCTTTTGTCTAAGATCTCCTCTTCGGTTAGGTCAGGAATTAGGTCCGGATGATGCTTAGCAAGGAATAGAAGGGCAGCCGGAGTTAGAGACAGCCTGGCCTGACGGTTGGGTAAAATATTCGAGGATGCTGATAGGTTACTGATGGCGTAGCCACCCATAAGTGCGTAGTGGCTATGCGTCGGTGTCCAAACATTTGACCGTAATGGCATTTCGGTCCCGAGCAATTCATCCATCTGCCATGAAAGTCTCAAGTCAGTGCACAGCGTGATGGCCAGTCTACTTTTACTCACCTCAAAATTTCCGTCCGTCGCTTGCCGGTAACCAAAGAGCCGTGACAGGGCCTCTCGGAATGTATTTTTAAGTGACCTGCATGGCTTGTCCTGGCGAAAATGCTTTCCCATGCCTGCTGTAAGGTAACTTGCGTTTAAGTTTTGGTGTATAGCGGATAGCGCTATCTATTAAGCGTAGTTATGTTAGTAATATGCTTTCACAATTAAGTATAGAGTGATGTGTCCTACCATCTCCGGGATAAACACCCCCAGCAAGACCCACCAAACCTTCCGCTTAATGTTCTTTCCCTGACCCTCCGGCTCGGGAATATTGATATGAAGAGCAGACCAAACGCAAAGAGCCATTGTAACAAGACAAGTGCTGAGGATTGACCAGGTCCCTCGAGTGTTGGGCTCCGGCTCCCAGTGGGAGCTTATGTTCCCTTCTGGTACATCGAACGGATCGCGCATGGTCCCGGTGTTGGAGTCGTGCTTGTAAAACTTCCTCGGTTGCGTTGAATCAATGAGAAAGTGATGAACCTGAATGAGGCTGCTAGAGATCGGAAAATGGCTCAGTCATACATTAAATAGGAGAATCAGGAAATTAGGTGGACGGCTGTGGAACAGGAAGCCTGCAGCAATGGGCTGATGTCTACTCTTTGTTTATGCGAGTATTATGCGAGTAATGATGAGCCTAACACTTGACCAGTAGTAACAGGGTTCGCGGTTGCTGGCTGGGTCACGTGTGGGCTGTGCAAAATGTGTGTACTTTTGTACGACATAAGCTTGACCTGGTGCTGTTCGATTGGCAGGAGAACAACCTACTTTTCAACGGTGAGCGAAACAACCCCAATGCTATCCTCTTGAACCAGACACTTGGAATAGTTGTTTTGACCTTTCGGTACATTTCAAAGAGGGCTGGTTTGTGCTCGACATGGAATGAAATTAAATTTACTGAAACTGATGGCTGCAGCCGTGATAGTCCGAGCCAAACAAAAGGGTTCAAAGTGCCCAAAATGAATTACAATTTTCACAAAGAAGCGGATATCGTCTCCACGTTCGCTTCCCTTGCCAAAGCGCTCATGACCTTCTCAGCGTGATCCCAGGCGTTATGAGACACGCAGTTCTTCATGGCGATGGCGAATTCTTCGGCTACATGCTGTCAGTTGAGGTCCACCATGATACTCAAGGCACTTACTCGTTTGCGGCGGTCCTTGCTTGCCATTTGGATCCCGCCCGCGAATCCTGGTGACTTCTTGCACGTAATCTGCCCTCTCCTTCCTGCACTGCTCCCAGATACGCACTCTCTCCGGGACTTCAGCGGCCGACGTGCCGGCCGGAAGACAGACTCCCAACGCAGCGGCGTCTTCAACGGCTTGAGCGGCGCCCTGGCCCATGTCTGGATTGTTCGTCAGCATCTGCAATGAATTATCGGATTTATGTGCCATACACGGAAGGAACGGGTGCGCAGCATCCCCGAGCAGAAGCACGCGGCCCTTGACAAAGCTCGGCAGGACCTCCATATCCAGCAAATCCCAAAGCATAACCTCGTCCGCCGGCGCCTTCTCCAGCATGCGGATGACGGGCGAGGAAAAGCCCTCGAAGTGGTGGATCAGCTTTCCCCTGTTCGCGGATTGGTTGTACCCGGACAGCCCTTGTTTTGGGAACACAGTCAGCACACACGTACACACACTACCCCTCATCGCACGATCGGGTGGGAGTAGTAGTACACACCTCTCTGCACCGGCCCCACCTCCGCCGTCGGCACGAACGCAATGGCATTCATGACTTTATTGTCTGAGCACGGGTAGAAGACGATGCGCCTGAAGTCGCCGTTGCTGTTCTCGCCGCCCACCTGCACGCACTGGCCCGTCTCTTCGGCGAACATCCTCGTCTCGGCGTCGTCCCGCAGGGCTGACGTCGGGGTGAGCCAGCGGTAGCCGCACTTGCCGGACGTGAAAAGGGGCACGTCGCGGCCCGTCACGGCCTTGCGGGCTCGGGAATGGATGCCATCAGCTGCGACGACGAGGTCACCCGTGACCTGCGTGCCGTTGGCGAGCGTGATGGTGGCGGTATCGCAGTCTACATTGGTTACCCCGCTCGCGGTGTGCAGCGTTGCGGGGGTGCCGGGGCCGTCGGCGGAGAGGGCGCGGTCTTTCAGCGCGGTGTGCAGGTCGATGCGGTGGAGGAGGAAGTATTCCTGGGCGGTTATTCAGCAAGGTGGTTTGCTGGGTTGCAGATTGGGAGGCTCACGGCTTGCCAGTGCTTCCGCTCGGCTTCGCTGGGACGGCTGCTAAACAGGACGTTGGTGTTCTTGTCGTGGAATTTGATCTGCGCGTGTGCGGTCAGCGCTTATGCGTCAGCGCGGGGAGCGGGCTCGCTGCTGCTGGGTGGTGGTGGTGACGGACGCTTTCGTATCTCGTGGCACCGAACGTCTCGGGGTAGATGCCCATGCGGTTGAGTAGAGCGGTGCAGTTCGGGGCGCAGTGCACGGCAGCGCCTACTTCGCTGGCCAGGCGCGACTTCTCGTAGATCTGGGGGAAAAGGCGGGGGTTAGCTTATTATAGTAGGTGAGTTAAGTACCCCGCTTCAGCACACCTCAACCTGATGGCCCTGCTGGCGCAGAACAATGGCGGCAGAGAGCCCTCCGATGCCCGCGCCGATGACGAGAACCTTCAGAGACATTTTGAGGACTTCAGGATGGAGAAAAAAGAAAGGGGAATTTTGCATTGACACGTCAGGGTCCAGTCATGGTTGTTATATCCGGGCTGCAGGTCAGCTCGACTAAAAAACTACGGAACCCCCACACCCGACAGAATCGGCTCCGCGGTGGTTATTGGGTGGGTCTCGCGGCACCTAAAAATCAATGATTCCATCTGAGGTGAGATCCACGTGTGGTTGCTTTCGTTCCTGCGTCGAATGAGGGGGCGAGAAAACACGTAAAGCTTGTCGTCGGCATGTTCCTACTGAGTTTCAAGCTGAGCACGCGAGTGGGTCAAACACGCATTGCGAAGCAGGAGGTTGAAGTTGATGAATTGAGCTCGGCGGCCCGTTCCGCGCCGTTTGCACCCTGCAGCAGTCGTGGTGTTGTTTCTGGTGAGACAAGGGTCCGCAAACGCCCTGACGTCGGAGCCACGACAGCCAAGCTTCGCAGCGAAGTATGACGACAGGTGGGATCGACGGGTGAGTGGACGAGAGGGAGGAGCCGACGGGCAGGGCATCGGCGATGAAGGCCGCCGCCGTCCACTTGGGCAGCGCCGGAGGATTTTCCGGCCGCTGCACAGGGGGCCTGATCTCGATGAGTTGAGGCTCAAGGCTGTAGAACAAAAATCCAGGCCCTTCCGCTCCCTGGTCACGCCCGATTCCGATTTCTCCTCTCCGCTCGGCGATTCCAAGATACCTACACACATACTATGCTCTGCCCGCGCGTTGCCCTGCCGCGAATCCACACCAGGCGCGCGGCCGACGCAGGATGATGAAGCGCGGATCACCCGACAACGACGACGACAAAGCCACAACTCGCTCCGGCACGCACAAGCGCCGCCGCCAACTCCAGCCGTTGCCTGTCAGAGGCAGCCCCGACCCGCCGCCGCGCAGCAACGCCATCGACCGCGTCTCGGCCTGGCTCGACTGCCTGCCCGAGAGCCCACGATCATTAGCCTCCAGCGACGCAGTCGACAAGCCGCAGGACAAAACCGTCTTCGACCCGCCCTCGTCGCTGTCGTCCAACCCCAACAAGCCCCGCTCCCAGAACTACCGCGCCCAGGTCCTCCGCCGCCTCGAGATCCGCGTCGACGCCGATGCCGACGATGAAGCCCGCCAGCGCCTGCTGCCGCCAATCCAGGATGGTGGACTGAACGAGGAACGCATTGGAGAGGTGGCACGCGAGCTGTACGAGAGTGCGAGAGAGCTTCTAGAGCGGGCGGCCGTCAACGACGAGTGGACAGCCCCGCTCAGCCGCACCATCCAGTCCCTCATGCGCGACAATCCCGACCAGCTCTGCTGCCTGCCCGACAGAGGTACGCTAGCTTTTCAGCTCTCTCTTCAATAATGATGGCTGATGATGACAACCAGAGTGGCAACCCGCGCTGAAGCCCGTCACCTACATCCACCGCATCGCGCCCTCGCCGCCCTCGCTGCCGCAGAAACGCAGCAGCACCACGCTCGCCGCCGACTCTCCGCACCCCGAACCCGTCTCCTCTCGTAACAACAACAACAACCTGGGCTACCCCACACCGGACCAAACCCAGTCCCCCGTCCAAAGCCAACCCGCCACGAACCCGCCGCCGCCGCTCGCGCCCCCGCGCACGCCCTTCCTCCACCTCGAGCCCGCTCCCGCCCGCCTGCAGCCCAAGACGCCTTGCCCGGACCTCTCCATCGGCCTTAGCGACAGTGATACGGCATGGACGACAGACGAGCAATCATGGACACGCCCGGGCCTGGGCGGGCGAGATGTGAAGGACATCCTCGTGGACCTGCAGCACGCCGCCGGCCATGAGGACCGCATGACGCTCATCACCGATCCTTGCGCCGCCTCCCCCAGCGGTCTGCGCTTCCCCTTCTTGATTGTCGAAGCGACGCCCGGTGCGAACGCGAGCATTGCGGATGCGGAGAACAACGCGGCGGTGGCGGCGGCGTGCGCCCTAAGGATCCTGGCGGAGCTGTCGTCGCCCGAGCGCGCTGCTGCGGTCAAGAAATCCTCGTCCGAGCCGTCGCCGCCAACCGCTGAGCAGGCCGAGGCGTCGAATGTCAATATGCGCTGCTTCTCCCTTACTACTGATGGCCCTATGCACGTGCTGTGGGTGCACACGCCTGCTGGGAATGGCTCGCACATGGTCTGGCTCGGCGCCTACCGCGTCACGCACCACGCTTCGGCTCTGGACTTGGTTCGCAAACTGGCACGCATCTTGCATTGGGGCGCTGGGGATCTTCGCGATTGGGTAAGACATCAGTGCGTGCAGTATATTGACCGGATTTTGAGTGGTTGAGTGTTGTGCAATCAATCCCGTCTAACAATGTCAATGTTCAATATGTTACTTGCCTGCATTTTTTCCAGCCTCTCTCCCCTTCGCTATGCGAATGAAAATATCCCCGCATGCGTGTTGGCGTAGTCGTGTTGCTTAACGGCGTTTTGGGCCCGGGAGGAAGATTGTTAAGGTGTTTACGCAGCCTGTGACTGAATGCTTCGTGCTTCGAGCGCCTGGTATATATCAAATTAGCCGTCAATTATTCAATACGTGCAGCTTCTTTGATTATTGGTTTCCCGCTGCTTCCCCGCCGTGATTCTTTCGGAATGGCTAATCTTGATAAGTTTCGGTACCTGCAGTCATCAATCCGAAGCAAGGTCCCGCCTTCCACGGGAAAGATTGATAAACACTCTCGGGTGATATCCCCTCGATCTTGCCTGATATTCAGCACGAGATTGTCCTAGACCGCAGCAAAATTAGTGTCGAGGTTGTCCAGATGTCACGAGAATGGTCTCCGCGTCCTATCATTGTGTATTCCCCATCCGGCGCATTCGTCCATCTACTCATGCTCCTACAAACTTAAATTGCTTACAAACACCCTGAGGAATAGATCCTGTGTTCTGAATCATGCAAGCTCCTTATAAAGCTGCATGCAGCTTGTCGCCGCCAAGCAGTTGGCCTGACCGCCCCACATCAACCCCGCAACAAACCCCTTCAACTCTCCCTCGTCAACATAAGGTGCCAATTTATGCGAGAAATATTTCCTCGCCATGGCTTCCACAGAGACAGCAATCCAGCTGAATGAGCTCGACGGCCGCTGTGAGCATACGAGGCCCGGTGATGCTGACGACCAAGTCGATGACTCACGGCCCGCTCACGAGTTCTCTCTACCGCCCGTTGACGGAGGAAAAGATGCTTGGCTTATGCTGGCAAGTGCTTTCTTCATTGAGGGCCTTGTTTGGGGTGCGTGTGCGCTCTGCCTCGTCTGTTAGAGGTTTTGTTGACATTTCAACAGGATTTCCATTTGCCTTTGGTGTTCTTCAAGAATACTATTCCTCCCATGAGCCCTTTGCGTCAGACTCGTCCCATTCCGCAACCATCGGTACAGTGGCGCTTGTGAGTGGAGCCTCGACCTTATGCAAGAGCTGCCAATTGACCTCCGCAGGGTTTCATGTATCTCGGATCTCCATTCGGCCTCACCATCATGCAGCGCTACCCCCGGTACCGCAGGCCCAGCACCATCGCGGGCGTCCTGCTGGTGACAGGCAGCATTGCCGCCTCCTCGTTCGCCACCCACATCTGGCAACTGATCATCACCCAAGGCATCTTCTGGGCCCTCGGCGCCAGCCTGCTCTACTTCCCCATCCTCATCTACATTGACGAATGGTTCGTCCGCCGAAAAGGCCTGGCCTACGGCACCATGTGGGTACGTACTACCCATCCTCCCCATCCCATCTGGCACTTCGTTCTGACACACACACACCGCAGGCCGGCACCTCCGTCGCGGGCGCCACCGTCCCCTACATCTTCACCTGGCTCCTCTCGCGCTACACCTTCGCGACGGCCATGCGCGCCTGGTCCATCGTGACCTTCGCCGTCGTCAGCGTGCTCGTCTTCTTCGCCAAACCCCGGATCCCGGTCTCCACCTCATCCTCCTCCTCCTCCTCTCACCGCGCGCCCCGCCCCAACCCCATCTCCTTCCGCTTCGCCCTCACCCGCCCCTTCCTCTTCTACCAACTCGGCAACATCTTCCACGGGCTCGGCTACTTCATCCCGTCCATCTACCTGCCGTCCTACGCGCGCTCGCTCGGCCTCAGCGCCGCGGCAGCCACGACGCCGCTCGCCCTCGTCAACGCGGGCGCCTTCTTCGGCAACATCGCGGCGGGTGTGCTGAGCGACGCGCTCGACGTCAGCGCCGTCGCGTTCGGCATCAGCGTCGTCGCCGCGGCCGCCATCTTCCTGCTGTGGGGGTTCTCGGGGAGCGTGGCCGTGGCGCTGGTGTACGTTTTTGCGGTTGTGTATGGGTTGAGTGCGGGCGGGTTCCCGGCGACGTGGACGGGGATTATTCGCGATGTGGCGAAGAGGGCGGCGGCGAAGGCGGAGGCGGAGGGGAGTGGAGGGGGGAGTGGGGTGGTGCTCGAGACGGGGCCGGCGTTTGGGTTGCTGGGGTTTGGGAGGGGCATTGGGAGTATTGCGTCCGGGCCGTTGAGCGAGGCGTTGTTGCGGCGGACGCTGATGGCGGGGGGCCAGGGGAAGATTGCATATGGGTCTGAGTATGGCGTGTTGATTGTGTTTACGGGCGTGGCGATGTTGCTCGGTGGGACGGGGTTTGGGGCGAAGAGGTTGGGGTGGATGTAGAGATGGAATAGAGGAGGGGCTTGGGGGCTGGGTTGAGTGGGCTTGTGGATGCGTGCAAGTGGTGGGATGGGCGTTTGAGAATCTTGGAGAGTTTGAAAAGTCTTGAGTTGAGATTACATTGAGTGTGCTTTCGGTTACAGCTTGTAGACTAGTTTCTTCCCGCTGACCTTGCCCTGCCTCAGCTCTTCCAATCCCTCCAATACACCTTCAAGCCCACCGGTTCTCACATCTGGATTGTGAACCTTGAACTGGCCCTTTGCCAGCAACTCTTCGGTGAGTTTCCAGAACATCTTTCCAAACTCGTAGTCCTCCTTGCTGGCTGGGAAATTGCCAGGGCCAAATGACTTGGTGAATGCCTCGCCGAAGGTCGTATACGCGAGGGTGTACTTCGCTTCCACGTCCTTGCGGGGAAAGTCGCAGTACAACAGCGCTGAGTACACTGGCTTCTTCGCACCATCTGACTGAGCATCGGACAAGGCGTCGGCGCAGATTTGTGCGGAATTGCCCTCGGCAATGCAGTCGAAGGCGTGGTAGAGCTTGTTTCCGGTGTGCTTGCGAATGTCCGCGCCGACCGTCGGGCTGTTGTAGTCAAAGACTGCATCAGCGCCCAGAGATTTGACCATCTCAAAGTTCCTCGGCGAGCAGGTCGCGATGACCTCAAGCCCGGAGCTACTCATCCATAATAATGTGCGTTAGACAGTAGTCGGGGCGGGCGGAAGGGGGTTTGCTTAGTACTTACAGCTTGGCAAACTGGATAGCCAGCGCTCCGGTAGCCGTGCTCCCCCCGTAAATCAGAAGGGGAAAGCGCTCGCTGCTCGGGTGGCTTGGCAGCGGGAGTCCCAGAGATTGGTACAACCCTTGGCCGATCGTCGAGATCCCTACACCGAGTGTGGCCGCGTCTTCGAAGCTGACGTTGTCCGGAATCTTAAGCTGGATGCCTTCCTTGGCTACGAGATACTCGGCGAAAGATCCATCTTCCTTGTTGGTTTTGTTGCCCCCGTGCGTCCAGCCGGCGATACGGTCACCGGCTTTCAGCGTCGTAACATTGGCCCCAACGGCTTTCACCACACCAGAGTAATCACAACCGGAAGTACACCCTTCAACATCTGGCATGAAAGCAATGTGCTTCCAGTCTGTGGGGTTCAATGCAACAGCGGCAGTCTTAACGAGTACATAGTCTGGTCGGAGTTGGGGAATGGGAGAATCGATGACAGCGGCCTTGCCGCCGGACACCACCTTGATGGCTTTCATGGTTTGGAAGGATCCGAAGATGACCACGTAAAAAGGAATAATTGATCGTGTTGCTTTGCTGGACTATCTTCTTTAAGAGTGTGCAAGAAGAATATATTGAAGTTGTTCTCCGAAACCCTCGGTCGTAACTGCGGCGATAATAGGAAAGCCGAGGGACGAAGCTGTCCCACCGAACGAGATATGTCAGCAATGCAATTACAAAGCAAGTAGCATTGGAAGTACTTCCATAGATGGTTAGAGGCAGTCGTATTAGTTGGGGATGCTCTGTGCTGCCCCCGGATGATTGGTTCTGTTAAGGCAATCATCACGCGTCGAAGCCCGTAGAATAGAACCTTAATCGCACTTGCACACACTAGTTTTTCGCTTGAAACTACTATCAGGTCGCCACGTCTTTCGATTGCTTAGTAGTGCAATGGATCTAAAGTAATCATTAGAAAATCCTGGCATTTTCTCCCTGATACTGCTGTCCTCAATATACAGATAAATTCGGAAACCCATCATCAATTGCTTCTCTTCTCAACATCCGCAGGCACTCACACAACGAATACATCAACTCCAATCGTATTTTCAACCTCGCTCTTTGAACAGACCCGTTTATCCAATACTCAAAATGGCCACCGCTCCCGCCATCATCTGGCCCGCCAAATACCTCCCCGGCACGACCGACAACTACGTCTCCAACGAGGTCATCGTGAAGGGCATCACAGCCGCAAGCGTCTGGGCCAACCTGGTCGACATCACCAAATGGGAGTCCTACTACTCCAACGTCTCCAACATCACGCCTCCGGCATCCGGCCCTTCCCTGGAGAAGGGTGACACGTTCAGCTTTTCCACCTTCGGCTTCCCGCCCCTCCAGTGCGAGACCTGGGAATCGATTGCCCCCGGAAACGGACAGCTTGTTGGACGCCTAGCCTGGCGCGCGTGGCAGGATGGCGACAAGGCGTCGTATCTGGACGTCTACCACGCTTGGCTGGTCGAGGATCTGGGTGATGGACGAGTCAGGATTTTGACCCAGGAGTCGCAGATTGGAGAGCCTGCGGCCGGTTTGGCGAGCCAGAGGCCCAATCCGATGTTGAATGGTCACCAGGAGTGGCTGGATGGGCTTGTCCGTGTTGCTCGGGGAAATTAGTCTGGAGGGCTCCTTTGACGTCAAAAAGGGGACAATGTGTGGTTTGAGTTCGATTGATCATAGCGCATAGAAGGTTCTGAATACCACTATACGTAAAGCATCCTGTGCAAAATAAAAAAAGATGCATTCTCAACATTCGCGGTCTATGGGCTTTTGATACTGGAGAGAATCTATAAATCTGTGATGAGATATCGCACAACTTACCCTCAGCTTTACGGCTGATTTGCCGTCTCTTTCGGAATATTCATGTCAAAACCGAGAAGACTCGAGATGATTGAGAGCAGACGAATACATAAGCGGTAGGGCCTAGGGCCGCAAGGGATTTGAACTCGTGGCAAAATCATTGTTTCTCTTTCCCTTTGGAACGGCTGTATAGCCAGCAGTGTGACGTCATAGTAAATTGAGCTAAACTAAATTTGTTCAAGCGCTAAGAATCTGACCCCGCAATTACCTCCTGCCGCGAAGGAGATGCGCAACCAGAACATCGGCAACATCGCAATCGTCTTTCCCTGTCCTTCACTCTCATTCTTATCCACAATGCCTCTGTGTGGCTATTGTAGCAATATTAACGCTCGAGAAATACTGCGGCAACTGGTAACAGCAGGAGACCGGACCGAGAGCCCCTCATTTGTTTTTGGTGATGCTATAAATCACCACGAGACAATTGAGGAATGGGTAGAGTGTGGCTTTGCAAACAATGGCTGTGAACTTTGTAAACTCTTTCTTCATCAATGGGCCACGAAAGCACGGTTGGGAGACCATAGACACCATTATAAAAGAGAAATCCCTCCCGGAGAAGATGATGAGGGGGTGATCCGAATTCTTATGAGCGATCCAGTAGGGAGGCTGTATCTTCGTCCATTTCAAACTCGGCTCCGGGAGAACAATGAACACCAAGGAAGCCCTGAATATTCCGGGCTACAATTGAGAGGAATCATCACAGGGTTACGTACGCGTGGACGCAAAACGAGCCGCATCAATTACCTTGGTAACCCCAGTTTCTTCTTTAAAAGAGGTGGATCTTAATCGAAAAGTGCTCCTCATACGCCAGCTGACATGACTTTAGGTACTGTTCCAAAAGATGATTCTTCCATGACGGACCTCCTATCATTAGGCGAGATCTACAAAGAACCTGGTTCCGCCGCTGCTCTTAAATTTAGCTTTTCATTGGCTTCAGACCTGTATGAATGAGCACGCATTATGTAGAGAACTGATTGGTAAAAGCAATGACCTCCCTACGCGAGTAGTCTATGTTGGGAACGAAGGAGACGAGCCACGATTGGTGATTCCAGCAGATCAAATCGGGGACTCGAGAGAAGAGCATTCAGGAAGGTATTTGGCTTTGAGTTACTGTTGGGGAAAGGATGTGACGTTTAAACTCACCAAAGCAAACGTCAACTCGTTCCAGGAATCCATGCCGTTGAGCCATTGGCCGAAGACTCTTCACCATGCGGTTGTCGTGGCACGCGGGCTTAAAATTCCTTACCTGTGGGTGGACGCTCTCTGCATCGTCCAGGATGATGCGGAGGATTGGAAGTTGGAAGCCGCCCGTATGCATGACATCTACAACCACGCCACCGTTACGTTGTTCGCTACAACCTCAACATCTATTTCAGATGGATTTCTCCAAGAGGAAAGCCGAAGAGTGAGCCCCGAATGCTCATTGCCTTGGAAGATCCCAAACTCTGGACAGTCCGGAACGGCTCCTCACGACAAGGTGTACCTTCGTAGTCACGACGGAGACGCACATGAAGAGGATGACCACTTCAGAACCGAAGGCCGCTGGAGGAGGCGGGGATGGACCTTACAAGAACGTCTTTCGGCCGCGCGTGGACTCAGCTACACTCATCTTCAAATGAGCTGGCATTGTCATTCAGCTACCATCAGAGAGAACAACGGTTACGTGGACCACACGAAACAAACAGCCTTTGACCTGCTGGAAGAGTCTCGTCTCGATTTGCATCATGACACCCTTGACAGGCTTACCGCCCTCTGGAATGGTCCTGTAAAGGTCAAAAACCACGAACGATGGGGAGTTACCATGCAAGAATACCACACTTTTTTGATCCGGTATTGGTACCGCTTAACCAACGAATTTCAATGGCGGAACTTCACCTACGAAGCTGATAAACTTGCGTCAGTGGCTGGACTTGCAAATGTATTGGAACAGAAGGCTACAGGCCGGGATCAATACTGGGCTGGTTTATGGGAAAGCGACTGGACTTTGGGATTGCTCTGGATAGTCTGGGGAAACAAGAGAAGCCGTGAGGAAATCGACCACGACCTCGAGAATTTTCAGCCACAACCGGAAGACGGTATTACAAAACCTCACGCTCCATCCTGGAGCTGGGCCAGTGTGTTGGCACATGACTTTTCCCATTGGGGCGCGGAACCAACCGACTTCTCTTCGCATCGACGCGACATGAATAGCTTCCTGAAGAATGTTGAGACTCCGAGATTCATAAAGGACCAAGAGCGGTTCATCCCAACGGAGCCCCTGGTCCTGCGGATCACGGCTCCTATCCAACGCTTGTCAGACAATTGGAGAGAAGTCCCCAAAAGTCCACAACCAGATGTATTCCGGAAAGCCTTTGAGAGAGACTTGCGAAGCCTGTTCCACATGACGACCGATGAGGGTATAGAGCATCGTTCTGGCCACTTCAGGGCGGAGTTTGCACAAAAGCATCAAGGTTACCACCGTCAGCATTTTGTGGCTATCCAGGTTGCAAATTGGATACAGTCATACCAAGCGTCTGTTGACCTTCCACAACCAGCAGCTACTTCTCAAAACAGCAATGATGCCTGGGTGGTATTCTTCTTGATTCTGGAAAGTGTTCCCGAACATACGAATAGGTATCGCCGAGTGGGCGCAATGGCTCTTTCTGAGGTTTACCCGTTTGGGAAACAGGAGCTATTGGAGGACGAGGTACCGACTTTGCAAATGATGAGAGAAGAAGGACCATGGCCGGAGCGGGAGATAGAACTTGTTTGATCTTCCGCTTGTCCACACGGAGGACTCACGTACTATCATACCCCTCGCACATATCAAGGATAACGGCACCGCAGTGGCCCAGAGTGGCAGATTCAGTATTCAGAAGAGTTTACAGTCACCACACGGTCACGTTGATGTTCGGAGTTATTCTACTTACTGGAAAGGGTATACAAAAACGATCATGAACACTATAAGGACCAGAGTGCTGATGGCTGGCTTCCCTGTGTTGCGGAGAGGTCATGGTTGTGCACTGTCTGTGTCACAGAATCTCGAGCATGAGTCGGTTGCGCATCCAGGTGTTGTGCCTTCGAATCACGATGTCCGTTTCAAGGCCATTCCACTTGCCATTTTCGGTAGCCGTCCCGGCGATGCTCCTCGCTTCAATTACCGAACGCTTCCAAAGCGCGTGCCGAATTGCCCCTGGCACAGCCGATCATGCCCGAAGGCGGATACGGTACGTGCATATGCAAGTATGGAGGATAATTAAGGTGCGACGCGGTTGCGGGCCGAGCAAATACGAACTGTGGTTCGATTGTTCCGTCCACAAGAGTTGATCGTCTGAAACATGGCCTTTACCGAGCGAAATGTTAAAAAGCAGCCAAACAACCACTACCTTTCCCATGTCCCTTGTATCATCACTCCATTCGTTAAAATGTCAGCCATTCAGCTCTCCCTGCTTATCCTGCAGGGTGCTGTAGCACTCGCTCAAAATCCCGTCACCTTCAAATCGACGGGCAATCCGATTTTAGCCGATGGCTCGTACTACTCGGCCGACCCCGCCCCGCTTGTGGTAAACAACACGCTGTACATCATTGCGGGCCATGATGAGGCGCCGGTCGACCAGAATGCTTTCATAATCAACGAATGGGAGATGCTTGTTGGCGAATCGCCCAGCCCATCCGGCAGCGAATGGACCTTGCATCCGGCCTTCGCGAAACCCCATGAGATCTTCTCCTGGGCTGCTGAAGGGACAGCTTATGCCGCTCAAATCGTCCAAGGCCCAGACGGAAAATTCTACCTGTACGCACCCGTGACACAAGCCGACACGACCAACTCGGACCCCTTCGCCATCGGTGTCGCCGTTGCCGACAGCCCGCTCGGCCCGTACACGGATGCCCACCCATCCGGCCCCATCTTCTCGCAATCCGTCCCGGCACCGGGCAACAACATCCAGAACATCGATCCCACCGTGCTCGTCGATGACGACGGCAAAGTCTACGCCTACTACGGCACCTTCGGGCAGCTCCGGGGCTACGAGCTGGACTCCGACATGGTCACGACCAAGGGCGACGTGACGACCGTCGACAGCCTGACAGGCTTCTTCGAAGCGCCGTGGCTGATGAAGCGCAACGACACGTACTACATGCTCTACGCCGCCAACAACGCCGGGCCCGACTCGCCCTGCACGCCGACCTCCTACCACGCCTGCATCGCCTACGGCACCGCCTCCTCGCCGCTCGGCCCGTGGACCTTCCAGGACGTCATCCTCGGCATCGTGTCGTCCACGACCTCGCACTCCGGCGCCGTCGAGCTGGACGACGGGCAATGGTACCTCGTCTACCACACGGCCGACGCCGAGGGCGGCGGGCACTTCCGGCGCAGCGTGGCCTTCGACGCGCTGACCTGGGACGACAGCGCGTCGCCGCCAGCCATCAACCGGATCGTGCAGACGAAGCGGCCGCAGGCCGACGCCGAGCCGACGCGGAACGTCGCGCCCAAGGCCAGTGCTAGCTCCGTGAATGAGACGCCGATCCAGTACTGGGTCGAGTCGCTGCACGACGGCAAGATCCCGTCGAACCCGCTGCCGCCGGACTACTGGAGCTCGTACGCCGGCACCGACTCGCCGCAGCAGAGCACGCTGGTGTACACGTGGAATGCGTCTGTCGCGCTGAATGGCGTGCGCATGGCGTTCTTTGCGGATCAGGCGGCGGGTGCGAGTGAGGGCGTGCCGCCGCCGGCTGCGTGGCATGTCGAGTACAAGACCGAGGCGGGGGAGTGGGAGAAGGTGGCGAATACGTCGGAATATCCCCTGGAAGTCACGGATGATCCTGCTGAGGTTTCGTTCACCGAGGTCAGCACTACTTCGCTCCGTGCCATATTGACGGCGTCGGGCAGTGGCAGCCAGTTTGGTGGTGTTGGTGTCAAGGAGTGGGAAGCGTTGGCGCCGACTGCGCAGTAGGTAGGAAGGATGTAGAAAAACGCTGAGCAGTGCAGCTGCTCCAATGCAAAATCATTCTTTTTTGAGAAGTCAAATCCCCGGTCTGTGCGTATTGGAATCCAGTTCTCGACCTTTAATGTTATCGTCAAGCCACCACACTCAAAAGCTGATTAGGTAGGTACGGAGTCTTCCGCCCGAGCCTTAAGGGTAGCCACATCGGCCTTGCCGCCTTGCGCCACTGTGTTGGTACCGAGAGTGAGTGTCACGGGAATCTCGTTCAGGGCGCTGTGGATTTTCAATGAATTGATGATGCGGGGGTGATAGGGGTAACTGTTTGGGCTGGAGTGGGCGGCAGTGGCGTCGACTAAGCTCCCCGCGGACTGGGGCCCCGGCAAATATGCACACTCACGCAGCCACAGTACAACCCCTTTAATCGCATCTTCCAGCTGGACTACCGACTTCTGTGAACGAGTTCAACTCTATAGACGTCCTCTTTCGAAATATGCTCAACATTTCACTGTTGTTCTCTGTCTTTGTATCACTCTCAAGTATCAATAGTCCGAAACTCGCAAAGCGAATGCGAAATCAATTGCCGCAAAATATACTTTGAGCCTGTGGCTGCATCTTGCGCCCCTCGGCTACTCTTACGGGAGTCTAGAGCGGTAAACCATATGGCTAAGAGTTCTTGAGCTTGATAAGGAGCTCCATGGGCGTTTAAAATTACCGCGACACCTCCGGAGCTAAGCGTCCAATCCGCATTTAGCGTCAGCTTAGCGTGCAGGGCGGGGTCTCCCCAAATGCAGGCACAACCTACTCTCAACGTTCATGGAAACCTGCAAAGTGCCTGTCTGTTCTTCAAATTGCACCAGCATTCAACTCGGTATAACAAGTACAAACTCGCTTTTCGGCGACTAATACGCGGATTTACCCCGTGTCCAGCTGAAGCTCACATACTCCCCGCCTTATGCGCTGAACCACCGCCACAACTCCGCCCATTCCTCCGCCAAGCATGCCAAGATCTCGTACAGAGATATCCGGAGGCTTGTCTATGGAACCTGCCGGACCCATCTGCCCGCAGGGCTGTTCCCCCCATTTTGCCTGCGGACCCCAACGGCTTACCTCCGGCCAGGATCCGAGCGGGGCTGAGTGACTAAGGTTAAACAGGCTGCACACAGCCAGCCATGGGCTTATTTTCGCGGATAGCTTCGGCGATGCCGCTTCAGGACCCCACTGTGGTCAATGTTGTGGAAATATCGACTGCAGCCTCACCAGCTGCACTCCCAGTATATTAAGAGCTGTTCACGGCGCTTTTTTGCCGACTAGGGCACTCCTCCAGTAATCATCTGTACATCCAGTCATTCTTTACAGCCTTCCGGCTACCCACTCGGCCTTAATCGAAATGGCTCCCACTCTCTCCAAGCCTACGCTCTTTCTGGGCCTTCTGGCCGCACAATCTCTTGCCACGCCTACTCCTGATAAGCGTTCTGCCGCTCCTTCTTGCGTAAACAACGCCAGCAACGGCCAGGTCTACCAGGGCACCAACTCCCAGTGGAACATCGAGTGTGGCACTGACTATGCGTACGTACAACTGGATGAAGACATATATGGGCCATCTGGCTAACCTTCAACAGCGGCGGTGACATGGGAATGTCCTGGGTCGACTCCTTCGAGGCCTGTATCAGGGACTGCGACGCCACCACTGGATGTCTTGACGTTGCTTTCGTGCAGCCAAACGCGTGCTACAAGAAGAACGTCCTCACTCCGGCCGTCGCCAACGCGGGCGTGTGGACTGCGAAGAAGGCTGGTGCTTCCAGCTCGTCTTCGTCCCTTACCTGCGTGAACAACGCCGCCAATGGACAGTCGTACACGACGTCAAAGGGCATCTTCAACATCGAGTGCGGCGTTGATTATGCGTAAGCACTCATCTCGACCCCTCCCCTTCCCGCCAGAATCTAACGTTCCATCGCTACAGCGGCGGCGACCTGAGCTCCTCGACCGTCGCTTCGTTCGAGGCCTGCATCAACGACTGCGCCTCGACCACGGGCTGCATCGACGTCAGCTACGTCAACGGCGCGTGCTACAAGAAGAGCACGCTCAACAGCGCCGTTCAAGTCTCCAGCGTCTGGACCGCCAAGCTGAGCACCGCTTCCACCTCCTCAGGCCCTTCGTGCCCGGCGAGCAACGGCCTCAGCACCACCGTCTCCACCGGCGGCGCCTACAACATCCTGTGCGGCACCGACTACGCCGGCGGCGACATGAAGGAGGTCGACACCACCTCCTTCGAAGCCTGCCTCGAGGCCTGCGACCAGAACACCGGCTGCGTCGCCGTCTCCTACGTCGCGCCGGCCTGCTACCTCAAGAACGTTCTGAACACGCCGAATGCCGTGTCGTACGTGTGGGGCGCGACGAAGGCGATCGATGTCCCGACCGCGTGCCCGGCGGCCGAGGGCAAGACGGTGACGGACGAGAGCGGCAACTCGTACACGATCAAGTGCGACTACGACAGCCCGGGCTTCGACTTCTACGTCGTCAAGGCGGATAGCTTTGACGCGTGCATGGATGTGTGTGCCGGGCAGCAGGACTGCGTGGGCATCGCGTGGGTGCCCGACTACAACGACTGCTGGCCCAAGTACTACATGCCCGATTACGCCTTCTTCTCCGACGCGACGCTCAACTACGACGTCTGGCTCGCTATCAGGGACGCCGAGGAGCCTGAGCTTGAGGAGCCGACCGAGCAGGAGGGATGGAATACCCCCGAGCCGGAGGAGCCTGTGGTCTCCTGGTCTGATGATGAGGAGGAATGAAGAAGGACGAAACGTCATCTCCAGGCTCTCTTTAAGCCGGATTCTAATGTTTTATCAACGTTTATTCAGTCGTATTAATACAATTTATACATCTGACTGCCTGGATCCTCCTTGTGCATCAATCTGCAATCTTGAGGGGTGATAACGACGGAACAATATCAAAAGTATTCGAATCGTGTCATCTCATTTTTTTTTTCTCCCCAACCTCCTCATTCCAACGAACCTCCTCAAATATCATAGTCGGTGTAGTTGACATCCATTTCGGCCGCTTCGTTTATGCCACGCTGAGGCTCGTGGCGCAAGGCGTCGGATCGTCAATCACGCAGGGCACCGGCACCGGTTCCGGCTCGGGCTCCCGCTTCCCAACACCGACGCAGCTCGTGGGGTCGTCCGGGACACACGGCTCTGGTGCCGGCTCCGGCTCGCGCTTGCCGATGCCGACGCAGCTGGTCGGGTCGTCGGGAACGCACGGCATCGGGGAGGCGACGGCGAGAGTCGCTGAGAGATGCGTCTGTTAGCTTTTTGTTTTGGCTTGGAGACGTGGAGGGAGAGACGTACCGAAGAGGAGGGCGGCGGCGGTGCTGAACTTCATTTTGGTGAATGGGGTGTTGGTTGCTGGTTCTTGCAAGTGAATTTCTGGCGGCTGTCGATGCCAGGACTTGACGGGACAGTGGGACTGCTTTTTATACACGAAAAGGCCACCAGCTTCCGCATATCCAGCCCGCCGACTTCGGTGGGCGTGAAGGAAAGTGTTGGCAGGGTCGGCACAATTTACTCCGCAGGTTTACTCTTGACTTGGGCTTTGCGGGATGTGGAGTAGAGAGTAGGCCGAGATCTCCAATCAGATAACTTGCATCTGATAACTTAATGCCGCATAAGCTGTTAGGCCTTCAATCGGTGTGATTGCCCCACAGCTTGTCCGCCGATCGACATATCACCGTTTCCCTCGCCATAGTTATTACACGTGTAGGAAGCACACTAGGAACTCCACGTTAGCATCATCGTGTGAGCTTGTTCTATACTAATAAGCATTTCTTAATGGCTTACCTCTACGAAATAAGCTCTCGTGAATTCAACATGCATCATGTTCGACCTGCCAGAAGAGATTGGAGACTCTGACACGCTGCGGAAAACCTTTGGCCAACGGAATATTTGACGTTAAATCTTTGTAATCCCGTCAGGCTAATTCTTCATTGGATGTAGACTTCAACTGGAGGCCTAGATCTGCACCCGAATGTTCTCCAGCTACTTCGTGATCACGCAATTGGCTTGGCGGACGGAGTTGTTGCCATTGTTGCACATAGGCCCATCATACTTCCCGTTCTCTCCTGCCTCTTCCGATCTATGAATTCATGGACTACAGCAGGTCATCGCTGATTTTTACGTCAACCGTGACCAGATTCGGGTTGTCGGATTCGGATTCGTACCGTGTCGCTTGCATCGGAGAGACCTTGACATCTCTCCCTCGTATTCTGTTCAAATTTGATTGCTCGGTTTCTGTAAAGCTCTATGAATAATGCAGGCCACGCATAATTACTCCTCTTCTTGGATCAGGCCCACTGAGAAGTGTGACGTCACAAGGAAAGAAAATGTAAGGCGTCCAGCGAAAAGCCTTTCTCAAGCATCGCCGACCTTCATCGGCCAAGACCCGAAAAAAAGCTTGATCGACATGTCGGCAAATTCTCAACATACCCATTGCGAGATTCTCAGTGGAGCAGCTATGCCACGTTAGGGGTTTAGCCGACGACGCGCTGCGCCCGCCAATTCCCAGTGGTTTAAATAATATTAAAACATATTATAGCCCCGTCTTCGCTAATCACCCAACAGCCCAAACTTTCACAATCTTTTCGGAACGGTATACTGCTTTTGTGGCTCAACTGGCAGTTTGATCGTTTCACGCCAGCATATTTTAAGACTACACAGTATCCCAGTTCTGCCAATATAGAGGATACGCTATCGAGTAATGGAGGGTATAGAGTTATCGGTTGTAGAATACCCTAGTGCTTGTCCACTATACATCACGCGTAACTATTGTTGGAAAAGGTCTAGTGCCGACGAGGTGAAGACCACGAAGGACAATCTTAATGAGTGTGATAACTTCTACGAAAATGAAAGTAATAGAGAATGACGTAATGTAAAAGATGTATGCTCGCCACAACATGTACTACATGGCAGCCCTCGCGTTTCTTGAAAAGCTACACCTACTTACCTCCGACCGTGACAGTCAGGGACTCCGGCTTACCCGACTGCACCATCCCACTCTGATCCTTGCCGCCAATAGGCGTGACATCATCGTAAGCGAAAGCATAGCCCTTCCCGTCAGATGTAGTCCCATGCACGATCTTGGCGTAGTGGTTCGTGTCTCCGTGCTTGTAGTAATCCTTGGGTCCGTTCGGATCGGGGATCTCGTGGTTCTCTAGCAGCGTGGAGCGGTTGAACGCCGCACACAGCAGCGGAATGATAGCCAGTCTCTCAGGGCTACCATTGTTCTGGAACGGGCCCGTGTTGTTGTCGAAGATGTTCCTGGACGACGGCTTGCCGAACGTCTCGCCGCCGATCTTGAGCACGCCGTTCTCGACGTGGCCTTTCAGCGTGGTGGACGGGTTGATCTTCACCAGAAGCGGTTCGTTTTGATACTTCTGCCAAACCTTGTTGACGTATTGGTCGTAGTATTCGGCGAAGAGTTTAGGGTGAAGGCTGGACATGGCCTTGTCTGGGCTGAGGGCTCGCACGTACTTGCCGTCCGACTTCAGGACCAGCTTGGCCCATCCGTTGCCGATGTTCTCGAGCTTCTTGCAGACGGCCGCCAGCCCGCCCGCAGGGAGGCCCGAGACGTGCGATTCCTTGCCGCCAGAGCTCTTCAGTGACAAAGCGATCGGCAGTCCCACGAAGTCGACGAAGCTGATGTTGGCGTACATCTGCTGCGTGTTCCACGTGAACTCGGCGAAGCCCCACTTGGCGTTCCGGCCTTTGCCGTCAGTCGGGGTTGGCTCGACAAGAGCTGGGTTGCTGCCGTTGGCGTTGTGGTTCAGGGCGAAGTCCAGCTTACCCAGCACGAAATAGATTCGCCCGCTGTTGAGGTGAGGGATCGTGGCAGGGGTGCTGGAGCCTGGCCCCCCAAACTTGATGGCGCAGTCTTGTCCGAGGGGAGCGCCGTTGGATGGAGGGTTTGCTGGATAGTAAGGAGTCTTGCCGTTGGCGCGCAGGAAGAAGAGGTGGTTGCGCTGGGGATCAGTCCCAGTGATGTAGGCGTGGACATTGTCGGCATTGGTCGTGTTGCGGAGATGGATTGTGAACTGGGCCTGTGCGGCCGCAGTCAAAACTTCTTGGTCGTCGATGGAACCCATTGTGTGAGCGTGAGAAGCGGATTGCAGTGTAATGTCTGAGCGGATGGATGATGAATTGGCTGGTTTGCTTTGGTGGCCTTGTTAGATGCTGAATCTACCAACCTTTATACTTAACGGCAACTCAACAAGTGGATCAAAGGTCAAGATAGTGCATACTCAAAGGCTTAATGCTACCTTGGTTCAAATGATCTGACATGGGAAATATTTCTGAACAAGTGTGAAGAGGTTTCTTGGACGACGTAACAATCCACACCCCAAGAGAGAGGATGTTGGAAATAGATTTCGCTCAGCCCTGGTTGCCGCCGTACTGTGGCTATGTTCCCAGTAAATGACTTGATCCTACCCACCAAGATAAACTACCGCGTGACACCATAGATCTCGAGATGATATTCCTTCAAGCTCTCCGCTAGGCTTATTTATCTTACGTGCTACACTACGATCCTCTCTCGTGTTTCATTATTACCAAGCAATGGCAATACCAAAGACGATGTGCTCTAGCTAAGTAAGAATAATTATATACAAGGCAAATAGCCATGCCTAGTGAGCTTAAACGTAGTTCATTTATGTATCTATTTTAGCGTAGGCAGGGGCTGTGGCTCGCCAAGACGGATCAGGTAATCCGTCGGATCAAGCTTACTCACGTGCACATCTCGAATCCTCCGCAGGGCTGAAAAAAGACTGTGAAGCTACCGATCCACGGTTCTACCACCGAGATAAAGCGAACCTAGCTACTACCATTTCATACGCTCCTGTTGTTGGTGGAACCAAAGGCTATGCGTAAGCATCCTGTATGACCAAAAGTGTGTCCACATCGTAAGGCACCTGTTCTTTGAGACATACATGTTTATTTGGAAAGCTAATAATTAATTTCTGTGGTTAGCCTACAACTATGGGACGAGGAGTGCGGAAATATCCCACCACGAACCCAGCAAGTGGTGCTGTCGCGAAGCTTATACTGACACTGCGAGGAGCATCAAAGTAAAGGACGTCTGGTCGAGGCTGACGGGGTGCATCAGATCTCAGAGCTGTCGCAGTCGTCAGAAAGGACTTACTTTTAAGAGATTCCGTCTCGAAGTCAGTGTTGTACTAGCTGTTGTAGAGGTACACTTAGCCTTTCTGCCACTGCAAACACTCATACGGTACCAAGGCATCACAGATGAATCAGCAGTTGGATGTGATTATGTTTGATGTAGATACTGACGACAACTAATCCAAATGACGGGATGGAGGCGCATAAGTTCGGTTTGATGCAGATGTTGCGTCATTCATCCTGCCGAAGATGAAGCAATAATTTCCCCCCACTTGGTCCCGCACTGAATAGATCATACATTTGCATATCCTCTTCCCGCACAGACTTGTCTATTTCAGCATCGAAACGTAGGAAAAAGGCGGCTACAAGTTTGTTCAATTCCATTTTTGCAAGGCTGCGGCAATCAGTATTGTCCAACGCGCCAGGGAATGGTACTCACTTGATCCCGATGCATGACCTTGGACCAACGGAAAATGGCGTGAACGCTTCTTTCCTGAGCTCATCCCCTTCCTTCTCAAGCCAGCGTTCGGGCAAGAAGTTCTCCGGATTGGGGAAGGCGGTGGGGTCGCGGAGAACCGTATAGTTCTGTGACCCGACTGTCGTCTATAGAGTAATTTCTCAGCGGTAATTGCTCAACTAGAGAAGATCAACTTACCCCTTTGGGAACTGCTACTCCCGCAACCACAGTATCCCGCAGCGCTGTCCTTGGCTTGGTAGCAATGATAGTCGGATAGCACCTCAATGTCTCGTTAATGACAGCCTGCAGATACGGCAGCTTCGCACAGTCCACGCCCGCGGGCACAGCCCTTCTATCCTCTCCAAACGCCATCTTGAGCTCTCGTCTCAGCTTTCCCGCCACTTCCGGCCTCCGCAGCACAGCCCACAAAACGTACACAAACGTATTCGCCGTCGTCCCACTGCCCCCAAACATCCCACCCATGCACTCCTCGGCCAGCTCCGAATCCGTCAGCGGCCGCCCCAGAAACGCGTCCTTGCCATGCAGCGCATTCTGGAGAAACGGCGTACGCGTGCCCTGCGCCCGCCAGCGCCGCACCAAGTCCACGCAGTACTCCTTCCACGCCCGCACGTCCCTAAAGTACCCGCCCACGCGGCCCGGCACATACGGGCCCCACCGCTCGAGCTGCGGCACGAACTCCTTGAACGCGAACGTCGGCCGCCACGAACGCAGGCACTTTACGACCCAGTGTTCCTCCCCGTTCGCCACGCATCCCGGGTCCTCATCGAACATGAGGTGGTACACAATATCGAAGCCAATCCAGTGCGCCCACGGCACGGCGTTGAGCGGCTCGCCGCCCGCGCTCCTGCGGGCCCACTGATCCATCATGCAGCCGATCTTGGACGAGATGTGCGGCTCGAAGTCGAGCAGCGCGGCCTGGGAGAAGCCGCGCTGGAGCAGCTTCTTGCGCTGCTTGTGCGCGTCGGGGTCGCGGAAGCTGAAGAGGTGCTCTTCGTGGTAGACGCGCTTGGCGTGGTAGAAGGAGGCTTCCTTGACGAAGGCGTCCGAGGACGTGTTGTAGATTTCTTTCGTGGCGCTGGGGGAGGCGAAGGAGAGCTCGTTGGGCCCGACGCGGACGACTGGGCCGTAGTGCTGGTGCGCGGCGTGGATGAGAAAGGACTTTTGGCCGCGGAGGTTGCCGAGCCGGCTCCAGAGGCGGGAGAGCCGGGCGAGGGGTGGGCCCGGGATCTTGCGGAGGGGGTGGAAGAAGATGTTGTAGATGCAGAAGGTAGTGGTGTAGACTACGGCGAAAAGGACGAAGTAAGAAAGGATCATTTTGACGGACGGAGCATTGGGATACTTGATTGGATGGCTATCTGGGAGTTTGGACGAGTACATGATTGTGGGCAAGGAGAATTGTGTTCTCGCGATAGAGTTGCGCTTCGACCGCGTTATTCATATCAACTCCAACACATGAACCTTGTATGCGGGGTAGGTCAATCAAGCCGGCTACCCCGCCTACTGCGGGGGATCCCGGGGGTAACCGCCCTCGGGCAATTGGCTTCGTATAGCATAAGCAGGGCGCTACTTTCCGCGCTGGGTTCCGCACCGGGAATACATTAAAAAAGTTTAAAGTACCGACACACCCATCACCAAAACAAAAATTGCAAATTCATCGAAAATTTAGCGGTCAACAAAAAACGATATTGCGTCAGCTAGGAATTGAACCTAGGTCTCATCGAACACTCAAAGCCCCGGGCCCGGGCTCGTCCAAAGACGAGGGCTTACGCAAAGGGAATCACCCCTTTGCCAACTGCTGAACGGGTTTTACCCCGTTCACAAAGTTCCACTCTGTAGAGCCGATACGTTCTAACCACTGAACTACCGACGCATTTTTTGTTGGAGGCACAATTGATAGTGAGTCTTATTAAGGAAATAACTGCAAGCGATAGAGTAGAGGAGCCAAGGATGACCGACCAATCCCACAATTCTGCCAAGTCATCGAATCATGGATCTGATAGAAAAAAGAGAACAAAAGTATGTTCCTCTCGGGCAGTTGACAGAAACACTAAGGCTTTCCTCGCCAAACATTCGCAAGGTACTCCTCAGCGTTAGAGAAGCGGTAATGTGGAAGTAACTTATTCCACTCATCTGAGACAGCCCACGACCCGGCCTCAATGGCCTTGAAATACCCTGCGACGATCTCTTCTGACATCCTTTCCCGTAGCTCAACGGGAATAGCAGGATGATCGATCCTGGGAACCCACGAGGTTTGGAGTTTGCCATCCTCATAAACCTCTTGGGCCACCGACTCTACTTTCATCGATCCTGGTCGAAGGAGTTAGCAACTATAGCCAAATGAGATCGCCGAATCTTCCTCAATACCTCGAAGCTTATTTCCAAGCTCTACTAGTTCTTTGATGGTGATCTGTGACCCTTGGATGCCACCAACGGTTGGCCACTTCCCCGGATAATCCAGTGCTTCGGCAACTACTGCTGCCATATCTTCGATCGTGGTGAGGGTGATGGTAAAATTACCATCACCAGGTACAAGGGCCCTCCGATTGTGAAAATCCACATACATGGGAATGAGGGTGAAGTGTGGAGTTGTCTTGTGCGGCCACGCGAAGAAATTGGTGAAAAATCCTGGCTGAAACAGACAATACTCAAGAATCTAAGAAGAAATTAGATCAAGGTAAATCACTCTCGAATAAGCCGTAGCTTACCGTTTCTTTTCTGTTGACCTCTTCGAGGTACTCACGAACTCTATCCTTGAAAGCGTAGTGTGGAGAGGCGCTATTGCTTCGGCTTTTGTCCGTCAGTAGTTTCTCAGCATGGTTTACATTAGTTGATAACTTACGTCCCCCATTCTGAAGGCGCGAATCTCTTTACTCCAGCCTCGACACAAGCGTCAATGAGAAGCTCTTGCATCCGCTGGACAAGATCGAAGTTCGAATCTGCCAGAAAAGACAGCACGACGTCGACACCGCGCAGCGCTTCAACGAGTTGAGTCTTGTTCTCGTAGTCGACTGTCACATAGTTGACTCCTGCAGGCGGCACATTCGTACGTTCCTATAGTGGTGTGAGCTCCATGGATGGTTACTCTTAAATGACATTCATTCGTACTCGTCGAGTAAAAACAGTAACTTTGTGTTTTTTCTTGGCAAGGATAGCATCTGTGACGTCACTGCCAACACCTAAACAGTTTAGCCATGGGAAGAAGACGAGCTGAAGAATTACGCACTGCCTGAGCCTCCTGCAAGTACAACGTGAGCCATTTTTCTTTTTGTATTGAGGAAGCAAACGTTCGAATCTCAACGGCGAGGTTATTCGTTGTGGAGCGCAAAGGACTGTTCTTATATCCTACATTAGATTACAAATACAGGAATTAATCTGTACGACGTCGGATTCCCGGGTATGTCGGTCTCCGAGCGTATGGAGGATTCTGAACGTACATACGTAGGATTCCGAACCCGACTCTGTTTGGTGCTGGCCGCTGGCGCTACATACCATATTCGTTAACTACCCCGTGGGATATGAGACAAGGTATGTAGGTCTTGTGCCAGGTGCAACAGCGCTCATTACGTTACATTACATGAATTCTCAGCCAGACGCTGCACAGATACAAACTTCATACCACCCTCTTCGTTTCAGCCCCCATTTGGAAAAAGCAACTTGGAGTGACACTCACGCACCACGGGAAGTTCCAGCTCTAGCTAGGCATGCTGGACAAGCAAACAGTAACACTGGCCAGGAGCCAAAGCACCTCCGGGTGCTTGGACAGCCATTGGTAGGCATTGGCACCGTCGGGGTGTCAGAACGGTGACAGTCAGCCAGCCAGAAAAGCAGTGACCGCCAAGCCCCTGGCTATTATTTTTGATCCCGGCGTCTCCTGCTGAGGCACATGCACACACATATCGTGCTGGGAAGTAAGGTAGAGCTGTCGCATTTCCCCAACAGCTGGTACGATTAAAATCCGGATTCCACCCGTATCTTGTAGGCGTCAAAGTTGAGATGAAATAAAGCGTATAAGCGATGACGGCTAGCCAAGTGCTCTTATGCAGCAGTCAAAAACGGAAGATGGGCCGACAAAGAGAAACGAACGTGATGCATCTGATAAGCTTACTGGGACAATTAAAGAGCCGTCACTGTCCTAGCCGATGCAGTACTATGTTCCCGTGGCGCTGGGACGGATTAAAGGCCGTGTTCTGGAACGGCTTTCGGGCGTCTACCCAATTAGAAGCTTTAGCGCCAACTCGCCGAAGTCCGTCCGCTACCTAGATGCACAATGTCGGCTTGCCGTTGATGCGTCGTTCCGAGCCGAGATCAACATAGGGTCGCAGTAATGTTATCGCGCCTTTTCTCTTTGGACAACCTCAAGGTATCTGCTAAAAGGAATCATGAAAGAAGGTGCATACATAGCAGTTGCGAACCGACCTAGTCTGATGAGCGGATTCGGTGTCGGTAGTGCACTATGCGAAAAATGTTCTCTACGGAGCGGACGGGTTGAGCGCCGCAGTTCCCGAACGGATGCTGGGGTCCGATGGTCAATTTGCTCCCCTCATGCCTTGTCAACTATGCGCTTGCTTACGCGTCTTTCGCAACAACCATCATAGCTTACAAATGCACTGCTGCTTTCTGATTTCTAACATCTGCGCTTGTGTGTTCTTGGCGCTTTCTAAAGGCTCTGTACAGCCTAGTCGTTTTCGTATCGGATGGCGAGTGATCCGAACCCGAACAATGATTCCATCATACAGAAGCCGCAACGACGCCTGGCTATATAATAAACCAACAAGGACTGCATGGTCCGTCATTCGGTTTCTCCAAACGAAAGCCCTTCCAAACATGGTCAAAGTCGTTGTTGCCGGAGGCTCTGGGAGTATGAACATCCCAACCACATCCATATCCGTATTGTCTAACTATTCTACAGACGTTGCTCGTGAGGTGATCGATAAGATCATAGCGAAGCAAAAGCATGATATAGTCGTCTTCACACAAAGAGTAGTTGAGCCCATTGCGTTGTAATGGTGTATGCTAACATAGAATAGCCGGTTGACGAACTTGCAATCGACGGTGTCAAATGTGTGCAAGTCGATTACTTGCACAAAACTTCTCTGGTCGATGCACTCCGAGGAACTGATGTGGTTCTTTGCTTCTTTGCGTCAACCGACCAGAGCGGTGTCGTTCAGAAGCAAAAGGTCCTCATTGATGCCTGTATTGAAGCAGGCGTCAGACGATTCGCACCATCTGAGTGGGCAAGGTAAGTGCTGTTTTTAAGGAGAACAAACATCGTCGGAAGTAGAAGGATGCTTACTCAAATAGCGGTGATAACGAGGGCATCCCTCATTACGCCTTCAAAAGTGAAATCCGCAAATATCTGAACGATATCAACCGCAACCAGAAGGTAGGACTCAGGAATATATCTGCCTCAATGAATGCTAATCTGGGCAGCAGGTTCTAGAGTATACACTCTTCCAGCCCGGTCTCTTCACCAATTACTTTGGGTTTCCACACGCAACTACAAAGCATTTCTCCATGAGCCAATGGTTTGTTGATTTTGAGAACCGGCGAGCTATTACTGTTGGCAACGGAGACTTCCCACTCGTTCTCTCCACAGTCCAAGATATGGCGGGTGTCGTGGCCGAAGCGCTTGACTATGAGGGTGAATGGCCGGTCGATGGAGGTATCTGCGGATCTCGCTTAACCCTGGCCGAGCTAATCGAATTGGGTAAAACACTGAGAGGTAAGCAATCCTCATAAAGCTTCATGTGCGTTTCGAGATGGTGACGACCGAGCCAAACAGGGAATATGGATGTGGAGAGTGTCTCTTTGGATGATCTTAGAGCCGGTCAGCTTAAGACATCCTGGTGCCCGATTATCGACCATCCTGGGATCCCGGACGAACACAGAGAGGCGGTATCCAGAACGGTGATGATCTCATACTTGAAATCTGTGGCTGAAAGGGCCTGGAACGTGTCAGACGAGTGGAACAAACGGCTACCCAGCTACCGGCTCACCAGTGTGGAGGAGTACTTGACAAAGATCTGGGAGAATAAAGTATAGTGTTCCGCTTGTAGAAATGCATGAGTCTGATGGATTGCAGAGTGAGCATGATCATCGACTTTAAGACGGTCATTTGCCCTTTACATTTTCTTCTCTATTAGATTTTTCCAACAATTGAGCGCGCTCTTATCGGTAGGAGCTACTGGAACAGTCAAGCTCGTGCTACACTCAACAACGGTGCATTTTAAACGAAATGGAGAAGTCTTAGCGTTAGACAATTTGGCAACAAGTTTGCGAAGTAGGTTAAGATTGATCTGCCAAACATGCCGATGGCGCAAAGGCAATTGTAATATTACCGAAAACAACTAGCTGACCACGAAACCACAAGTCCGATCTCTCTCACCGACGCCAATCACCAGCGAGAAGCGGACACCTTGCATACTGGCCAGCATTTGAGCGACCAAGTCATCAATTATGTCCTGCAACTACTGTCCACCACAACCTTGGATGACAAGATACAAACTGTAGTCATCCCTCCCCCTCTCTCTTTTATGGACCGATCATTAGGCACATACCTTGTACGACATACCTCAGAACATCCCGAGCTTCTTCCGTCCTTGTCCGCTCCCTGCCTATACCCAGACTGCACGGCAGAAGTTGCAAGCTTGCTGGATATCTACTTGCATCACTACCAAAGATGGCGCTTTGCAGAGCGTCTCTGCCTGGCAAGCAGACCTGTATGATGGTGGCGTCTTAGTAGCTGCTGTCACATTTCATTAGTCAGCGCAGACGGTGCTGCCTGGCAGCATCGATACAGTTGTTTGGAGGAGATTACTGAGGCGCATCATTTCCAACTTCAACGCAACCGCCGACGAAGATGGTGCCGAGGATGATGTCACCAATGACTCCTTGCATGTGTGAAGAAGACTCAAAAGTCTCAGGTTTGTGCAATTATCTCTACCCCCATGCGTTTCTCTCACATAAGCTTATCAATTCCGTACGTATCCCAAAGCCCCGCACGCCAAACGACCTTAGTACCACATAAAACTCCATTTGTGCAACCATTCCCACGGCTTCCAGCTAAGCGAGATCCGAGATTGGGAACCACGAGTTGTTGACTGAAGCACCCGCCGAGCTCAGCACTCCGCTTGTTTATCTCCACCTACACGCCGTGGTAGAGCGTTTTTGCCGCTAAAGGAGCTACACCGCCTCTCAGATGACATCGCCACCTGCGGAAACGTCTTCCGCGATGCGGGTGCCCTTGCCTCACGTGAGCGGCGAGCAAATGTGAGCGTGATGCTGTACATCGAGGATCATGGCGAGCTGAACGCACTGAATTTGCAGCAGCAGGATGGATGAGGCTGAAACTGAATCAAGCCATCATATAATACCACCACTTTCTTCTATATTAAGGTACATTTTCTTATTTCGCGGAAAAGGGCTCTCTTTGAGAATATATATGGTAAAGCCGATAGAGAGCAGGTTGCAATGTTCAGCTCGCAGGCTTGTGTTACCAGTAAGGGGCCGTGAAGGTAACGTTGCCACGTGAAGGTAATATTACCACGATAGATTGCTGACGTGTCCCTCCCACAAAAACACTCCTGATGTTACTAGCTTGTTGATAAGCGATGCTCATACTGCTAGCTTTATCTTTTATTGCAAGAACGACTTGTATGGACGGACTAGAGGGGCCAAGTTGTATATTGCGCACAGCCTTGAAACGCTTTCTTGAGAAGGGAAAGCTGGCTTGCGTAACACGCTTGCTTAGCTAACATCATATCTCGGGTGCAATGTGAGACATCTCGCGTATTGTGTTCAACTTTGCCTGTGGTAATTCCGATATGTAGCCTATAATGGCTCTAGGATATGGTATGTCTCGAGCAGCAAGGCTGAAGTAGCAAGTCACATGTTAGTCACGTGTTCAAGCATCACTTATTATGTGTATATATATCCAGTCGTTATCCTGTAGTTTAATAGTGAATTTGCCTTCCTTTCTTCCACTCCTACAATATATTCTTGCCTCTTTGGGTCAATATTCAACAGAGGCCCCATGATCGATCATTGAACTACAGCGAGACATTGGCCGCCCACTACCAAGTTGCTCGACAAAGAAGGATGGTTGGGAATCAGCTACACATACTGAGCCGAACCTCGATGTCTATTCTCGGCTCGAGTGGGTGATGAGCGACACGCTGCAACTACAGCGCTTTTCAAGGGCTGCGCGACAGACCGCATCGTCTGGATAACGCTGCTTACGAGGCAGTGGAAAGTTCTCTCACGGCTGGGTTGGACTTGATGATGAAATTCAAGGGAAGAATCACGTCATTGCAAACCTTATTAGATTGCCTGATGGAAATTGAGACGGCTGGTCTCGACAACGATGAAAAGTTTATCTGGAAGGAAATAGTCCGTCTTTTCGAAAACGGGAGGTCTGATGGGCCTGTTGGGGAATAAATCAGCATTTAAAAGACCAAAAACGGTACACTGAATTAAGAGGTAATTACTGAGAGGTTGATCAGGGGTTTTAGAACAGTAGGCACCTTTTCGAAGCCATCTGATTAAATATAATAATGGGAGCTTTAGAGAATGTTTCCACACATACTGCTACGCGGAAGCACAGATGCCACTAATTGTTGTTTTCATGTCTGTTCTCAAGATACTTCCGAATGCAGATCGAGTCATTTTCATTATTCCCGGCCTTCAGGAGTCTAAATATATGTACATTGCGCAAGAGGACCTAAGGCGCGCTTGTGATATAATGAGTAATATAAAATAGATGTCGCTACCTGTAATAGAGATGATTGAGTATAGCTCTATCAATCAAGTTTCTGTAATCTTTCCTGTTTCCACCAAGCATCGCATGATGTCAACCTTTCCTTTCTTCTTTGATTCCTGATACGCATACTGCAGAATATTCTCCTCCAGTTCCTCTACCGCAAGGAGCCTTCTCACGATCTCCAGATGTCCTTTCACGGCTGCCTGTGATAGAGGTGTGCGCCCTAGCTTGTCTTTCTCCCCAGCGCCGCGAACACCATGGTCAACTAAGACTCTTACATATATTGCCAGGCCCGAAGCTGCCGCGTGAAAAAGCGCAGTACGCTGCATCTTGTCTTTGGCATGCGTATCGATTTTGGGGTGACGCAAGAGGGCAAGCAGTACGTTGGCTAGCTCTCCGTGCTCTGATTCGTCTGCCAGCCCGGGATACGCAACCATGAAGAAAATGAGCGGCGACTGTCCCTTTTTCTCTTTGACGTTGACATCAATGTTTGCGGATGCTAGAAGAGGTTCCACAAGGCTCAACTCTCCGGAATCAATTGCTGTGTGTAGCGGTGTCTCGCCGTCTTTGTTCCGAGCGTTGACGTTGACTCTGCAGTCTTCCAGCAAAATGGCGATAACCTCTTCTTTGCAGCCCATGACTGCGGAGTGGAGAGCGGTGCGGCCTTTGTCATCCTGAGCGTTGGGATTCACGGTCGTGTTCCTGAGCAACTCCCGCACTATAGATGAATGACCCTTGTTTGCAGCGTTGTGGAGTGGTCTCTCGCCTTGGCTCTTGACCGCATTAACATCGACTCTATTTGAATTGAGCAATTCATGAGCTACGTCGACCTGATCAAAGAAGAGGGCGAAATGTAGTGGCGTCATGGCAATGGAGTTCCTGATATCCAGATTTATCCGACCTGAGGGAAGAAGGACGTCCTCTCTGACTTCACCGTGGGAGAGGAGAGAGTATATCTCTGACTCGTACTTTGATCCATCTTTCTCGCCTGAGTATTGTATCAAGGGACGGATCGCGCTCATGACACCACATGCAGCCAATACGTGGATGAGAGACGCCTGATTCACCCGTGGAACGAAGGCTCGGAAGGAGGCCATTGCAGCTGTTTCGTTGGGCCATCCGAAGATTTCGAGAAGCTCGAACTGCTCCACACCATATTCTTCTGCTTTGTTGAAATGGTACAGGATCGCGGATTGGACGTAGTGATCCAAGGGGAAACGACTGGAAGATTCCTGCCTTGTGTCGAAATCTTCGCGTGTTCCCCTCATGAACATGTACCTGAGACAACATCGAGAGATGTAATAATGAGCGGTTCCTTCCGGATGACCGGTGCTGGAGATGCCGATCTCCCCCTCTAAGAACTCCAAGCCTCGTTCACAAAGGTAGTCCATGACTGATGCGTGGATGAGCCGGACCCGTTCTCCCCACGCCTGGTCCCCGTCTAGTTTGTGAGCTGCCTCAAATCCAATGAGGCCTTTCGAGTAGTATTTGACAGAGTTGATGAGATCGTCGAGGTCGTGCAGAAAGTCCTCGCCGGTGGAGTATTCCTCGATTGACCGTCCTTTCATATCTGGAGCGAGAACCCAAGCATGCTGCAACTCGCGAAGGCTGATCATCCGCTCACTGAAGCCTACCCAACGGAACAGCTTCAGAGACTGTTCCATCTCCCTTCCGCTCATCTCTTTGAATAGGCGCTCGTAAAGGGCGTGTAGGTCTTGAGGTATGTCTTCGATCAACCGCAGTATCTTCTCGAGTGGCTTGCCTGATCTGTGGTGGTCCCGCACATTCTGGCACACAACACCTGCCCACTGGAACAGACCATTTGATCTGGGGATGATGAATTCTCCCAAAGGAACCTTCTTTTTAAACGGGAGATCTCTCAGCTCCTGGCGTACAAATGTAGCAATATCCTGCCCATTGTTTTCCTCTGCTCGAATGATAACGCCTTGCGTGAAGAGATTTGGATGATATCGACAGGAAACGCAGATATTGACTTTCAAACCAGCGCTTTCCTCATCGTAGCAGAGGTCTCCGAGCAGCGCCAGTAGGGTATCTATTTCCGCTTTCGAAAATTCATCCAGGGCGTCAATGAACAGGACCGTCTGACGCGTCTTCGATGCTTCTCTCAAGGCTTGCTTCAGATGCGCCTGAAGGTCTAACAGGCCCCATGCTCTTGGTCCGGGCTCCTCTGGCATGTGCGACAGCATGGGAAGAAATGCGAACGGTATTTGTGGGATGAGCTGGCGAATCAGGCTGCAATACAGACCGAGGAGCGTCTTTTGCAAGTCCATGCCAAGGCCGTAGATAAAGAATGCTGCCACGGCGGGCTTCTTGGTGGATTGTCTTTGTGTCCATTCCACTGCGTGCTTCATTATGGTGGATTTTCCTGCTCCAGGAAGACCCTGAAGCCAGAGAAGACCTCGGCCATCGCGCATCCATTCTTGAAAAGATGGATGTTGAGGGAACCAAGTGCACGTTTCGTTCTCGGCAACAACAATCTGCCCACTTCGGACCTGCTCTTCTTGGAATGAGAGGGAAGAACGGCAAGCAAACAATTCGTCTTGTCGTGCACGTGATAAAAAGAGCATAGGAGAGCCTAAGGAATCGCACCGGTTACTTAAAGTCATTCATTTCCAGGGACTTCCTACTGACGTTTCTTGGCCGTCCCATAAAACCTGGTAAATAGAGGAAGAACCTGTGCTTGGTAGATCGGATCGGTTGAAGCCTCAAACTTCACCATATCCGAATGATTCCGATTGATGGCTCTTACAAGCTGCTCCTCTCCATTCCAAGGCCGTCCATGAGTTGCCGAAGGTCGGTCTACCAATTTCTTCGACGGCCCAGCCATTTTCCATTTGCCATCCACCTGCCATATATTAGTACTCTTTCAGAAAGGAAAAGTACAATAAGAAAGATAACACAGTCAGGAACATGGATACCTACCTGTATGGCTGTAGGCGACTCCCTTGTCTCATAGAACGAGACTATCAGGAAAGACGCAGACAGAATGTCACCTTCCCGTAACACGAACGTCTGGTCCCAGAGCTTGGCTTGCTGGCGAAGCTCTGAGGAGTCATAGTCCAATGAGCGCAGAAAAGGCTCGTTTGGCTGTCCTTCAACCATTGGTACAAGAGAGGTGATGTCCATTCCCTGGTTAGGCGTGCCGAAAAATAAAACCGCTTGGAGCGATTTTAAGATTGCCTTCCCCGGGACCCCTTTACTATTCGCCATTTCACACAAGGCCTACAAAGTTGATTAGAGCATAAAGGGAAACATAACACGATCATCAAGAACTCTTACCTGCTTAAGAACGAGGCCCCCGAGACTATGACCAACTAGCACCAGCGGATTCGGAGCCCTGTTCTACAACGGCCGTCAACACTAAACTCTGTGAACGATAGTAGATGCCTTACTTCATCTTCTGGTTCAAGCAAAGCTTCTAGCACCACTTGAAAAGTGAGTCCCAAATCAGTAAGAGTTTGAAACGAATCGCTGCCCTGCATCTCCGATTCATATCCGTAAATATAGATCCGGGCACCCGGCAGGGAGCGAGCGAGGTCATCTCGTAGCCACATGAACTGTCCACCTCTTTGTTTGAATGAACCAAATGCATGGCCATTTAGTCCTGACAAGGCAACTATTCTGGATAGATCATGTCAGCATTTCCGTCCTAGGTTGGCCTATGAACCCACTTACTCGAGATCGCATTCAGGGTCATCGTGCGAATGTAAAGGCGTAAGGCCATGAAAGTCGATGTCTAAACGCAAGTCTGATATTGAGACACCTTGGAACGCTCTTGCCGATTTGGGACTAGTAGCCAACCGCCGTGGAGTTTTTGAAAAGCTCAGTGTTGCGATCTTTTGGGATCTGCTGGTTGGATTGCGCCCGAGAGACTCTACGTAAATCTCAATGAATTCCTCGACGGCAAAGTCCTTTCTAACCAACTCTTTAACATCTTCTTTAGTTGTTTCCCGGCCTTTGTAAGTCGCGGGTATTCCCTTCAGCCGGAACGTTTGCGAAGCCAAATCCTTTCTCAGGTTCTCTGGGTTCGGTATCGGAGGTGGATCGCGCAATCTCGGGAATCTGAACTTGTCGGGGAAGAGGAACGAGGATCCGCTTATCGCAAAAACAGCGAGAACGACCTGAAGGAATACCAGCGTAAGCCAGTCCATCATCGAGAGCTCAGCGTGTGCCAGGTGAGGCTGAAAGCGTGGAGAAGCCTTTGAGCAGGCTGAGGGGTTATGCGATATTTGATTTTCCCAGTGATCAGGCAACTATTTTTACCCTTGTCGACAGGGCGCCAACGGACATGCAAGTCGACGCATCGAGCAGCATGTCCGCGTCAGCATTGGTTGATGTTTTGCTGGGGTGGTAACGTGACCACGGTCGGAACGAGTCAAGGAAGAACATATCGCACGGCTGAAACATACATATTTGAGGCTGATCCAGCCACAAAGTTGCCTGTCAGATCAATGTCCAAATATATTTCCAGCTCAGCCTTCTTCACGCCAGCACGAATCCGCCGAATCCCTTCGGACCATGGAAGCCAGCTGGAAACTCCCCGTCAAATTAAAAGCCTCGTCTCTTTGGAACCCGAAGTTGATTTCAGAAGGCTACAAAACTCCCGACGACCCCCAAGAGTCTACCTTTGAGTTTGTCCGCACCAATGGCATTACCGCCGAGGCTGCCAACGTGTATCCACACCAGCTGGAAAAACTGGCCCCCACCGAGAAGATAACCGCATGGGCAGCCACAAAAGCAAGAAAAGCTTACGACGCGCAGTTGCAGGTGAAAGGCCAGAACGCCGCAGCTGAGGACCCACCCCGTGGCCCCCACAAGCGCCTGTCCGACCTCCGATATGAGATACGCGTCCTTGAACTCCACCCCGGGCATTTCTACGACAACCTGAAAGGTACCCTGCACCACTGCTCCGTCGAGTACGAAGACGGAATTTCTTCTACCTTTATAGCAGATGATGAGCGGCCAGCCTACCGCACGCGCTTCGCGCTTTCTTGTGAGAACATGAAGAAGCCCGTGTGGTACACGGCGCTCAGCTACGCCTGGGTAGATCCAACTTCGAGCTCGAATACGAACTGGGACCCGGCCACAGACACACACATTGAGTGCAACGGCTTCAAACTTCCGATTACTAGGTCCCTCGAGATGGCGTTGAGACACTTTCGCCAAACAACTCATTCCATCAACCTCTGGATTGACCAGATTTGCATAGATCAAAGCAATAATTACGAGAAGGAACATCAGGTTGCGCTCATGTCAAAAATCTACACACATGCGGTCAACACTGTTATTTGGCTGGGAGAAGCAACGCCAGGATCAGACCGTGCCTTCAAGCTGCTTGAATACATCGGCACAGTATTTGCATTTGAAGTCAACGCGCCTCCACCAGATGAGTTTGAAAGACTATTTCTTCCACATGCAGAGGATCCCATTTGGAAGGACTTGTGGGACCTGATGAACCGGGAATGGTTCACAAGACTGTGGATCGTCCAGGAAGCGATTCTGTCATACAATCCCTGGATTCTGTGCGGCAAAACCAAGAGGAATTGGGAGGCATTTGCAAACAACTTCAACAGCTTAATCCGCAGTGGCTTGTCTTCGTGGCTCGAAGAGAACTTTGGTGGCAAGTCAGGTGGTCGGACCGTCGGTTGGAAGTCGATGCAGGTGCTGAGCGTCGAGCGAGAGCATTATTACTCGTTCGAAGGTAAGTTGTCACTATTCAGCCTCCTAACTAGCACCCGAAACGCTCGATCTGCGGACCCCAGAGACAAAGTGTACGGCCTATTCGGCATCTGCAAAAAGCCAGGGTATCTCAAAGTCAGCTACGGCGAGAGTGTTACAGCGGCCGATGTCTATTTCGCAGCTACTCTGCACTGCGTAACAACAGACGTACTTTACCTCTTTCCCATGCTTTGCTGCGTCGATCATGAAACTCGCCCAGGCTTGCCGTCGTGGGTCCCGGACTGGAGCTCAAGTCGGCAAACGAGCTCTCTGGGCTTTTCCACCAGCTCTGCCGGCATCTACCACGCGTCAGGAACATGGAAGCCCTGTTTCTCGTACCGCCCCGATGGACGGGAGCTACTTGTGCCTGGGAAGATATTCGATGTCATCAAAGATTTAGGCGAGGTCTGCACCGCGCCTGAAATTGCCATCGAAGGCTCTCTGAGCGCCAACCAATGGCTTACTCCCTGGGTGCACCTGGCAGAGCAGTGTCTTCCATACCCAAGCGGCTGCAAGCTCTTCGAAGCTTTCTGGCATACACTCGTAGCGGGTAAAGACGGAGAAGGTAGGCAGAAAGCTCCGGATTCTTTTGAGGAGATCTTCAGCTTGCTGCTCGACGAATCTACTGGACTGCACCCAACCTTCCCGGACCAAACGTATTCCAAGCGCCAGCTTCGGCCTCCAGGAAAAGGGAAGCTCGAGCTGGCGAACCTGAAGGCGAGGGCTCCGGCCAAGACGTATCAGGAAATCCGCAGCGCTGTGCGCCGTGCTACGAGGAATCGGCGGCTAGGTGTGACGGAAAAGAAGTACCTTTGCTTGCTGCCTCGGCACGCGAAGGTGGGAGACATCATCTGTGTCTTTGTCGGATGCCACGTCCCATTCGTTATACGTGAAGTTGAGGGTGGTAGGTATAACCTCGTGGGAGAGTGCTATGCGCACGGCATCATGGACGGCGAGGTGATGGATATGCAGGATGTACCGCACATCTCCGTTATCCTGTCATAGCAATCACGAAAAGCATGTATGCTATCAGCAGCATATGTCGCGCACCTGAAAGTGATGGTGGCGCCATGCTACTTCGAAGATTGCGAAACCGAGGCCTGCTCTGCCGCTAAGACGCGGCTTACCGTGTTCGTGCCTATCCGCACACTTCCGCGGGATGAAGCCTGACATCATTGGACGGCCGATCGAGGCACCGTTTCTTTCCCAACGCGTCCACCACAGCTCAACAAGCACGGCACGCGATGATTCTGACGGAGGTAGCACCGAGACGCGCTTGATTAAGACCACTTCTTGCCGTTTTTTGCCGTCCCTTAAAGAGGGCTACAGTAGCTGAAAGTGTTTATCTTGCTCGAGTGATGTAACCAGCCTCCTAGTTCCGTAGGTAGAGCCAATAAAAAAGCCGCTTTAGCTTCGCACCTCGCCTATTCCGGGCTAGCGCTGGGTAGTTTGCGGTACATGGCTGTAGCCCTAAGCGCAACGCTTAGTGTTCCGTCCAAGGCTATCTCGTGTTTCTTGACGGTTACTGCAAGGTCTTTATAAGCAAGAATAGACTTTTGACCAAGATGTCCATTCGATCCGTCGACATAACGTTACCTATTCGGGGATCGGTGAAGCGGGATGACGAAGTTGTTGGATATGCATCCTCCTTACGCAATCAGCAAGCGCACTTACTCAGGGTCTGGCTAGACCACATCTCGTCTAGATGGGGAACGAAGCTGTCTTAAGATGCAGCATACCAACCACCTTTGATGTGACAAACACGGGCATAAATACGCAGCCATTCTCTGTGTGTGTCAATTGAACTACAGCCTTGAGCACTGGCACAATGTCTTTGGAACCAATCCCCCAGCCGCCGACGTACCTGTATGGTATGTTGGCGAACCTGCCAGAAATCGATCCATCGTTTCCTCTCAGCTCTTTCTGGAGACTCCACGCTCTCTATGGACCGATATTCCAACTCGACCTGATATCCAGGAAGGTCATTGTGGTTTCCAACTACGAGCTTGCGCACGAGGTCATGGACGATGAGAAATTCGAAAAGGCCATCACGGCGGGCTTGAAGGAGTTGCGTGCTTTAAACAAAGATGCGCTCTTCACCGCATATCCCCATGAACCTGCAAGTTACATATTTCCAAATCCAATGTTGCAGGCTGCTAACGAAATTTTAGAATTGGTGGAAGGCGCACCGGACGCTGATGCCCGTGTTTGGACCGATGGGGGTTCGGAAGATGTTCCCGGAACAGCTTGACATCGCGTCTCAAATGATCCTACGATGGGACAGATTCGGGCCCAGTCACGAGATCGAGACGGCTGATGAATTCACGATACGTGCTGATCATGCTACATGGCGATGATGCATGCTGACGACCGATGCACAGACTGGCCTTCGACACAATCGGACTCTGCGCCTTCAACTACCGGTTCAACGACTTCTACGCCGAGCACATGCATCCATTTGCCAACCAGATGGCCGCGGTCCTGCTCGAGAGCGGCAAGCGGGCCAACCGGACGCAGATGGAGACCAAGCTGCGCCTGTGGTCCAACAAGCAAATGCAAGACAACATCCACGCCATGCACAAGCTCTGCGACGACATCGTCGCGGAGCGCAAAGCCAACCCGGACCCGGGCGTCAACGACCTGCTCAACACGATGCTCAACACGGCCGACCCGGTCACGGGCGAGAAGCTCGACGACGAGAACATCCGCAACCAGATGGTGACGTTTCTGATCGCAGGCCACGAGACGACGAGCGGCACGCTGTCCTACCTCTTCTACAACCTGCTCAAGAACCCGGAAAAGCTCCACAAGGCGCAGCAGGAGGTCGACGCCGTGCTGGGCGACGACGCGATTGCCGTCAAGCACCTCGACAAGCTCAAGTACGTCGACGCCTGCCTCAAGGAGACGCTCCGCCTCAACGGGCCCATCGGCCAGGTCCAGCGCCGCGCCAAGCACGACACGGTGCTCGGCGGACGGTACCAGATCTCGGCCGACCACGCCATCGTCATCAACCTCCGCGGCCTGCACAGCGATCCCGCCGTCTGGGGCGAGGACGCGGCCGAGTTCAAGCCCGAGCGCATGCTGCATATGGACAAGCTGCCGCCGGACGCGTGGAAGCCGTTTGGCATCGGCATGCGGAGCTGCATTGGCAGGGCTTTCGCCGAGCAGGAGATGCTGATCAACGTCGCGCTCATCCTGCAGCGCTTCCAGGTCGAGATGGCGGACCCCAGCTACGTCCTCGGTGCGTTTCCCAGCCTGTACCCATCACACAGCATGTACTGACAACCGCTTCACAGTCAACAAAAGCACCCTCACCATCAAACCCGACAAATTCTTCATCAAAGTCCGCCGCCGCCCATCCAAGGGCCCGATGGTCGGCCTATCCGCCATGGGCGGCGCGACGCAGAAAACCCGCCAAGACTCCGTCCACGGCGTCCACCCCTCCTCGCAGCCTATGCAGAAGATGACGATCCTATACGGCTCCAACGCCGGCACGTGCAAGGCCTTCGCCGAGGACCTCCAGACGCACGCGCCGGGCTTCGGCTTCGACGCCGACGTCATGACGCTCGACCAAGGCACCGAGAACATCGCCAAGGACCAGCCGGTCGTGATGATTACCTCGAGCTACGAGGGCAAGCCGCCGGATAACGCGGCGAAGTTTGTGGCGTGGCTGCAGAGCGGGGACGCGCCGTCGTTCGAGGGGGTGCGGTACGCGGTGTTTGGCGTGGGGAATAGCGAGTGGGTCTCGACGTACCAGCGCATCCCGAAGCTGGTGGAAGGGCAGATGAAGAAGGGGGGCGGGAAGGCGATGGTCGAGCCGTGCTGGGCGGACGTGAAGCAGGACTGCATGAACGACTGGGAGAACTGGACGGAGAAGTTGTGGAAGGGTCTGCAGGCTGAGAGCGGGGGCGGAAAAGTGCAGACGCAGACGGCGGCGCTGAGGGCGGAGGTGATTAAGCATGACATCCCCACGATTTTGGGCGGGAAGGAGATGTCTTGGGGAGTGGTCAAGAGCGCGCGGTCGCTGGGGGGCAAGGAGGTTGGGCTCGAGAAGCGGGAGGTCGAGATCGAGCTGCCGCACGACACGCACTACTCCGCTGGTGAGTCGGCCTCTTTTTGTCCGGGCTTGATGGGTGTTGCTGACGGCCTGCAGGTGATTACTTCGTCGTTCTGCCGCTGAACCCGCGGGAGACGGTCGCGCGGGTGCTGCACCGCTTCGGCCTGCACCCCGACGACATGATATCCATCTCCGACACGCGCAAGACCTTCCTCGTACGTCCCGCCCCTTCCCCCTCCACTCCCCCCCGACCACCCCCACTGACCCTCCCCCCCAACAGCAATCCAAAGACCCCATCGGCGCCCAAATGTTCTTCTCCCACCGCGTCGAGCTCAACGCGCCCCCGACCCAACGCCAACTCGCCACCATCCTCGCCAGCACCACCTCCCCCTCGGAGCGCAAATCCCTCCAATCCCTCTCCTCCCCCGCCCACTACCGCGCCTCCGTCGTCGCCAAAAACTACTCCACCCTCTCAATCCTCGAAGACCACCCCTCCGCACACCTGCCGCTGGCCGCCTACATCGACACGCTCAAACCCCTCGCCCCGCGGCAGTACAGCATCGCCTCCTCCCCGCTGGCCGCGCACCGCTTCGACGCGGAGAAGAACACGTATTCGCTCTCGCTCATCTACGACGTGCACGTCGCGCCGGCGTGGGATGGGGGCGACAGGACGTTTCGCGGCGTCGCGTCGAGTTATCTCGCGGGGTTGGCGCCGGGGGATCGGATTCACGGGTTTGTGCGGAAGACGAATAACGCTGCGTTTAGGCTGCCGGGCGATGGGAAGCCGGTTATTATGGTTGCGGCGGGGTCCGGGATCGCGCCGATGCGCGGGTTCGTGGAGGAGAGGATTGCGTTGGCGAGGGCGGCGGAGGAGGGTGGAGGCGGCGGCGGCGGTGCCGAGGGGAAGGGGACGGGCCAGAATATGAAGAAGAAGTTGCCGCCCGCGCTGCTGTACTTCGGGTGCCGCGACTTCGAGAAGGATTTTATTTGCAAGGACGAGCTGCTGGCGGCGGAGAAGGCGGGGGTGGTGGGGATGCGGTCGACGTTTTCGAAGCGCGGGCCGGAGGCAGAGGGGAAGGGGGGTGGAGGGGTCAAGTATGCGTACGAAAGGATGTGGAAGGAGAGGGAGGAGTGTTTGGAGTTGTTCAGGGATGGCGCGAAGATTTTGTTGTGCGGGAGTGCGGGGAAGTTGGCGAGGTCGACGGCGGAGACGTTGAAGAAGGTTTGGTTGGAGAGGAATGAGGGGAAGACCGAGGAGGAGGCCGAGGAGTGGTTGGAGCGGCAGAAGGAGGATCGGTATGTTACGGATGTTTTTGATTAGTGGCCGGGCTGCGGTGTAAGTCCATCTTACTAGTAACACGGTAATCTCGTACAATCAACGTGTAATTGTTTCCAGTGATGATCTGTTGACAGCTTTATAAAAGTGACCCGTAAAGACACACTCTGCAATTTGCAGGTTTGAGACCATTGAAACAATCAAGACAGAGATGTACTTCCGATGCTTTCCAAAACTTGATCTCCTCTTCTAATTTCGTGCGCAGGTTTGTTCCGCTCACTTGGGGACATGAACAACTTGGTTTAGTGCAAGGATTGACGTATATCGGAGGTAGCCTCAAAGCGCTGGCAGCTATCGTGCGAAAGCTTTGTCGATGAAATCCCCCTTCGTAGGGAGATAGTCTGAATTTCTTCAGACATCGTTGATACTCGATCACGCCACTTTGAGCATTTCCGCAAGTTGAGGTCACCAGTTCAGCGATCGGCTTCATGACTGCTCGCTGTAGTGTCAGGGTCATCTTGAGCTTTGCTATGTTAAGCGCTCCTAAAACCTCTTAGTTATTTTCACTAAAACATGATACAGAATGTCTTACCGGGAAGGTCGTGACGCATTAGTGGGTGGTCTGCCACGCCCGGCAGTTTGTCAAAGAACCATTTTTCGCGATCAAGAAGCTCTGCTGCCAAGGTTGAAAAATCTCTCGGGAGATCAAGGATGTAGGCAAATAGTAGCAGTCGCCCAACATCCTCTGAAGAAAGCTCTTCAATCTGTCTAGGCTGCATTTGCAGCCAAAAGGTCCCATAAACTTCCATCGGTCCAGTGCATTGATACTTATCGCAGATGACGGCGAGTTTCTCCAGGCAGAGAGGACTAGGTCTCTCGGAAAACCCATTGAGTGTATGATGGATGGCTTTGCAAAAGATCGTTAAAGCTTCCATGTCGTCTTCGTGCAGCGGTATCGTCAATGGATCTCCCTTTCCCATCTGGAATGCAATCCCCTCCTGGAAGTTTGGCTTGAGCATTGCTTCGAACACCGGTGATACCAGAGCAAGAACTCTTGAGGATACCAAAAGGCTCTCATTCTCAACTTGCAATTTTAAGTCGCCGTGTGGATCGATGATCATTGTTTCCATGGCTGGTATTGACCGTGAGGCCCGTTGAGCGAAAGGAATTGAAGTTGAATTGTGTCGTGCTATTGATCCCATCTGCAGTAACCCCATTTTAAATACGCCATCCCGATGCCCGAACAGGGATTGTTGGCAAATGATGTGGAATTTGGGGTCAGGACACATATCCCTTCTGCCATGCGACGCCCTTGCCACCTTCCTTCGCAACGCCTTTTAATTTGGTTCAACGCTTCCTGTGTAGGAAAGCATGCCACGTGTTATACCTTGTTAGCAGCGAGCCATAAGTTGTGCTGATATGCTCGACCAAGGGATAAGGTTCAATGGTAGCTCAGGGATGTAGGAGTGGAGGTGGCAGTGTGGCAGAGCAGTGGAATGGAGATGATCTGGCCTTTTTGTTTGGCGCCCCTGCGTTGATACATTCCTAAGTTCAACTCGAAAATCACCCACGAAACACGAAACTGGCTTCATTCCCCTGCTCTCACCGCACTAGCTTTGAAGCACCGTCTGCCCAGCAAGGAGAGTGGAAAGCTCTTCCTGAATGACCCTCCTGGCTTCCCGCGTCTCAGGCCGCTCGCCCGCAATGCTCCGGAGATCTTCGTCGGCCAACATGCTGATGTACTCCGGAGAAAGGACCCAAAGCGGGCTTGATGGAGAGCTCACGAGATGGTGGTCAACTGCTTGAATGCAGATGGCGTCCGTGAACCTTTTGAGCGCAACCTTGTAGTAGGAACTCAACATATCGTGCATGTCTTGCACAGTCTGGTCCTCGTTGCTGACAAATGCATCAAGGGTATCTCGAAGCCTCAAAAGGGGTTCCTTGTCATCGTCATTGGTGACCCAACTCTTGAGGCTCTTGAGCTTGTTCTCGATTCTGTCTAGTCGCCGCTTCCTGAGGTTGTCGGCAAAGTAGTGGTTCAACGTGATCAGCTTCCCAGTGCTTTCTACGGACACCAGGAATTCGACATGCCTGATACAGGACTGGTAGCTCTGTATGAGCATTGGAGTGAGTCGTTGCCATAAGTTCTGAACCACCTGTGGATCGGCGCAAACATGCGATAGTACACGCTGAGCGAATGCATGCAGTTCTGTAATCGCATCCACGACATGTGAGAGAGCAATATCTTCCCAGGGGGATGACAGCTCGCAGAAAAGACTTGGGAGCAGAGAAGGATTCACAGACCCAATCTCGAACCCTCTATACAGGTTGTATTCTTCGGCAATCCAGGAAAGAGTGTCTCGGCTTTTGAATCCATCATGAAGATCAGCAGCCAGTGGGGGTCTAATTATGGAACTCAACTCCGGGAACTGAATGGCCGCGGTGGCTTGCGGAAGGGATGTCAGCGCCTCGTCTGGTGTTCGGATGTCTGAGGAAGATTCAGGACTTGGCGTTGACGGTCTGGCGACTCCCGCGTCCAGAAAGCTGCTGGCGCCTTGGGTGCGCATCTTCTCTGAAAAAGCTTCGTTCAATTCGGCAATTGTGGTGGCTAGTCGGAACTTTGGGTCTTTGAAGCATCGGTCCCGAGAATAGTATCCATCCACTGATTTCGTAGCGACCGCCTGGAATGCGGACGCAATTTTCGTCAGATACGTTCTCTGTTGCTCGGCTGTCTGACGTGTCGAGCCAATATCCTCCAGCCGGCTCTGACAGCTTTGTATCCCTTTCTGTATGTCGGCTGCAACCGCTTTGAAATTTTGTCTGGTCACGGTAACCAACAACTTGTCCAGCCTCTTCTTCAATGCACGCACACCAGCTTTTTCTTTTGGGATGGAATTCCAGGGCTCCAATTCAAAGAAGGCTACCTCGTGTGCGTTTCGTGCGTCGAGAGGCAGATCTAGATTGCTTTGGTTGCGGTTGCATACGATTGTATATCCGAGCTTCATGCGACCATTGCTACCATTGACCAGATCGACAATCTAGTAAGTATAAGCTTTGTATGGCGTTGTAGGACTTGGCCTCCTACCTTGCTCTCTGCTCCCTTGTCCACCAAATCTGGCTTCGTGATGACACCAAGAGTGCGGACTCCATGAGGATCAACATCCTCAGCCATCTGGATTATTTCTTGTGTGGCGATATCGACGTTCGCGGGGATAACGGCGCTTCGAGTAGTCAGCCAGCAATTAAGATAGAAGTGGATGAAACGGACAGCATAATACTACGAGGGTTTTCAATATAGGTGCTGATCATCTTACGCACCAAGCCAATGTCTTCTTTGGTTGTCTGCCCCGGAGTTGGTTCTGGCGGTATCAGTAAAGATTACAAACGCGATATTCCGTCTTTACTCGAGAATAGTGTTACAGTCTGGGACTTACTGCGGAAAATCCCGGGAAGGTCAACAACGCTGAAATGCTCATGGTCAGGTCCGCTGAGCTCAATTTTGAGCACATCCTCGGAGAAGGATGACCCTGGAGTGTCTAGAGCTTTAATTCCCATTGACTGTCGCGCCTGCCCAGTATTAGACTTGCATGGTGTATGGTGTTGAGCATCTCACCTTCTCCAGGATGCGAAGAAATTCCTTTTCATCGAAATCATCGAGGCTACCGCTCGTCAAAAGACTCAATGGATCTGTGACCTGTCCGTCCGGTGTTATTCGAATTATGCCGATATCGACACTTTTGTCTTTTGATCGTTTGAAAACTATCTGCGTCGGGAATCTTGTGCAAAGGCCTGAATCGCGAGGGAATGGAATGCCTGTGAGGCCCTCGAGAACCGAGCTTTTCCCGCTTGATTGATCTCCTACCACTACAAGCTTTTGAAAGACTTAGCCACAATTCACAACATTTTAGGCATTCCCACTTGCCTGCGGGAGGGACACGAAGCGGTCCAACCGGAGAGCGTAAAGCTCGTCAATTTTGATGAGTCTTGAAGTGTCTTCGGCCAGCATTTTCCTTGGAATCAAAGGACTGATATTATCTTCCACTTCAATTGATTTTAACAGGATATACGCCATTTATGATGTGGCGCTTGCTTATGGACTAGATTTTGCATTCTTCGGTAAATTTGAATGCATTCATATCAGTCCCGCGGAATTCACACGTGCCACCTGGGCGGAATGTATGTACATAGTACCTCAATTTTTTCCCGCATGTCAATCAAACGGTGCCGAGCTGACAACATATTTTGACACTACTCGCAGACAGAGCCTTCATGCAAGCCCATGTTTTCCAATGTCTCTCCCAACGGCAGCCAAGGGGCCGCCTATGATACTTGAAGACCGCCTGGCGTTGCGCTCTGTGAAAGTCTTTTTCCTCTTCCCACAGACCAGAGCAGAGATTGCAATACTTACTAGTGAGATTGATACAGAAGCGGTCAGTATAATTGGGTGCTTGGTCCTTATCGTCGCTCATGTGTTCTAATTTGGTTTCTTTTTTACGGCTGATCTAGAAACTTCAAAACTTTTTGGAAAAGCAAACTTCAGCGGTTAAGGCTTCAATTTTGCTTGAGCAGAATTCCCCAGCACAATGGCACCTCAAACGGCCTGATGGATCGCAAATCCCATTTTCACATTGGAATGCGGAAGCGAAGGCTTCGAAATGCTTTTCCGCCATCCTCGTTCCCGAACCCGAGCCGCTACCTGATTTGATCGGACCGAACGACTTTATCGAGTTCCCTGTGTCGCATACTCACCTTGAGTTGCGTTGGTACGAAAGGGAGGGGTCAAAAAAGAAATCTAAATATACCGTTCTGAGGACAAGATCCGTCCTAGCACCCAAAGAATGTACCATTTCCGACCTGGTAGACTTCTTAGGATTTCCTTCAAAAGTTTCTCGTCTCAAAGTCTTTTTCTGGAGCTCTGAAGGGTTTTACACAACACAAATATATCCTTCACACGATGGTAGAAAGATTTCTGAGCTTTTCTGCTGCCAAGGATTGCAGATTGCGCTGGATGTTGGCGGATCAGGGAAGTTCCCTGAATTTGAGGAGCCGTAAATTCTCTTTCCATCCTAGGCTACAAAATTCATTCGCTTGGTACAACGTATTTCACGAAGACTTTGATGTAATGATACACTCCGTTACCTGCAGTATACTTGAGTCGTCTTGAATGAGTTTTAATCTTGCCATGGCGGCTTAAGAATGTTGCGGGAGGAATAGACGGAAATTTTCCGACCATAAACCATATACTAAACACTGCTTCTAAGCCCGCGTTCAACCTCTCTTGGATTAATTCAATGCCTTATACCTAAGCAAGCGTCCTTGATTTATTCTGTCGAGTCTTATCAACCAACTGCACAGCTAATTGGTAACAGATACGGCGCGCCAGTTCCATTTCACTTACATGTATTCCCGATACGGCAGCCATGCCAGCGATGATAAGTCGTCCGGGAGATTGCAGTATGAAATCAATATTACTAGCGGAATGATACATAAACCACAGTTTCGAACAACAAAATAAAATTAAAAACCCGCCAAGAACCTCAATACGTTTATCTAACAGGTTTAAATATAGGGAGGGGCTCAAGGATGGTTTCGGCCTTCCAATTGTCCTATGACCCTATGACATGCACGGAAAAGCGAATTGCAGCATCGCTATCTCCGCGTGTAGCTCAGAGTAGACTACGTTCAGTTGACAATGAACTTGGACTGACTCCATACGGTGCATAATAAATAGATACGTGGAACCAGATTTCCAGCAAAAAAAAAATCAAATTGCACCAACGCCCAACGAACTCGAAACTATGAAACAGAGAAAAACGGTATAACATCATAAAAAGATGAAAAAAACCAATACAGTAGTTGAAGTGGGCGCCCCTCGAGAGTCCCAATGAAGAGTAACGCAAAGATCGCTCCGGGCAAACATAGCTTAAGGATGCCCAAGATCTCATAAACGCTCGCATAACTGATATTGCCCAAGTAGTTGAAGGCTCCACTTAACAAAGTAGCAATAGTAGGCAATTCTTTGGCTGATGAGCCTGGTATGTCCTTGGCGCCACTCCAGCGTGCAACGGAGCCCCCGATGGGCATCGACAGTAGAAACTACGCTGTGCGTAAGTATATATTTAAACTTAAAATTATTGACGCGATATTTCATCCACTAACATACCAAGCTTAGGGCAACACCCATAACCGTATAAAGAAGAGTAATCATGAGGCCCTGCTTCATGGATAGTTGGTCTCTGACCCGTTCTCTGAGTTCTTGAAATTCAACCTCCATTTGCTCAAGTGAGGTTCGAAAATGCTTCATGTCCTGCAACATGGAACGGAGTTCGCTGACAGCTTCCTGATCAATTTCAGAGACTGTAAGGCCTGGAGTTGTGTCTATTTGGTCAACCAGATGAGAGATGGTCTGATCGTTTGCAGCACAGCACATGTTTCCTGTGTGTAGCTTGATCTTTACATTAGACAATTCCGCGAGTTGGCATCGCATGGAAATCCTGGAACATTCGAGGTTTGACTAATATTCTTAGCAGAAGCAGAAGTGGTACGAGTTTAGAAGTGCGTACAAAAGACTCGAACTGGTTCTGGAGATATTCCAATAAAAACCGACGTTGCTGCTTCATGTTTGAGACAATAGTGATCAGCTGTCTGAGTAGCTGGCTTGACCATGGGGCATCGCTGTTTCCGTAGTCAAAATTTCTCCCTAACATCCCATCCTTCGGATCATCAATGTACTCGTGTAGCGGGCATAAGATGCTTTGCGACAGGAGGAGAACCTTCTTGACTCCTATGCATTCAGCTTCCTGGAAGAATATGAGGTCCAGAGCACCCATTTCTGGCTCGGTCGCCGTGAAACTGTCAATGTAGAAGATTCGAAAGATGTTCCTTTTCCCAAACAGGCCCTGGCGTTCCGATTGCTGTCCATCTTGCTGCGTTGTTGGAAAGTCCCACTTTGCCGAGGATAGTCGCAGACTGCGACGCAAATAAGTCGTGCTGGCGAGTTCTGGTGGGCGGAGATATTTCCAGTCTCGAGGTACAGGAGGATTCTTCCAAATCTCTGTGTAAAGAACTTTGCAATCTGAGATCGTTAGGCCCCATTCCTTCCGCAGGAGTATCATCAATATCCACTTGTGCATATTGCAATGGATTCTGTCTTTGGAATGTACTGGTCTCGGACGACACCCGAAGAGTCTTGAGTTTTTTGCTCTGAGTCTATCATTTTCACGCCTCGTAAGATCGTCCGGAACAGCGAGCTTGATGATCTGGAGACCTGATGAGCGGTTACTGTGCAAGTAGGCTATCATATCCTGAATAGCGGTTGACCAATTCGGTTCTCCGCCTGGCCCGAATATCGGATTCTGCTCTCCGCAGGCGCAAATGATCCTGAAAATGTTGTACGAGCGTTCATTTGCTATGCAGCGATAAAACTCTTGCACCTTCATCAAATCAGTGCGGTCAAACAGGTTCTCTCCGTAGAGATCATCTATGAGCCTGTCCATGTCATCGGGCCAAGAAGTTCCCTATTTATAGAATTAGCAGAGTGCTCAATAGGTTATGTGATTACATACTCTGGATGAAGATTGTTGGAATGGCGAACTCATGCTGACCGTCTGGGATGCTCGAACAGGAGGCTACTGTAGAATTTATGGTGTGAATCAAATTTCTCCCGCAGGAGGAGGCTATTGAAGTGAAAGTGGCTGGGCATTTGAAGGATTGGGAGGGGGCGATTTTCTGATGAAAATTTCCACGTCACGCAGCAAAATTTCCACGTCACGCAGCGAGAGGCTAACGCCATTTGGAATACTGTGCATTCTACGCCGCAGCGGGGTATCGGCCCACTCTCCCATCATTGGAATTACACATGTCCGCCAGCGGTTGGATAGTAATCTCAAGTCATTTTCACTCTCGTTGTACCCAATAATTTCACCACTTTATCCTGCTGAAAAATCCCCCGTCTCGGCACATGATTGTGCCCCTAATCGCTAATCCATGTCTCCGATCAGCTAATCCCTGAATTGCTCGCAAATGAAAATATGGAACTACGCATCACGCATCGATGCAAGGATTCCAAAGCCAACGCGTTCTATTTCCATCGAAACAAATAATGTGATGATCGTATCTAGTTACACGGCAGTCGTACATAAGTTCACTCTCCAATCATTGCCATCCGATGTGCCGTTCTGAGTTCAGTCTGAGAGGGCATTGCATGACCCGGTGCGGGCCCGGCTTTGAAGGGCTCGTGGTGGGTGCTGATCTGAGGGAGCCCCCCGTTTCCCGAAGATCTCCAGAATGTCCGATTCCCATTCTTCAGTACTCATAGCGGGGGCTGCGCCGTAACATTCAAAGAACTATAGGGATTGAATGACTCTTTGCATTCACAATGAAAAATTGTTCCGGTTTCATGTGGTTGTGAGACGTCCCCGGAGCGAGCCTTGCTGTCGGATACCGAGTAAAAAACGTAGCGGTCGCATACCTTAGCTCAATCCAAGCAATATGCATTCCAAGGCAGATTCTGGTACCGGCGCCGAAAGGGTTGAAAGTCATTTTGGCTTCTTCAGATAGGTCTGAGCCCGGCAACCAGCGGCGAACGTCGAACCTACACGAGAAGTGTTAAGTCACGCGCGGAGTACGATAGAATCCGTAGAACATACTCATCATCGCTTTCCCAAATTCGAGGGTGGGGATGCAGCGACCATGCCTGAGTGGTTATAACAGCGGAATCAGGAATGTACACCCCACCGACAGTCGCGCCACCAGGTGGTGGCACTCGTGGAAGGCTGCTTGGGAGAGAACCGTGAAGCCGTAGTGTTTCTTGGATAGTCGTGTTTAAAAGCGGTAATTTTTCAAGCTCTTCATCGGAGAATCCGTCTTTACGTTCTTTCTGCTGGGTCAATTCGGCGATGAGATCATCGCGCAGCTGCGGTTGCGACAGGACGCGGCAGACAATGAATGGCATCGTGATGGCCGTAGTGTCGGTACCCGCGATAATAAGGCTACGCGCCTCGCGACCCAAAACAAGGTTTGACAGACGACTGTTGCTCTTCTCGGCCTCGGCAATAATACCTGTAAAGATATTACCGGCACCGGCGGTGCCGCTTTTGCTCTTGGCGACGTTCAAGGCGGCGAGTTCCAGAACCGTATCCGTAATCTTGAAAAGTCTCTGTATGAAGGGAATGCGAAGCCGGGCCACAAAATCGAGGTTGGGGACTTCGGCGAGGATGGTATTGGCTTCGGCCGTGTGGGATATCGCGTCGATGTATTTGTTCTCCTGAGGAACATCGGGGACTCCCTCCTGAAGCATGTCGAAGCTCTCGCCAAAAGTGATCTTCGAACTGACATCCGCCGCCATCATCATCCACCATTTTTGACAGTCAACTTCTCCAGTAGGGTGCATGTGTGCGGCCTTCCCCATTTTGTCCAACGCTAGGTCAATTTTGTGCCTGATCTCATCTTCCCAGTTTTTCCTGATTTCGGTTTTGCTAAACGCTCTGGCCATCAGTTTGCGCCGGGCAGCATGGGTTGTTGGGCTTGACATGTTGAACAACGCGTGATTCTCATCGACACCGGTAGTGTTGGCGAATCGCTAGTACCATTAAGACTTCTCGAAGCCGTTGCTGTGGCGGTGTATCTTCCGGAACGCAGTCGGATCATTACAGTTGATCATGTTTGGTGCGACACGAACCATGTCGCCGTATTTCTGGTGTAGTGTATGGACGAAGAACATGCGTCTGCCTTTGACGGTGACCCACGTGAGGGGAATAGCCGTGAAGCGTGTATACCAGGGACCAGGCACATTTCGAAATGGCCCGGCAAAGCCTTGGATGACTGCCTATATTGTAATTAGCCTCCAGCTTATGTGATTTGAAATGATTAATAGAACCGCCACTGTTGAGTGAGCTCTAGCAAGTGAGCTCGAATTACCTTCAGTATCCATGCCCCGAAGGCGAAAAGTAGAACAAGCCCCCCCAGATTAGCCATTTTGTTTACAAAGTTAAGGGTATCAACCTGCTAAATGTAAAGGTTTTAATTGGAATAATGTCTCATCTTTCGAATAAGAATTCCGTGCTTTATATATCTTCAAGGCATGCTCATGTACAGCCAAAAGACTGCGCGGACGGAAAACGCATGTTCCGGCATCCGCTCTCCCGCTCTCTCTTGGTGTTGGGAAACGAAGGTCGGCCTTCGGACAAGTCGAATAAGCACCGAAAGTCAGTCATCTGAGACAACGTTAACTCGGATAATGTGGAGAACTACACTAGTTAGAAGTACATTATTTCCAGCGTATCCTATTGCAGTGTAATATATTGTGAACCTTAAGGCATACAAGGCGATCAGTCTCCTTCTGAACTTGAGATACCCACGCGGCTAGTAAGCCGCTACACAGAAATTGTACTCTATAGCAACAAGCATGCCTGGGACGCCTAAGGTACAATCATGGCCATCAAGTGCTCATAGATGTTGCAGCGAATAAAATGGTACTCATTTGGAGCCTCTACCTCCGGTGTGATATTATCCACGTATAGCAACCACCTTGAAATGTAGCAGCGCAGCGATAAGAGCAAGTTTGCCAAGGGAGGCGAACACCGAGCGCTCACCAACGACCAGTTCGCCTAGCAACCGGTGTGCAAAGAAAGTGTTTCATCTACGCTCCAGCATACATATTTAATTTCACAAGTTCCGGAAAGCCCCGGGCACGATAGAGGCGGGCATCCACCAATGGGTTGGCTAAATTCACCGTCAGCGGGAGAACACGGATCTGAAGGCGGACCCGCTGCTACTTGTCTTGGACCACAATTTGTACATGGACATCCCATTTGGAGAAGGCTTTATTCCGGCTCTTCCTCCTATCGCTCGGGAAATCCATGTCGAAGAAACACACCGTTGGCTAGCTGAACACTTAGAACCCTGGGAATATACGTTCGGTAACGATTTAGGACTTGCAAAACCAACCATTCTATTCTACAAAGTAACAAAAGGGACATATTCACTTGCACCGCACTTGTACAAACGTTCCCTCCTGAACTATCTTGTCCGTTAGATCCAGCCATCAAGCTCTCACCGCATGCTCTTCCTTCCACTTCCTCCCCTGCTCAGTGTAGAACCGCACACGCTCACTCCCCCCCTCCCACCCCTCAATAATCTCCGCATTAGCAAACGTATGCATCATCTTCCCCACCCACACCTCCTCATCCTCGACCTCCTCCCTCAACTCGGCAATATACCTCTCCGCCTCCTCCCCAATCCTCAGCTGCGCCCGACACGCCAGATTCGCCACCTTCACCACCATCTTCAGCCTTCCCTCCCGCCTCCGCCCATACTCCACCAACCATTCCTCCACCGCTGCTCCTTCAAACCGCCCTTGCCGCTCACCCCGTATCCTCAGCAGCCCGCTCGCCAAACACGCCACCGACTCCATCGCCTGATTCGCCCCCATCGCCGCATGCGGCACCATCTTCGCCGCCGCATCGCCGACGATCGCCATGCGCCCTGCCGCCCACCGCCCCGCGATGCCTTCTTCCAGCGGCGTCATGACGGCCGTGCGGCGGCGATTATAAATATCCTTAAACATCACCACCCCGTTCTCCCCGCCCTCCCCGCCCGTCGTTGTTGTCGTGACGCACGCATCAGCCACCGCGGCCGCAGCGGCATCGATGTCAGCGGCGGTGAAGCGGCGCGGGCTGTGGCCGTAGGGGAGGGGCGCCGGGAGTTCGCGGATGATGAACCAGTACAGCGCGCCGCCGGCGCCGGTGAAGATGAGGAAGGAGGAGTGGGGGCGGTAGATGGTGTAGTTGCGGCCGGTGGGGAGGGAGGGGTGCGGCGTGGAGATGCCGTAGACGCAGGTGACGTGGGTGGTGAGGTCTGCGGTGCGTGTTAGTGGAAGGGTGCCAGTGGAAACGGTGGGAGAAGGGGTTGAGGGATGTGAACGCGTGGAGGGGAATTTCCAGGGTGGGGGATGGCCTACAGTCTGTGGGCGGCTTGAGGGAGGGCGTCAAGGCGTTGATTGCCCGCCGGACGACGCTGTGCACGCCGTCGGCGCCGACGATGATGGAGGCCTGGAGCTGAGATCCGTCTGCTGCCGTGACGGTGGCGTGTGTGGGGAAGTTCTTGACTGAGATGACGCGCTTCCCGGTGCTTATGTGGGATTTGTCTTGGATATTGTCGTACAGGATCTCGAGTACCCGCTGCCTTTCCATGAAGATTTCGCTGTAGCCAAGGCTGTGCTCGTGATTCTATTAGCGATTTGCCTTATATGGTGGTTATTGGACGTACATTTCCGGGAATTTCCGCATAGCGGTAACTGAGCTATACAAAGTGCCGTCGGCATCGCGATGCTCCCAGCTGTCGTGGGGAATTCGATATTCTTCTATGGCATCAATGACACCTATTTGGTCAAGTATCCGTAGACCGTTCGGCATCAAACCGATGCTTGCGCCAACCGGAGGAGCAATCCGATCCTGTGATTCCCAGAGGACGTATGAAATGCCTGATTGCTCACAAATGTTGGCTAACGTCAGACCGGCAACGCCACCGCCGATTATGGCAACAGAAACTTGAGTCTCAGAAGACATGGTAGAATAATTCCAATTCAAGGCGAGAATGCTTGTTTGACGTATTCCGAGAAAAGATTGGAAAGCGTTTGATGGGATGCAAAACTGGAACATGCAGCTCATGAAGACGAATATATATAGATTAGGACGCTCACAGCCACTGCGTCCTTGTAGCAGATATTGTCATGATGTTTCAATACTACAATTGTCACCGGTCCAATAGGCCTCCGCCAAATTGAGATAGTTGCCGATTGATTCACCACCTGCTTCCTGTTCCACGTTCGGGCCAATGACGGTCAAATGGATGTTCTCCACCCGTCGGCATCTCGGGGACCGACGAACTCCGTCCCCGACAACCTTTTCTCATTGGCTGGTCTGTGTTGGACGGAGATCCTCCGTCCCGCCTCCGCAGGGATCCCGCGTTCCGTGAGGCTTATGTCGGTATTGCCCCATACTTTCACAAAGAGACTCGCCAAGAGATACAAGCAACACAAGCTTCAGCTCCGCCATAAGTCCCGGCACGCACTTTGCTTGATAACAGGTTAAAATGCCGTTGGATTGTGGCTCCGGCCTGAGCTGAATGTTTTTCGGCCTTCGAACTTGCACCGCCCCGAGCAAAGTCGCCAAGACCGACGAGATCGACAAGGCGACAAAATGACCCACAAATATTGAACATCCCAACTCCTTCGAGCCAATTCTCATGACATTACTGGTCGGCCGAGAGACCTGCGTGTCCATCGCCGAACTTGGCTTACAGAGCATCTCGCAGTCGGCCTATTTCTTCTTCCGCCCGCCAGTGCCGCTTCTGATAGAAACCCCTATAATCGCGCACAGGCCACTTTATGATGTCTCGTGCAATAAGTGACAGTTTCCAAGGTCTCTATCAGCTACGTCTTCTCTACTGAAGCAGAAGTGCAAATCTCATAGTGAGGATGCGCATATATAACTCGGAGAGAGTTATCATTAAATTCATGTCTATAACAATGCCACATTCTAGGACTCGTACTATGGACATGCCCCTCTCTACTTCCCGGTGGGTCTTTCTAACGATCGTGAAGATAAAGAGACCATCAATCCCGAAATCAAAAGCCCACGACTTCGTTTTCCACCACTCCATTACCAGCCATCACCGTTGTTCCTCAGTCCGTAGTCTCAAAAGCAGTCGTATCCACGCCCATGGTAATATATCCAATCAGACCGTTCTCAGGATTCTCGCCATCAGCAGGCACGACGCTAACAACCGGGTTATACCCGCCCTCGTAGCCCTGAGCGATGATAGAGTCAACATCGTTGGTCGTCCTCTCGATCTCCGTGTGCGTGCTGTACGGCTCAAGCGCCATGATCTTCTCGTTGGTGTCCTCGGGGAAGTACAGCTGGCCGGTGCTGACAATGTTGCCCGACGACACGGTGCCGTTGGCGTGCAGCACCCAGTCCGTGTAGACCTGCGTGTGGATGTGCACCGCGCGCTCGACGTAGAAGCCCGGGAAGATGGTCTTCATCTCGAGCATGCCGTTCGCGTCCGTCGGCCACATGCCGCGCAGGAACGTCGTGTTGTCCGTGTGCAGATCCGTCTCGCCGATCGTGAAGTTGTTGACGCCGAGCTGCTCGAGGAGCTGCTTGAAGGGCGTGTTGGGCGAGAGCCCCGTGAAGCTGGAGTAGCTGCCTGTAGCGGTGGCGGTTGCTCGCGGTTAGTCCCGGTATCTAAAGGGGATATGAGGGGGGAAGGATCAGCGGGGTTGCGATTACCGGTAGCGTTGCAGTGCCAGAAGCTGACCAGGGCGTTCTCCAACGGCTCGCAGGTGGCCATGTCGAGAACACCGACGTCAAGCCAAAGAGGGACGCCGGCTTGGCCCTCAGACATGTCCTGACGCAGGGTCTGGGAACGAGGCCAGACGTACGGACCCTGGGTCACCTCGGGGTCCAACACGCAGGTGTCGTTCTGGATGACGTCGTAGTAGGGAGCTTCGGTTGTGATTTGGTACGTAGTGTTGCCGGAACGTTGTTCTAGGTTCAACGAGCGCTTCTGCATCCTTTTGGCATATCTCTTCTCGTTATACTGAGCTACCTGCGGAGCGCAGTTCTGAGATAGGGCAGCGCGGCGCTGCACCACAGCACGAGGGACATGGTGCCCGCCAGGATGAGCCAATGCGGCGCTGGAAAGAATTCCAGTGGCAACGAGAGCGGACGAAATCTTCATCGTGGAAAGAGAGAAAGAAGTCAGGTATGCAACGATTGACAGAGAACGAATGGCTGCAGAAAGATGCTCTCTCTCTCCTTATTCTTTCACCCTTTTATATCAGATTCTCATCATCAGGCACTCGGCCAATTAGGCACCTTCTGTTTCAAGGCGCATTGTATGACAACTGCCTGTTCCTGTTAGGTGCCTCACGCATCGAAGAAACGCTGGCAGCCAAGAGCTTGGCAGTAGATACGGGACGAACTGCCGGATACAAAGTGGACTGTAGATCCACAGGTAGGCCTAATTGTCTTGAAGATAATTGGTTCATCGAGGTGTTTGTATTAGGCCCCCGGTTATATGCTGACGTATACTGGTGCGTCTGTGCGCGAGAATTGACTCGGTGATACGTCGCTATACATTGCCCTTCTTAGTTTCCAGAACAATGTTTTAGCCGAATCGAGCCTCAATTCTCGGAGCTCGGCATATCGGACGTTGTATCCTTCTGTTACTTGCCTGTAGCAGCATAGCGTATAGCACACCACCTGGGCCTTGCAACTTTCGTGTTCCGCCAATCTGGATTGCGACCCACTATACGGATGAAAAAGAAACATAATGTTTCACGCATCTCTTATTCCTTTTTCCGTGCTCCACTTGTTTGTTCTACACGGTTCCTGATCGCACACTCGTATAAACAGACTAAAATCTTGGCGCTGCGTAATGTGCTTCCCTCCGGAATGCTTTCCGGGGGTATCCGCCCCCCCTTCCTACGGGCCTGATCTCCAGAACTCCAATGCGTTAGAGCATTTCGCTGTCGCGGGCACGGGTGTTTTGCCAACGCAGTGCTTATACGCTAAGAAAGGGGTGAAGGAGAGTGGCAGGCACCGCTGGCGGGAGGATGTGGTTGCTGCTGGCAGAAATGGTATGACAACGCTTCAGCGCGTAGTTTTAGCATATATTCAGCTAAAAACTGCGCCACTTAAAGAACGGGGTTGCTGTATAAGGTCGAATTGGAGAAGTTGTAGCGACCACTATGCATCGACTTGGTAGGAATGCAGGCTGCTTATTGGAAAGCTTCTCAGCCACTTAACCACTTCGAAACAACTTTAGCGACATTACTGTGGCAATGGCCCTGCCAGTCGTGATGTTAAAAAGAGGTTCCAGGCAAGGAGTGGGCTCCACACGACACATGGGCTGCCGTCAATATTAGCCAGTGTAGGTAATAGACCCGTAGCGTAGTGCAGCACAGTATAAAGCCTCTTCTTTATTTCAGCTCGCTACTAACACTGGTTGCATCTGAGACTAGGAATAATAGGCGGCGTGATTTGATAATTGTGTCCTCTGTTCAGAAATGCAATAACAACAATGACAACAGACGCAAGTGGGGGAGTCACCACTGTATTGCGAGTTTTTTTAACAGCGTCAGAACTGTGCATAACATACTTAGCATCAAGAATGTTGTTAATCGCCGAGAAGGGCTTTTACTGCTAGTGAGACTGTCGTGGCGCCTTAAAGCTTATCGATTTTTCACCGCTTACGTTGGGTTTGGTAGTTTACTTTCCCCGCATTTTGATGTGTAGAGCCCGTGCCCTAGTACTAGCTCCCGCATCCCCTCCACCATAGGCATAATTGCATTTAAGATTATATGCCTAAACGCATGGCAGGGTCCTCCGAGCGCCACAATTACTTAGCCATCTATCATGTCTTTTCACTCATCATCGAACTCCGTACTAGGATCGCCCGAGTGGAGCTTTGACCCATTCTTACTTGTATCTACTTCAGCCCTTTTAATGCACTGCAATTGAGCATGCTATACATGAGTAATAGTGTCGACATTCTAGCGTTCATCCGTGCTTATTGATGGAAAAACATTTTTGGATGTACAGAATGCGTAGTTCACTATCATAACCGTTCCTGTGGGATGCACGAGATGCGAAAGGAAACTAGGAGCATGGAACTGAGGCCGAAGTTGAGGGGAGCTTTGGATCAGCGACAAACCAGGATCAGCAACACACGCTGCCTCGGATCCGAACTCGCCCGCAGGTGCGGGTTGCCCGCTCTTCACTGGCATTTTAATTTGTGAAAATTCATGACGGCATCCATATCAGCAGGGATGGTTTTCGGATATTTGAATGCTTAGAAACACTGATAGCGTGGTTTTGGTATTCAGCTCCTAGGCAGTCCCCGTGCCCTGACCGTCTTGATTGTCTTGACGCGCGTAGCCCGACGATAGGCTAGCGAGAATGAGTGAAAGTCACATTAGGCAGACTGGTCAGCGAGAGTCTAGGAGTGTAAAAGTTGATTCGAATCGAAATGTATCAACAGAAGTAGATTGGTAAAATCGACAAGAAAAAAAGCATCCTCCACACCACCACTGATCCCGAATCCAATAGCGCGGCAATCTCCTAATCTCTCAGACCACATTGCTAAGTGATGTCGCTATCATGCAAGACGACAGTCCATCCAAAAGCCTCCAGTTCTGCGAGTAGCTATCCTGGTCATGGTCGAATCGATTGAGCCCGCGGCATATCGGCGGAGTCTGAATTCATGCGGAATTAGCCATTGTACACCACGATTGATAATGTTGGAACTCACCGTTTAATCAACGGTACGAGCGCAGCGGGTGATGACGCTGCAGCCGCGAGTGTACTCGTTGGCGGGAGTGCCAGGCTTCAGGCAGTTGTCGGGCTGACCGGCGACTCTCCTGGAGCAAGGGACGGTGTTCCTCTTCAGAGCCTCGTAGGAGATGAACTGGACGTGCTGGGCCATGGCGGAGGCGGCGAGGCCGGTAAGGAGGAGGAAGCTGAGATCGAGACGCATTTTGAAAGGTGTGGGTTGTTGAGTTGAGCTGAAGCTTGTAGATGAGATGAGATGAGATGATTGATGCTGATGATGATGGACGATTGAAGGGACAATGGCTTCCAATATATACTGGAAGGTCTCTCAGCAACAATCCATCTTCGAGTAGTTAGCAGACTTGACTCTGTCATTCACCGCACTGCTCAATCAAGTTGAGTTCACGCTAGGCCGTGCAGTTGTGAGAACACACGAGGAGAGTCAGCTTAGCTGATGTGTGAATAATCACCGTCTAGGGAAATGGTTACGAAACGGATTCCTTCGCCTACAAGGAAAAACCATATTCGAGTGCGGTAATAGAGGTTCGAATCGTTGTGATTGGAGGAAAAAAGTGTAGGGGCCACTTCTCTCCAACCCGACCAATAAAAAGTCAGAAAGAATCGACTGATTGTTTGAGGCTGCAAAACAACCGTGTTGTTACGCTAATCGTTAGACCCGCGTAAATGGCTCGTATAAGATTTAGCGTCGATGGCATCCGCGCGCACCATACCGCGATAGTGCGGCGGCCGACAGGGAATACGAACATCGAGAACAGTACCTAAACTTTATTAACGGTAACCTTTTTTCTAACGTGTAGCCGCATGGTCTGAGCTGATTCGTCACCGCCGCCATTGTCGCAACGTCCCTCGATACTTTCGTGGCTGCAAGCGCCGCCTCTGCCACTAAGCCTGATTTTGATGTTCGCTGGAGGAGGATGTCGCCTCGCTGCCCTGTGCAAATATTTCGTTCGTATAGCCCGAACAGTGCACTTGTTCGTGCGCAATAGCCCGGAGGCAGCCTCCAGCTACAATGTTTGGACAACGCCCATCTGGCGGACGCCCCGTCGGGCACACTACATCTGCACGACGAGTCGTTGTTCCTCTCGGTAAAATCCAACACTGATCACTAATGCATACTACAGATTCATTAAGGCTCCCCCTTTACATCAGGCCGAGGTTGAGCTCATCTGCACATTCGCCTTGACCTTCGTGATCTCGACAACCTGAAACAACGCTGCCAGATCGTTACCCATCTCTGGATCCTTTCCAGAAAATTCACGGCAGTTGGACGCGGCAGTTTGGTGTAGCATTGTTACAGTAGCATTCAGGGAGAGATACTCCAGGCCTCACACGACTCCCTCGCCTTCACAGCCCCGCCACTGTCGTTTTGCTATCGTCGCTCGCAGCGGACACACGCGCCGGTAACCTTATTCTCCGGATTCATCAGACAACTCTCGCCGGATTGTCACCGGAGCGAGGGCGGCGTAACGAAAGAGGGTTGTGCAAGGGAGGAAAAGAACGGCGCAGCGTGAAGTGACTGCCGCCTTTTGTTTGCTTGTTACTACGTCTGTTGAATCCTCTACGCCGTCGAACCTTGCCTTTCTTTGTGCAGCATCCACGACGCCACAACCAAACGCCACGTCGTCTCCTCCTTTGGAGAGCTCCAGATGCCGCCTTTCCGCAACGAACTGTGACCAGACCATACTTAATTACGATCACTTCCGTTTAAAGGCGTGTCCGATCCGGGCCATCCCGATGCTGGTGCGGGCCTTGGTGCGCACGAGAGAAGGAGAGTTGATGGAGAAGCGGGTGGTGGACAGCGATGATCAATAATCGCTCGCTGATCAATAATCGCTCCCTGATCAATAATCGCTTGCTGATCAAACCCAGTGTTTCAAAATTGTAACCTAAAGTCGCTCGAGGCTTATCAGTAACCGTACTTTTCCGCGGAATGCCCAAGACTGCGCGGTATGCAACATGTGGTGAAAGGGGTGGCAAACCTACCAGAGATTCGGGCCCCTACGTGAGCAGATTACTAAGGTTTCGACGGCTGGAATCCTTGAGCACATTTCTGTGCCGCGGATATGATGCAACGGTTACGCGTTGGAACGGAAGCGGAGAAGTCGGAGAGGAGAGCGGCGCACTCCGAGAAACCCCTATGTCGTGAGGGCCATTATCACATGCAGGATTCTCTTGAAAGTCGTCAATGCCCGATGTTGCTGCACCAGATGCACCACTCACCCTCACTCTGCCTGGCTCCTGCCACATCGCCCACCATCGCCGCCGCTCCTGCGAGCATCGCCACCATAGTCTACCACTTGTTGAACTTGCTTGTTCCTTTGTCAACCAACAGGATGATCAGATTTCTGCTCCAGCCGTTCCCGATCGTGGATTTCGTCGAGAGCGCCGCGGAGGAAGAGACCGAGGGCGAGTAGGAAGTCGCGCACAACAAGGGCACGGAGCCCGTAGCGGATACAAAAGCCAAGCAAGTGGATCCCAACGACGTAGCCCCGGTCGACAATGTAGCTGATGAGATCGGGGCGCAAGCAGCCCAGAACAAGCACGCAAAGACGAAGGAGTCCGAAGAGCCCCAGTTGTTTACTATCGTCTGGCCGTGGCTCCGCGTCATTAGGGTTAGCGCGGAGGATGAAGCGTTGGACAAAGTTGGAGATATAGATACAGACAAGTAGAAGGTCGTGTAGTATAAGTATTATTGGAAGAAGGTAGAACGCCGTAATAAGCGAGCCTGAGAGATAAGTGAAAAGAATGGCGAAGATGACTTCGAACGTAGGCTGAAGAAGATGGGGAGCAAAGATAGCGAGAACAAGCACAGAAAGGCTGAGAAGTAGGCGGAAGAGCGCATATCTATGACCTGGCCACAAGAGAGCCCGCCTTGCGGTAGGAGGAAGCCATTCAAGCTCAAAGGCGGACATCGTGCTGCCCCAAAAACCACTGGGTACTTTGGAGTGAGATGGTCGCGTTAGCAAGTGACAGTAGACCTTCGGCGGTGGTGTGCGGGACTGCGGGGTACTGAACTCGCTAGCCCCCACTGCTGTATCAACTCCACCAATCAGCTGCGGTACCTACAGCCACCTCTTGCATTGGAATTCTAGCGCGGAGATCATGATAGGAAATTATGAATTCGCGCCGTTGATATATAGAGGGGTGCTGCAGCTGATGGCTAGCGTGAAGAAGGTCTCTAGAGTGTAGCGTGACTATGCCTAAGCTCTCCCAGAAAAATAGCATACGTGAATAGGTAAAGCTGCCATCCGGATGAGAATGTGGAATTAAAAATTCTACACACACGTCCGGACGATATCTTCAACTACCCATGTCATGAGCAAAAGGATTAAAAAAAACATGCTAGCCATCGGCTAGAAGAGGACGCTATGTGTCCAAAACTGAATTACCACAAAGATCACTGGTGCACCCACTGTTATTGTTCCACTGCGCTGAATCCCAACTTCCGCGAAATCCACTTTGCTATGCTTCCCATAGCATGTCAATGGAAATGCCCAGTAACAAAGAACAGAACCAATCAAGGTTGTTCCATGACAGAGGCCGTAGCCTCTGTTACGTTCAATGAGAGTGTAATCCAAATTGGCGACCAGACCTTGCTTGTTCCACATTCTGATGTATTTCCATATTCGTCAAATGCACTTTCCGGTTGCTGCCTGATCTCGTCCGGCTCAGTAGTCAGGGATTGTTAGATATGAACACAACCAGCACCGCAGCGTATGCTGCTGTGACACCCATTGTAGCCAGAGCCGAAGAACCGGAGCAAAAGCTCACAGCAAAACAGAATATACCAATGAACATCCCGATCTTGAGCAGCTTCGATGCACTGCTCCGGTCCGACAGCACGAGCAATGGAACGACAAGGACGGCCGCGGAAAAGACCGCAACAAGGAAGCAGGTGATGCACTTCGTGGCGCCGGTTATATTGTGTGGCGTAAGCGTGGCTTGCTGCTCTGCATCTTGATCTGACGGGGCGGCGCCTCGGCTCGTCCATGCTTGCCACACCCTGCGTAACAATTGGTTCAGGCCATTCTCCAATGGCGATCGAGTCCTGACACAGGGTAAGTCCGCGCGAACTAGCCGCGTTTTTGACTGCTCCCATTTGTTGAGGTCGCTTCGGAAATCCGAGTGCCACGCGTCGTCTGATAGGGCAAGCGTTTGCATTTGCATGATCTGATTGAAGCGAACCAAGGCATCGTCTTATGCAGGTCAGCGCATCGGGCCGCGACGCTTACTGCGGCAACGACTTACCGTACTCCTGGAGCAGTCTTCTCAGCCGCATGACAGTTTCTCGGTTTATGACTTCCGAGGCCGCCTTTGCGTCTCTGTCTCGTTGGCTTTGCCCAAGTCCAAGCCTGTCGATCTTGCTGATGGGGGCTTCCAGCTTCATCCCAGCCTGGTATACTTCTCTGTCCAGTTTTTCTAGCTCATGCTCCAGCAGCCGCAAATTGACCAAATGACTTGTTTTGAACCTGCGGAAACCATGCATCGTCATGTTTTTATCGGCGGTCGCAATGCGCCAAACTTTGACAAACGCCGCAGTGATCCCCAATTCGCCTTCACTGGTCGTGTGGGTGCCTGGACATGCACCATCAATCTGTTGCGCCGACTGCGTGTGGAGTATGTCAAAAGATTCGCCATTGGCGGAAGATTGGGCATCAGTACAATTCATAATGAAGGATATTTTTTCTCGGTTGCTGACAATAAGTTTTCCCCGCACGAGCGATTTATACCCCCTCTGCTGTGCCATGCATACTATAGGTCAGATTGTCGTATTCCCGGTATCAGACGTTGGCAAGGCTGAAAAGCGCCGCGATGCTGTGCCATTGGAACATGCATGGAAGCTGCGGAGGAGTAAGCTGCCGGTGAGTCTGTTTAGAAATCCTTGAATGAGCATGGAGTTTTGTGGGCCCAAGTCTGCATATTAAACCAGACAGCCTCGTCTCTATCATTCCAATAGACCAGAATCTTACCCGCCACGACGCACAATTGCAGCAGCTCACCAGCAAATAAGCATCAATGAGTCAGCCAGCTCTCAGGAAGTTGAAGAGAGAAGATTATAGGATTGGTTGGCTATGCGCTTTGCCGAAAAGCGAGAGTCTGGCAGCTCGATGGATGCTCGACGAACTACACAGCCCACTACCGCAGCACGAAACAGATATGAACAACTATCAGTATGGCTCAATCAACGGCCATAACATCGTTATCGCCTGCATGCCTCCAGGCATGCCCGGAAACGTCTCAGCCACACATCTTGCCACACATTTGAGGCGGAATTTCCCCAACGTGAAGACGCATCTTTTTGTTGGCGTTGGAGGGGGCATTCCGAGTCTGTATTCGGAAGGATCTCCTCGGGCGACTGAAAAAGATGTGTTTCTCGGTGATGTCGTTGTTGGATGTCCAGAAAATCCCGAGATCCCAGCCGTCATAACCCACGATCTGCGTACAACTCAGACCCCTGATAGAGGAATCGTGGCTAAGTTGGGGACGGTGCTGAGAAACTACGAACAGGGAAATACTCGTTTTGATGAGCACCTTCGGCGACTCGATCGCCTGACCGGATTTGGCCACCCTGGCCGTAGGAATGATCTGCTGTACGAGTCAGACTTCGGCTGCAGTAGCTCGGAAGATTACACAAACGCACACTCCCTATGCGACTGCGACAACGGGCGCCTGGAAAAGCGGGCGCAACGAAAGGCTCCCGGAACAAGCTTCAGTTTCCACCTGGGTACCATCCTGTCCGCCAACAGGTTCGTATCCAATGCCAAAGAGCGCGATGAGAAGCGAAAACAATACCCAACTGCGCTTTGCTTCGAGATGGAGGCTGCAGGTGTGAGCGACACCCATGCATTGGTTATCCGTGGTATCTCCGACTATGCCGATTCGCATTCAAACAGGAGATGGCAGAAGTATGCTGCAGGCGCTGCTGCTGCATTTGCTAGGGAGCTAATCGTCACGATGGCTGAGATGGAGTTGCCTGACGAGTCGCGCATTGACGCCACAAACGAAAAATCCCGCTGCTTTACGTTCAACAGCATCAGCATGAACAACAATTACTTCCTTAACAAGAGCAACAAGGACCTGTGGGAACAGATGACGGTGGGGGGGCTGTCCATATATGAGATCATATATCTCGAATGTGTAGATGAAAGTCGTACAGTGACAAGTAAGCACCATTGCTCCTTATTTTGTCCTAACACCCCTGCCGATATCCCTACTCATAAATCCTTTACTAAGCATCGAACTCTCAGAGGAGAAGCTGCAACAGCGGTTTCCAAACTACCTGCAAGAATGTGTTTCCACCACCTGGGACATGATCTCAAGAGGGCAAGAGCGCTTGTACAAAGGAATGACTCTTGCAGTCATATATATTGTACATTTGCGGCATTATTCCAATGTTCAATTGTCACGTTTCCAATATCCGCAGAACGAAGAGGAAGGGAAGAAGCGTCGGTACATTCTTAGACGGTTCGGCGTCTGGGCCAACTGCAACTGCGGTGACTCGTTCTGCCCATGTCTCTGGAACTTTGCCAACAACACCGGACTTTGCCGAAATCCGGTCGACACTTGCGCAGTATATCAGTTCGTTCAGACTATGGCTCCGCAATCGGAGGACGGTAAAATGGAGATCTCGACAAGTTACGAACTGGACAAATTTTTGGCACTCCGGCGTATGTGGGAAAGTACAGAGGGTGATCCTACAGGTGAGGAAACGACATCCGTGAGCAGAGAGACCCCCAGCTTCAACTACCCGTGTTGTGTTTTCTTGTTGAAAAAAAAAAACACGCCTATTGTAGGGAGGTGAAGCTATCGTCCGGATGAGAATGTCGAATTAAAAATTGTACATATGCGTCCGGACGATAGCTACTCCATAGGAAGCTAAGTTATATTCTAACATTTAAACAGGTTGAAATCTTCAAGGAGAGCGCATCCACGCATCCGCCACCGCCATACCGCTATTGATTGAACGGAAAGGGTTGGGAATTGGGAACGGTCTTTCTGAACCATTACAAGTCTTTCTTTCGGATACTCCCATTTCATGTACATATCCTTCATTCAAGAGTGCACCAACCGTAAGCTAAGGCAACTATCCAAAGGAATTCAATGACTCTTCTCTACCCGAAACACAGCCGAAATTGTTATTGCCTTCTGTCTGCCGCCGTCCTCTGATTCCCGCTAAGTTGCGCAGAAATATGGTCAATTGCTCTCCCTTGGAACGCCTCGATATTAGGAACCTCCTGCGGAGCATCAAAGGATGGTCTAATAGGGGAAGCTGCACTAATCGGGGGCATTTCGGACCTCGGGGCGTTCTGTCCACTCCCAGAAGCTGCACAAGCCCCGAAATCTTCAACATGAGTGCTCCCATGTTTGCTGCCTTGGGTGTCCCTTTGTGGTGAACTACTTCCAGAAGTTGGGGCCAGGGAGCGCTGGTCTTGATCGGACTGCCTGACTGACACCTCCCTTTCGTGATACGAGGGAGGGGGTGGTTCTGGCGTAATATTTTGCAAAGGGTAAGATTCTGGTTGGTTGTTCACCTGGAGATGAGATGTAGAGCCGGTATCATTGTTGCGTCTTGTGGTTGCTATGCGTCCTCTGATTTTCCAGAAGAGAAAGAAGCCACTCAGGCTAACAGCAACTACTACGCCAACTACAATTCCAGCTATGGCATCTCGGCTGAGATTTGTAGACCTATTGGTATATGTGGCATTGCTGCTATCGTTGGTCACCGAGAACTCTGTGAATATATCCTCCAGCTCTTTATTGCTCCATGTCGGATAACGGCTGCTGTCCTAATTAGGAGAAGTTCCATATATTCGCTAAAGGGGACATTGCTTACGCATTGCTCTGGTAATATCGTTTTACCACACCAGGAGAGGCATAGGCTGCAGCACTTGCATTGTAGCTGCTCTTATACTTGAGCTCAGTCATGTCGAAGACTCCAATGCCTTGTGTCCATGGATCTGACGAGGCGTTCCAGTTTTGTGGGTCCGGTGGAATGAGTGTACTGATCTGATCCGGGTCAAGTCCTCCAATCATGATCATCTGACTGTTGTTGGTAGCCGTGCAAGTTTGCTGTCTTCTCTTGGGCCGAGATACCACATCGCTGGAGAACCACTTGAAGGACGGAAGAGAGAGGACGTAGTAGGTGTCTCCAGCGGGGAAGCTGCCGTAAATAAAGCTTGTGAACGTTAGATTAAACAAAGCGAGAAAGCGTTAAATATTACCCACATATCAAATGTTTTGAACTCATTGTCTTGTGCACCAAAAAAGCAATAGTCGTTGCCAAATGTCACAGCAGCTGTCATGTCCAACGCGTGTGGTATGGCTCCGGTCACTTCTTGTGAGTACCAAGAGCGAGTTGATGGGTCAAAAATGGTGATATTATCCAACCAATGCTGAAGTTCACCCGATTTGTTGCTCTGCCCACCAATGACGATGAACACACCTTGGGATCCAAAGGGTAGAGCAAATATCATGTTTCCAGCAAGATTCGTTTTGTCCTCGCTTTCAGTCCATTCCGCTGCAAAGTACCCACCATCGGCTGAAGAGTTCGTCAGCGTCTGCGTGGCGAAGTCAAATTCCAGGAGGCCAGGGACGTTGTGTCGCGTCCTCGTGTATGAGTTTTTTTGCGTTGTCCAATTGTATACCACGCCGCCAATATAGTAAGATCTGTTTCCATCAGCAGCAGATGCTCCCAGGGTTGTTCTCACTATTTCTGCCGGAAAGTCTCTACTGTTGTCACCAAGAACTTCCGTCCATGACCAGTTGTCGCTATCATCGTGGCATAATTGCCACAGGAATTCGTTTGGTATTTTATCACCAGAGCTCCTGGGGCCTCGAATGTAGCCATCTGAAGATACCTCTCCACCAAACGCGTATACGCAGTCTCTACTCTGGTCGTACCAAAGCGACTCGCGTATTAAAAAACTATAGCTTGCTGGACGCGGAACGGAACTTGGTAGCACGGATGAATTCGTCCAGCTGCTGGACAAGTCCAATATCCATGTCTTGTTTTCTGTATCGGAGTGTTTTAAGCAGGTGCTAGTAGGCGAGTAGTGGGCGCAACTACGTACCACACCAAGGGTAGCCATCATCGTAGGAGACAAGACCTCCGCTAATCACAAGCTTATCGCCTGCCAAAACGGCTGAAACTCGTAAGCAAGCCATTTGATGACATTACATCTCATTGTGCAAACCTGCATGACCCGCCCGACGGCGATAGGACCCCTGAGCCGATATAAGAACCAATAGGAGGCTGAGTTGGCTGAAGTACCGCTGAATATGCATTTTCTGCCACAGACAAAGGTTGCCGGTGTTGCGGGAAAATCAAACACAAGAAATTTCAGAACCCAACCAGAGGGCTCTTGGGTAATGTAATAGATTCTGGACCGCTGAGTTGAAGGTAGGCTCCAGCGCGGGTGCGGGGATGGTGTGGGTGTCACAAGATTTCGATTGGACACACACTGATGCCAGTCAGCATGGCAAGGCACATTTTACCCGTTGGTGCCAGCGTGCAAGCCTTGCACCTTCCTAAATGAGAGGATCCCGATCTCTTATCGAATGATGATCTTTCCAGTGCTTTTTAGGGCTCTTAGTCTTGCTCGTTCGCCCGCATTCCTCAGCCTCGCTTTCGTTGTACAACGCCCTCTCGCATTTGGCATAGCCAAATTATTTAATTCTCAGCCGCATAAAGTATTAGTACAAAGTGTAGTAGTTTAGGCCAAATTGAACACAGCCTAAAACAACATGTGCTGCTTTACTAATTAGAGTGCTTACATTCATATGTTTAGGGCCAAGGTACCAAAGCAGCTTAACAATGTCAAGGCTGCCACGCCTTGCCGCATCGATTAGTAGCATTTGCTCGTTAGCCCTAGTAGCGTTAGGATTGACTCGTTTTCTACGAAGATCGATCAGCGGCTTAGCAATAGCGAAGTGCCTTCCGTTATCGCAATTACAGCAGTGTATCGCCATTCTCTGTGTCACATATTGTTTTATAGGAGAGAAGAAAAGCTAATATTCATTTGCGCTACAAGATACTTTCCAGACTAACCCTCTTCACAAATCTCCTTAGCAAGGCTGGTCGCATTCAGAGCTTCCGGAGCGAGTACGCTCAGAAGCTCCTTCGCATAGGCTGCTGCAACCATTGCAGCATAAAGCTGCCAGCGATCATTTTTATGGGAGTCTGAGTAGTCGCAGATGCCGCGAATGACAAGGCAAGGGAAGCTGTTCATCAAACCGGCAGCCTCCATCTCAAAGCAAAGAGCGTTAAACTGTTCCCCCACTCGATCTCTTTCCATAGCGTTCTTCATTACTTGGTTGCTCGATGCGATGACTCCGTAGTGAATGACTTGGTTTTTATGGGGCCTTTGGGATCTTCCCTTTTCCAAATACGTCTTGTTGCAACTTTCGCATGTGTCGCTATCCTTATCAGGATGGTCATACTCTGCGAGGAAGAGCAGGTCCTCTGAGAAGTTGTAGACCAATTCGTCAGCAATCAGCGGACATCTGTGTCGGACCTGCTCAATGTATTTGGGGACCATTTCAGATCCTCCTGAAAATACATGTGATGCCTTCAAATTTTGAAGTGCAGCGAGCACCGCCTGGGGAGGGCTATTCAGTTGGCCTGTGCGCTCAAACCCATCCGGTGTGCATTTTCCCAAGTCAAATTGGACTACTCCGCCTGGATATGTGAGCTTGAGCTACTTGAGGAACAATTTGTGAGACTCACCAAACGTTCCACTTGGCTGGCTAACAACAATATCACCGATCCTGATATCGTGCTTTTTGCTTGGGATCCCTCCGCCAATGCCGACTAACAGCCCAACCCGGATTTTGGGGAAAGTCCTCATCATGTTTTCTGCCACAGTCGTAGCCGACGCGATTCCCATTTGTCCGGCAGGGAGAACGGCGACGATAACGTTGTGCCCGCACATGCTGCCTAGCATGTATGAGTTCTTGTCTCCCGGAACCGGCCTAAGCGATGGGTGTGCCACGTCGAACATTTGCATCGCGGCAGCCAACTCAATATCAAGGGAGCAAATCCACCCAATAGTATAACTCTCACGAGTCAAATTAGTAGATGGAGAAGCAGACAGAGTATCGGCCGCAGACGGTTCTGCTCCAGGGGTAGCAGCAGGCGGCAGAATCTGCTCATCTGCCTCTGTTGTTCTGTCCACGGATTCAGAGGGGGTTCTCTGATTATTAGATCCTGAAAATGAGTCTTCTGTGTCGGAGAATGCCCCATATTGACCAGGCTGGTCTGGTAAGGGAGTCGCCTCCGGGAGTTCTGTGTTCGGGAAGCGGGACAAAGCATGCTTGCTATTACAGCAATCAGTTGGATTCTCAGACTGAAAGAATTTAATAAATACTTTTGTTCGTTCTCTAAAGACAGGCGTCCCCACAGCCAGAATGCCACCGTGCATATCACAATCGTGACGAACACTGCTGACAAGGTTATGCTATCAAGAGTGATGACTGTTGTCATGGTCTTTGTTGGCGAGAACATAAACGGCAAAACGGGCAAATGTAATAAAATGCAAGGAAAGTTCGGCTGATAACCACCTTCGATTAGAGGGTGTAAGAGGTTGGTTTTGCTTCGATTGCGTATCTGGTGGATCCGTAATCAAAATTTGCAACATCCATGTAGAACCCCACAGCGGGGCAGTTCAGCTCTCGGCAACCCGGTTCGGATCACCACTTTTAGCACCGGCATGCGGCGTAGGTGCTGATCTTGCACAAATTAGGGATGCTTGCTGACTATGCATGTAGTAGATAAAGTCGCTTGACTGGGCACACAATTGCGTATCCCCAAAGCCGTCGGGGTGATAAGCCCCGCAGCCCGTCTTCATGACTGCCTATTAAAGCTTTAGCGAAGCCCGAGTCATCTTCTAGCAGGTGGAGAGCAATAAGGGTATGATTGCATTAGATATGAGCTATAGGAGCATCTTACTACATGCCGGTGAGCGCTATTAGATTTTGGATTGTATGTATAGCGGGGGTTACTACAACCGAAGGCCAGCGAGAAGAACGACTAGACCTAAGGTAACTATGCCTCACCCTTCTCTTTTGCTCTTTTCTCTCTTCTTTAGGAAATAACATATATGGGTAGCTGAAGCTCTCATCCATAATGTATAGCTAAAAATTCTACATACACGTCCGCACGATAGCTTGAGCTACCCATGAGGCGAGCGGAAAACAATTTCAGGCAGCAATACCCCTCTATAGCCAACTTAAATAAGAAGGTGGCCTCTTCCTGCAGGTTGCTGCGCTCAGCCCTCTCCACATTTTGCCGCCACAATCCCGACCCAGTTGCACAGCCTGGCGCACGTCGAAATCCGAAAGCTGGTGATTCCCAAGACGAGAAAGTATCGGTACACAACATGGTACTCTTAGTACTGCACCAGAGATTGCCCGAGACGAAATTCCACACCATCTTATAGCTTGCATTTGAACCGCTTTCCATTTTGTCCTCTTCGAAACGATGCATTTACGAAAAAAGAGTGGTAAACAGCGATATTCGATTAATTGCATCATGTAACAGATCTCCGATCCATACTACTCTAGCACAGTGGTGCAGAATTGACGGTTGGCTTCCTTCCATCAATCCATGTAAATCTGTCGAATCCCTAAGCGTTGCGCAATGATCAACATTACATTAAGTCCTGGTGGGCTTGGAAAATTTGCTGGCTAGAGCCCTTAGTTTTGTTCTTATACAGACTTTCCTGTATCTGGAAAAAGGATTCCATATAGGTTGTAGCATTGTTCTGGCACCGGATGCGTACGTGGAGAACACCAAAAACTAGACTCCCAGACCCCGGGTCTATTCCTTGCCCCGGAACAATGCCTCAGCGTGGCAGCTGTCCCCGTTCTTCTCTGTTAAGTAGGTCGGCCGAGACCATTGGTAGTCTTGTTGTCCTTGAGAATCGACCACGCAGTAACTATCAAAAGGGTAGCGCCAACGACGATACTCGATCCACCAAAAATTTGCCTCCAAGATAGCTAAGGCCCTGCTGGTCGTCCAAGTTTTAAGCTGAGGCGGCTAATGTGAATCACGGGCCGCATTGTGGGGAAACAAAGGGGTTGGAGGGGCGGGTTCCGTCGGTTGGTTCATTCGGTTCCATAGCTGGTCGCAGCAAAATTTTAATTGTTAGACGAAGAAATAAAACAAAAAGAAAGCTGAGCCGATCAGGACTCGAACCTGAATCTAATGCTAACGAGTGTCTACTAGCTTACAATGAATGTTTGGCTAAGTGATCGTAGAAGCATTAATGCTAGCCATTACACCATCGGCTCTTATTGATGTATAGTGAAGTGACAGTTTATGATTATATCACCCAACATCAGACACACAAGGCTGAGAATCTTTTACCAAGGCGCCTACAATGGGCGCGCCGATTAGCTCGGCAAAGGCTCCGACGGTCCACATGAAGCCTATACGAAGACCAACATTGGACGGGCTTGAGAGTGATGAAAAATACACAGAAGCCGCCGAAAATGTTCAGGTAAGCATGAACACCACCGTTCGGAGGAACAGACTCTGCATCTTCTTGACGGTGCTGGGGAATTCGCTGCTGATGTTGGAGTGCGGTTCGAGTTGCTAGAAGTGTACCGGTGGCATTTAGCGATAATATTGAGGACGGTATTTGTGCCACTGTGGAACTTCCCGTTTCGGAGGATGTGGGTGCTGTTCGTTGCCTTTTGAGTTGATTCAGAACGGCTCTATAGAGAAACACACAAGAGACAGAGAGTCGAAGAATGCAGTCTGCGCCTGAGTGCGGGGTGGCGCAATCAAACCCCACACTCGCGTTCTGACAAATTGACGCCGCAAAAGTTGCCGGGGTCGATGATTCACGTATCAGTTGTGGGATTAGAAGAAAGGTATTTGCGGTTCTTCAGTCTCATGAGAATTTCTTCTACCACATATTCGTCGCGCATTAACCCACTAATAGAGGTAAACTATAGCTGCAGAGGGCTCACCAAGCCGCAGTGCGCATAGACATGGGTTGCTTTTGGCAATTTTGTCCGCTCTTGTGTTATTTTTATGAGTCAGCTGTGGGCGTCCCGACAGTTGCCGGTAGTGTAACTTGGGGATTTGTTCATGGTGGGTCAGTCCCGAGCGTTGCGCTTGCTAATTTAGGAAAGTCAAATGAGAAGCCCTCCATGAACGGCCAGGGTGCGTGGGCTTCGATTGCTACAAAGCCGGAGATCAGCACTGAATGACGTTCTGCATTTCCAGAGGTGGAGAGGCAGAAGCTTGGACACGCCGACTACATAAAGCGGCAAGCTTTAAGTGATGGAGTGAAGGTCCTTTCACGTACTGGTCAATTTCACACCATTTCTTCATCTCTCCACCCAAAATGTCAGGATCACCCGAAGGCATCTACGAGCCCGGCATCGTCGACCCCGGGGTGCCGGTCCCCCATCCCACCCAGTCCTTCTGGCTCTCCTCGCCTCACCCGCTCGCCAACCACCAATCGCCCTGGCCCACTCACGCCGTCGATGTCGCCATCATCGGCTCCGGCATAACAGGCACGAACATAGCCCGCACGCTCCTCCAAAAACAACCCAACCTCCGCATCGTCGTCCTCGAAGCGCGGTCGCTCTGCTCCGGCGCCACCGGCCGCAACGGCGGACACATCAAAACAATGTCATTCGCGTCGTGGGAGCAGCGCAAGGCGGCATACGGCATCAAAGAGGCGGTCCGCATCACCGCCTTCGAGCACAGCCACCTCGATACCCTGGAGCGGGCGGCGCGAGAGAACGGGATTGATTGCGACCTCGTGCGGACCGAGGGCGTCGACGCGTATTTCGACCAGGCTACGTTCGATCACGCCCGCGCCGCGCTGGACGATATGCTCGCACACGCCCCGGAATTGGCGGCGCAGTACACCGTCTACACAAACCCAGACCGCCTGCACCGCGTGATGAAGCTCTCGCCGCGCTGCGTCGGCGCCATCGGCGTGCCCGCGGCGTCGGTCTGGCCGTACAAGCTCGTGACGGGGCTGATGGCGCGGATGATCGAGAGCGGGAAGCTGAACGTGCAGACGAATACAACTGTTACATTCATCGATGATGAAAACAACACTGACTTCGCCGCCGTGCACACGACCCGCGGCACCATCCGCGCGCGCCACGTCGTGCACGCCACGAACGGCTGGCTCGGCCACCTGCTGCCGGAGCTGCGCCCCTTCATCTCGCCGGTGCGCGGGAACGTCGTGCGGTACGCGCCCTCTTCTCCCGCCTCCTCCACCGAATCCGCACCCGCATCCCCATTCGCCCTCGACCCCTCCTTCTCCTTCTGGCTCCGCTACGCCACCCACGACTACGACTACCTGATCCAGCGCCGCACCGGCGCCATCGTCGTCGGCCGCGCCAACACCGGCCGCCGCGCCACGGCCGACGACAGCCAGACCGACCTCGCGCCTATGGCGCACCTGCGGGGATTCGCAGGAGAAGTGCTGGCTCCTCCTCCTCCTCCTCCTCCTCCTCCTGCTGCCTCCTCCCCATCACCCACCATCGACCACGCCTGGTCCGGCATCCTGGCCTTCGTGCAGGACGCGTCGCCGTTCATCGGGCCGTTGCCCGGGCGCCGGCGCCGGCAGCGCCAGTGGGTGTGCGGGGCGTATCATGGGATTGGCATGGTTAAGGCGTTCCGCGCGGCCGAGATGGTGGCCGGGATGCTGTTGGGCGAGGAGTTGGCGGATGAGTATCCGCGGTCGATGTTGATCACTGAGGGAAGGCTGCGGCGGTTGAGGGCATCGCTGGAGGAGTGCGGGGCGGGGTTGGAGAAGCCGAGGCTGTGAGGGGATGGAGGTAGATGCAGATAGTGCAATAAGAATAGGCTTTGATTGATGATTGTTGTAGTCAGGTTTAAAGTGACGTTGTAACTGGCGGCGCGCGATTGGCGGGGTGCGAGGGGTACTCATTTTACTTGCTCCTTTGGGAATGGCTCCTTTCTTATCTGCAAAACCTCTCGGCTCTACATGCTGGATACGACATCGGCGCCGGCAACGAACCTGCCCCACATCCGGGGATCGCCCCGCACATATCTAGGTGCTCATTTAGACTTCCTTTTTCTGTTTCTTCGTGGACGCGTCTTCGTCTTGTTCCCCGCCTTGCTGCCTTCTCGACGCCGGATCCACAAACGGTCATCATATCCTTCGCCACGAACTCAATGCCGCGGAGATGCCGGCCTTACCGCCCCAAGGTGAAAGGTGCGTGCACATTTCCCGCTAAGACATGACCGACATCCTCACGTGCCTCAGGCTGCTATCAATGCTCCCAGCGGCGGATAAACTGCGACCGTGGGGAGCCCATGTGCTCGAAGTGTGTTTCCAAAGGCTTGGAATGCAGCGGCCTGGGCATCCGCCATCGCTTCAATGACGGGATGGCTGCTCGAGGCAAGTGGGCGGGGAAAACGGTTCAGGCAGTTCATGCCAAGTCCACTTGTGCCCATGATAGCTCCGCTGTCTTACCGAGCATGGTAAATTCTGAAGCTGGACCTTTGAAATATGTCGATGCTCCTTGCACAGAGCACAGCTGTGCGGCCCAAACCATGTCGCCACGGAATACAAGATTCCAGACTCTCTCGTCTAGCCCCGCTCGGGACAGTGGTAATGATTATGAACAACGGGAAGTTTCCCAACACGAAGCCAATAGAACCTCAGCCGAAGACCAGCAGTTGGATATGACAACGCTAGACAAGGCTGACCATACGGCCCTCGAAACCACATCACCCAAAAAACTGACCAATAAGTCTGGTGGAGTGAAGTCATCAGGCTTGTCCGCAAGTAATTCAGGAAACCCCGGCTCCGCAATTCTCTGCCAGCCTGTGCTGGGCAACATGCCCCTTTGGAAGAAGATGCTGCTTCTCAATTGTAAGTTGAAAATCCCGAGCAGTGTTTTTGGGCTTTCCCTTTCTGATCATCCCAGTCTCAGAGAACATTGCCAGCGAAATGGTTGCAATCGACGGCCTTCACAACGGCTGGCGCCATCTGGTCCTGCCAATCGCTCACACTGATGAGCTGGTCATGGATGCAGTGCTGGCCGCCTCAGCATTGCACCTCTTCACCGATGATGATGCAACGGGCAACCATGTGCCAACGCAGATGGCACGCCGCTATGCTTCCATGCGCCTCCAACAACACCCAGGCTCTGGCAGTCTCTACGCACGCGCTATAAAAAGCCTGCTACACCGGCGCGATCTGGCCGCGTCCAGCGCTCTCCATCAAAGCTTCGCCTTGCTGGCCATCTTGATCTTGCTGGTCGCCGTCATGGTGAGCGGATCCGAAGACTCATCCATCTTACTCCGCATGCTGCACTCCGCATTCGAGGCCATCGGTGGCGAGGACGGACTAGGCACGGGAGCGCTGGCCGAGTTCATGATACGCCAGATACACAAGTAAGCACATCAAACAACAAAAAAACAACACAAAACAAAACTTAACCACCAAGCAAAAGGATGCGCGTCTACGCCGCGCCATTCATCAGCGAGGAAAACGGCTTCCAGGCCCTCTCATCCCAAGGTCAGACGGAGCAGGTATTCGAATGCCTCAACTACTGCTCGCAACAGCGTCCCGACGCCGCAGCCGCAGCGCCGTTCATCATGAGCCTCGTGCGGCAGGCTCACGACATCTATCTCCGGCAAGCGGTGCCGCTGCCATCCGCGTCCGACTCGACAACCCTCGTACAACGGTTCAAGCACACGCTCGAAAGTTTCCCACACGACTTGCCGGGCGAGCAGGTCCTGGTGTGGGCCACCTTCATCGCCGCGTCTGACTGCGTGCTGGATGAGCACAAGGCGTTTTTCGAAGACGTGTTTCTCCGCTACTTCGTTCGGAGCGGCTTTCGCAACGTGCTGAGAGGTCTCGATCAGCTGCGGAAGATATGGGCGCGCAGGAGCGCCGGAGGAGGAACGAGGTGGACGTCTGTCTTGCCGCATGCCGGGGTGTTTGTCATGTAACCAAGATAACAACAGGAGAGCTTGACGCAGCAAAAGCATCAACAGATCATACATAGCACAGAAGGTCATCATTTGAGGAACTACAAAGACGGCGCGATTCGCCTCGCCGGACCCAGCTCGTCAGCAATCGTCTTGGCCGCCCGCGTGCCCTCCTCGATGGCCCCGTCGATGAAGCCGCGCCACCCAACGGCCCAGTCGCCACTTGCGAAGAGGACGTTGCCGGACCGCTCCCGCAGTGCATCCAGGTATTTGAAGCTGTAGTCGGGCGGGAACATGCACCACGTGCCGCGCGAGAGCGGATCGTTCGTCCAGTCGTGCCAGACCTGCATAAGAATCAGTCACGCCTAGCCCCGAAGGAAAGGAAAAGAACAAGGAGGAGAAAAAGAACTCACCACCTTCTCCACCTCCATCTCGTGCACCTCTTTCACCGCCTCCGCAATCCCTCTCCCCTCATCCTGCGGCGGCAGCACCCTATCATCACCCTTCGCAAACCACACCAGATGCGTATTTCCACCCGGCGTCAGTCCGTCACCCCGTGCCGTCAGCAGGCGGGAACCCTCCCCCTCCTCCTCTGACGACGACGATGCCACAGCAGCAGCCCAGTCCCGGAACCTGCCACCGTCCCGCGCCTCGACGTGCCACTTGGCGCCTCTGTGGACATGCCCGCGCACACACGCCGCCGCCTTCGCCTGCGGCAGCGGCGGCTCAAACCGCACGTCCCGCAGCACATTAAGCGGGACGGTACAGACGAGACGGCGGCCGACGAACCGCTTTTGCTTCTGCTTGTCGTTACCACCACCACCGGTGAGCAAGGCAACCGTCCCGTCGTCCTGCTGCACAACAGCCTCAACCCGCGTACCAAACGCCCACGCCAGCTTCCCCGTCCCCGCCGCCTCATCGAAGAACGCGCGCGCGAACCCGGACTGCCCTTTTCCCCCTTCGCCGCCGCCGCCGCCCAGCTTCCACGTCTCGGTCGCGGCGTACACGCCGGCCGTCGAGTAGCCCGCCAGCGCCCACCAGCGCAGCACGTCGAAGAAGCCCGTCTGCTCCATCGGCGCGCCCGATATGGCGCCAAGCAGCGCGGTCAGCAGCGCGTGTTCGGTTGCGGAAAGCTGCGTGCGGATCGCGTCGAGGCGCTCGGCAGCGGAGAGACGCTCGTACTGGGCGGCGCTGGGGGAGGAGTGGGGTGAGTGCGGCTGCGGGAGGACGGTTGCGCCGAGGTGCGGGTGGGCGTCGTCGATGTTGCAGAAGGTTGTGAAGGCGTGGGTGATGATGCGGTCCTTTGCTGCGTGTCAGCACCAGCGTTGCTGTGTGTGGAGGAGACGGGGTGGCGGGTGAGATGGTGGGGGGGGGG